TTGAGGGTTTATTTTGATAAAAGCTGATAAAATTTGTAATTAGTTAGATGGAAAGCTTAGTCATGGTAAAAAAAAAAGGTACCCCTGCAGGAGAAGGCCACAGGTTTGTAAAGGGATTTTTACCACTTGCCCAAAGGGCAAGTGACTTTCACATTTCATTTGCCCAGAAACTATTTTTACTTGCCCAGTATAATGTAATATAGTCCCTAATATTCATTTTTGTATATATATCAATGAAACATGTTTGTTTTTTAAATGTTTTTTGTAATTCGGTATTTTTTAAGTTTCCAGGTTCCTGGTGTGTATCTGCATGCGTCAGATAATGAACTCAAGCCTACATTACCGTGTTAACATGCTTTTCAATCCTTCCTGCACATTCTTTTCAAACTAAACTTTGCTTTAAACTGTTGTGTGCTTGGAAAAATATAAATTTTTATGTTAAAAATCTAAAAAAAACTTGACAGGTTAAAAACTTAAGATAAATCACAAAACAGAAGTCAATGTCACAAATGAATTACTTTTATTTTAGAGTCACGGTATGTTTATACAGGATAATACTATTAATATAATGTGACTTTTCTAGAGAATCATTATACATAGTTATTATATACAGTGTTAAATCACGCCATCTGGCGGAAAATCACCCGTTTTTTTCAAATCAGGCGTCTTTTTCAAATCACGCGAGAATGTGTACAAAACAACAAAAAAGGCGCCGGCAACGCTTCTGGTTCGTTTTCATCGAATCTTAAAGTAATTTTGAGTGATAAATAATATATATATTTTTTGCGATCATTGCACTTGTCCGATGGGCAAATGTAATGAAATTTGTACTCTCCCGACAATAATACTACTTGCCCCGGGAGATCGGGCAATGGTTAACATCACTATTCTTTCTTTTCGGTCTCATCACCAGAATAATGTCAGAATCATCTAACCTGGTTGCTCAGTGGAGCAGTGAGTAGCACCTTGCAGCAAGAAGGTTCCGGGTTCGTTTCCCGGGCCGAGGTATTTCTGCATGTTCTCCCTGAGCATGCGTGGGTTTTCTCCGGGTACTCTGACTTCCTCCCACAGTCCAAAAACATGACTGTTAGGTTAATTGGCTTCTCTAAAGTCACCTTAGGTGTGAGTGTGAGCATGAATTGTTGTTTGTCTCCGTGTTGCCCTGCAATAGACTGGCGACTTGTCAAGGGCGTACCCCACCTCTCCCCTGTAGACAGCTGGAGATAGGCACCAGAACCCCTCATGAACCCAGCAGGGATAAAAGTGATGGAAAATGAATGGCTTCTAACCTGGGCTAAAGAAAAAAGGACTGAACTGTAACTTTGTGGGTCAAGTTTATCCTTCCTGATAGAAGAAATGTATACACTTAGTTTGGCCCTAGAATCTGGAGGAAGAGTGGAGAGGCATTGTATCCAAATAATCAAAGTTTCATTGGGAAGTTTCCACAGTCAGTGATGATTTTCACCAGCCCACAGTCAGAAATGAAATGTTGCAGCCTTTCCTGCTTCCACTGGTTAAAAATCTCCTCTTTCAATCATATTCAGTGTCTATGGTGCTGCTAAACTTGATGGGCTAACAAACTTGTCTGACTTTATTACTACAGATAATTTAAGCCAACATGAAAATGAGACACGAGACCCGTTAATGAGGACGGGGCTGAAGCTTGCAAACTAGGAAAACCCGAGTTTACTTGATCGATCAGCTACAGTTTGATTGCCTCCATGTCACAGTGATGCAGTAAAACATTTAATATGAGCACGGACTAAAAATATAAGAATCAGAACAAACAAAAATATGTGGAATGTGGAACTACTTGAAAGCACACATTTTAAGTTGTACAATTGTCATTCATTTGCTTAATTTGACTATTTAGATTTAGGAAAATCATTTTTTACAATATGTTTGAGGCCAGAATATAAAATAGTGCAACTATAACTGAAATGATCAGTATTTGTATTCATTATATACAGTGTCAATCTTCATAAATATAAAACCTTTAACTGCAATTTTAGGAGGAACCCAACCCAAACCATATCAGCACAAACACCTCATTACAATTATCAAGCATGGTGGTGGAAGGTGTGTGATTTGGGTTTGTTTTGCAGCCACAGACAGAGACCTTGCAGCCATTTTGTCAACCATAGATCTCGTCTATGCCAATAATTTAAATTTGCAACCTTTTGTCCCACAGCATAATTTTTCTATGAAATGCTTCTACCTCTAAAAATGTTTAGAATTGAATTATAAAGTGTACCTACTTGAATTTACTTTCTGGTTTCACTTTATTTGATCTACAAAGTCTGATTGTAGCCCGTTGTATGTTTTTCTACACTACACTATTGGATATAGATCATTTCAGAACCATGAAAGAAGCAAATAATTTATAGATGTACTAAATAGTAAAACATTTGTACCAAACGGTGTTTTTTGGGCTTGACTGTGGTCAGTAAACACAACAGCATAGGTGGGCAGAGTACCGAAAACATGTTGCACTACTTCATTGTATTTTAACACAAGTAAAAGTAATAAATGTCATAAAATGTTTGTATGTATTAAGACGTTACTCAAGTACTGAGTGACTGATCTACTTGCCACTCATCATAACATCTAATTGAATTATTTTTTAATGGTGTAAAATTTAAAACATATAAAAAAATTTTGTTTCAGAGATTGAGAAAAAAATTGCATATGGTAAAAACACGATAACAATGTTAAAAATGTTACAAAAAACTTATTAAACGCAGTATTTTATAAATATAAGTTAGATATTTTCTATAATAAATAAGCTGTTGACTTCATCCAAATGGCATGGCGTGATCGACATAGAGAAAAAGAACTTTAAACCAATTAAACTTGAGTACTAAAAGGACATCTCCTTTATTTATTCACCGTCTTTGATGTTTGTCTTTGATACATTTTTATTTAAAGCAAGTTTGTCTTCACTGATTGAAGTTATGATGGGGAGAGTAGCCAGAAAGTTTATTCAAATAAGAATAATTATACTTCATTTTGTTTTTGCTCAAGATAAAGTAAAAACTAAAACTACTCCTGATGTAACTGAGTAAATGTAACCAGTTACTTCCCACCTCTGCACATCAGAGCAAGTTTTAAGTTTTTGCCTGTTTTTTGGGGGTTTTTTTTATGATAACGATGGACGTAGAATTTGTATGTTCTTAAATATTCTTCTGTTTTTATCTGTGTTTTAAAAATATACATTTTTTTTTTAGTTTGGATCAACAGAAAGTAAAAAACTATTTGATAAAATATAAGATTGTATTTTGTTTTATTAATCTTTAATTAATACTCCTTCCTCTGCAGCAGAGGCAATACCCTCTTTTTGGTAGAACAAATGCCGATTATTATGCAAGGCATTAAGCCCCATTCAAATGTTTCCTTAGCAAAGACAGGAAGAAAAGAATTTGCTAAATAGATCTCATGCCAGGGTAAACGAATCCACACTTCATTTTCTGCATGGTTTACCTTCACACTAGAGGGAGAGACTTTAATCTATGATCGTTACAAGGAAATCTGAACCATCATATTCCCCTGTAATGTTCGCAAGCACTATATCAGGGGTCTTGAATCTTTTCCAGGCCAAGGACCCCCAAACTGATGGCGAGATGGAGCGGGGACCCCCTAATTATATATTGTATTAAATTGTGTTATATCAAACTGGTCCTTTAGTCACTCATATATGGAGAAATGTAACAAAAGTAATTTGTCCCTGGTATTATTAAAGTATTTCTGATTCTAATTCCTGGTTGATGGGACAGGTGCTGTGAATGAAACGGTTCCCAGCTTGAAAGAGACTGAAAGACATCTTCTGCCTTCATTTATCTGTTTACTACAGTCTGTTTAATTCATGTTAATGTGTATTTAAAGACATTTCAATTAGTGGAAACAATTGCAGGAGGGAATAGTCTATTCAACCAAAACTCAAAATTCAAAATTCAAAAGTCTATTCAACCAAAACTTTTGCGACCCCCTAGGGGTCTTGAACCCCCTGCTGAAGACCTCCGGTCTATATGATTTACTAATATTGATTCAACATTTCCACGGAAAGCTGTTGAATCTTTAAAATAAATGATTATGCAGTTTCCTGCTTATGAATCTAGTCATTGTGTTTTCTTCAGAGGAAGCAGAGTATCTGTGAAAGGTGAGTCCATCAGTTTGGCCCAAGTTGCTGAGGTTTTCAGAAAGCAGGGTTCATGGTCGGATGTCTGCCAAAGCATTTTGTGGTGGATGCTTAAAGGCTGTCTAGTTCTTGAACACCTGGAAGGCCACACCTGTACTCTCAATACGAAGTTGAGGTAGTTCCCAGTATGGGGTGGATTGTGTTAGGGCTGCCATTGTCTCTGATCCTGACTTTGCTTTTCATTGAGACAATTTAAAGGACATGATGGAGATGAGGGTTTTTCTGCGATTATAATCTTTTGGGGTCTTTAAGTCACGGCGACCTCTAATCTGGCTGTCAAGTACGAGGCTAGGGATCGCTGTTGAAAATAGGTGGCCACCCCCCATCAGGTACTAAGTGATCAAATTTCATTTGCTGAAACAACATGTAGATCAGGTCTGAGTGGTTTGATTATTTTATTCCATATGGGGCAAATAGGAGAAGAAATTAGTTAAATTTAACGGGTCAAATATTTAAGTCCACAGCTGTAACAAACCAGCCAATTTCCAAAAGTCTTGATAAGTTTGATTCAGAGCAGCTTCGAGTATAATGTGAGACCCATATGGACTAACAAGGATCCACTTAGGTGTCCAAACTATTCAGAAAGAAGCTGCATAAAACATAAATAGGCCCCATACAAAAAACCCAAAACAATATAACCACCAGGCAAAATCCATCAATAAGAGTGGTTCAATGCATTTTTATGCCTAGATCCATAAAGCACAACTTACTGATCCAACTCAAATGTTTTCAGGAAAAATTCAAAGCTTATCTTTGATGTTCTGCAGTCTCTCTTCAAGATGCCATCCTTCTCTTTGTGATACAGGTCGCTGGCTCTGGGGCAGCAGTACTCGTCCCTGGGCTCCCAATCCATCTTGTGTGGCTCCATCCCCGGCTTGGTGCCCAAGCAGCTCCGCTTCTGTCGCAACTACATCGAGATCATGCCCAGTGTCGCTGAGGGTGTCAAACTAGGTATCCAGGAATGTCAGCACCAGTTCAGGGGACGTCGGTGGAACTGTACCACCATCAAGGACAATCTCGCCATCTTTGGACCCGTGCTGGATAAAGGTAGATCCTCAATATGAATTACTATGTAAAAAAATCATTTCTTCATACCATGTATTTCAAAAGACTTTAGTATTTGCTCATGTGACTTTTCATAATGATATACCCAGCTCTGTTCTTTAGCCTTGTAAACCTTTGCAGACAGGCAAAAGAAAATGCTGCAGTCAGAAAAGCCTTAATATGAACAGTTTGGCCTGCAAGATACAATATACTGCAAAGATTTTCATACTGCATATTACCATTCCAGCAAGACACCTATATGGAACGCATTGGTGGCAGCATTACGGCATGGGAGTGCTTTTCTCTATCAGGAGAAGAAAGAATTGATAGGGAGATGAATGTAAATAGAAAAAACTGTTCAGCAGAGACTGGAGGGAAGGTTCCCCTTCCAGGAGAGCAATGACTTTAATCATCCTGTACAGCCAGAGCTACAATGGATCAAAGCATCTTCATGTTTTAAAATGGCCTAATTAAAGTCCAGTCCTACATGCAACAAAGAATCTTGGATGTTCTCCATCTCAGCTGTTTTGCAAAATTGTAATTTCAGACTTTAAAAGACTGAAAGATGTCATTAAAGCTTAAGCGGGTTCCAGGAAGTATGAACTCAGGCATCACCACATAAATTCACAGCATACTTTCCGGATATAAGTATGTAAGTAACTGGGGTTTATAGTCTAATGAATCATGAAAACCTTTGCAAGGCAATGTATTATAATTGTAAGCATACAGACATTGATTTTAACTGAAAGCAGATTCATATATAATACATTTGACCTACTATGGAAATTCATCTGGTGCTTTTCCATCAGAACTACTGATGTAAGGAACATATAAGAGGGAAAACCAGGTTTTCTACTCAGATCTCAGAGGTAGACGTTTCTGCATTGTGACAGAGCCTGCTGATTGGAAATGAATTAGCCTGTGTGTCAGAGGAGAGGGAAACTGGGCAGCAATGGGCAGTTCGAGCAGTTCAAGCTCCCCAGTCAAATAAAAGGGATAGGAGAGGCCAAATGAGATTACAGGCAACAGAAAAGGGCCTAGGGGCTCCGCTCAACCCCTACTGTGCATGAAGACCAGTCCGCTCCCCACACAGTCCAGCTCCCACGGACACCCCATTCACACGCCCTTTTGACTCTGTCATGAAAACCGGCTGAAAGGGGATCTCTCCTAACCTAGGCTGGTAGCTCTTCAGCATGAAGCAGCAAAAGGAAAAGAATAAAGATGAGTGTGTCCCTTTAGGAGTGAGGAAAAAAGTTTCAGGGTGGAGTCAAACTAAAGACCCACCTGTCGCCACCCTCAGGTGCACATTGGCGCTGCTCTTTGGCGGATGCCTAGAGAGCCAGGGGTGATGATGCAGTTTGTGGTGTACGCCATTTCAGCTCATAGCGAAGGTGGAAATGGGTAAGAGTTGGAGGGGGAGGAGGGGGAGTTCAGGGAATGCCAGCTCTGGGCAGAGCGGAGCTGTGGGGGCGCTAGTCGCTGGCTCCTTTGTGCAGATAATACAGTGTGACACAAGGGAAACAAAGGCGGATTGATGGGCCCAGCAGGTAGCAGGAGCAGCGCTGGCCTTGGTTAACAGCCAGAGATCCAGGGGCCCAGGGCTCATGGGGGTTAGTTTTCAGGGTCTGACTGGTCCTGGCAGGGCAAGAAAAGGACGCCCAACCTGCAGCCTGTAAACTGTGCTAAAGTCTTAAGTCATCCTTTATTTTTTAAATCATGCTTCCAGTAGCACAGAATATGTTGTTACAGTATCTGTTAGTTAGTTTTGATTCATACACCAACATGCAAAAATCTTCAACATGTTTTCTTTCATATTTGCCCTATTTATTATCTAAAGTGCATCTGAAATTCAATGACTAGACTTTATTTTGCTGAAAATAAAAACTCTCAAAAGTATAATGCTGTCTTCACCGTCTCTCCTTAAGGATAGTGTCTTCAGGATGATGTTTAGAAATAGAAAATAGAAATAATGTGTCCCAGAGGGACATTTGCTGTACACAAATCAACAACAAAAAAGGGGCATTAAAAAAATATTATAAAATAATATCAGAACTGCAGTTATGAGAACTTATTTAAAAACTCAACAGCTAAAAGAATATAAGACCTCAGGTATCGGTTAAATCTTGCCTTATGGACATAAGTACACCTCGGTCTGGATGGGAAAACCTGCATTCAGTGAAAGGGATGACAAAGATCTTCCAGGATCATTCAGGGTTTATATCACATCTAGTGTTTTGTTCTTCTGATCTAGAAGATATGTTTTGCGTTTGAATTGTTATTTTTAATCTAAATTGACCCAAGTGTCAGGTTGGGTGGTGGCTTTGAGAACCCAAACGCAGAGATGAGTTGGCACAGATGAGTTTGGATGATTTAATGAAAGTCCAAAGGGAACAGAAGCAAAAATCCAAAATACAAAAATACTGAAAACCAAACAAAAAACCTATTAATGTCAGGGAAAAAGGGAAGCAAGAGACTAGAAAGCAACAAAACAACATCAACAACACAATAATCCAGCACTGAGTGAACGCTCTGCTCTCTTTTAAGCCCAGCACTCTGGTGAGAAAGATTATTTTCACCTGTGTAGGCTACCCTGGTTCCCCACAAAGATCCTCTCTGGCAGAGATGCATAACTCGCACTCACTCATACACAGGAACCCTGACTCAGATCTTCAAAATCTCATGTGAAAAAGAGCGTTTGTGTCCCTAACAGCTTTTTGCTACCATCACTGTGTTTATCTGCTTAGATAATAATATGTTCAGGATCTTCTGTGAGAAATTCAGAGTTTGCGATATTTAATTATTACTTACCTAGTTTTAAACCTCTCCAGAACCTCCCCCAGGATCTTTTTGCTGTTTTCCATGTTCTTTGATGTCTGTGATGAAAGTTAAAAAGGTTTCTCAATTCAAAATGTCTGGATTAATGTTGAGTGCCAAGCTTTATAGAGTAGCCCAACAGAGCTTTGATATGGCTTAAAAAACATGCAAACTGAACCAGAACAGGTCCACCCCTTCGTAATGGGCAGTGGTTGAGTTCTCTGTTAGTCTGCAATACCAGATACTTACCTATGCCTCTTAAAAGATAGTCGTTTGGGTTATTGTTGGCCTGGCTGACCAGGCGAGATGTTTGCTTCCTTCACACCCCTTTCAAACCACCTGTCTTCTTTGTCCAAAACGTGAACATTCTTGTCCTAAAAAGATTGTCCTCTGTCCATAAAGTGTAGATAAGGCATCCCCAAAGTCGGTCCTCATGGGCCGCTGTTCTGCAGGTTATAGAGGTTTTCCTGCTCCAGCACAGCTGATTTACATTGATAGTTTATTAACAGGCTTTTGCTGAACTGCAATCATCAGAATCAGCTGTGGTAAAGCAGAGAAACCTCTAAAACCTGCAGGACAGCGGCCCTCGAGGACCGACTTTTGGGATGCTTGGTGTAGATGGACAGCCGAGTCTTGTCCGGAGGAGGTAGCTCTTCTGTGTTGAGCCATGCATCTGTGGAGAGGTTGTCTGTGATCAAGTTACCCACGGGTGACTTCTGAATGTCATTGTTGCACTGGTTTTTACATCCATCCATCATTTTTTTGTGGGCACACTGTAAAAAATGTTCACTGTGATCAGGTATGAAAACAGCAAGTAAGTTTTAAGAAGAATTTTGAAAGTTCTTCAGAAAGCCTGGAAATCACCACATTAAAGTCAATCTTTTCTACCTTTGAAGCATTTAAAAGGATTGAAAAGCTGATCAATTGTAAACTGCTTCTGTCACCTTAAATTTTCCGCTTGTTTATCTGAAAAATAAAAAAAGAGTCTAAAGAATTTCTGACCTTTAGGATTTGCAGCAAGTTGATTCTCATCTCGTCTTTGCGGAAAATATGAGATACTAAATCACATAGGAGAGATCAGGCCAATTAACACTTCTGACAAGTCAGCTTTATGACACATCGTCATACTGGTGTGCGTCTACAAAGGCACTAGTGAGGTGTAATGGTTAAGTCCTGATAAGTGTGCTGTGATTGTGAAACAATGGCGTCAGGTTACATAATAAGCTGTTGCCTTGAACGAAGGCGTAACTCCATCCGTTCAACACAAGAAAGAAATGGGCCGACACTCTGCTTCAGTTTCACCTGAGCCCCTTGGGCTCTGAAGTGGGATGGGAGCGGGGGGGACAACATTCCTGAAACACTATCCAGATGCACAGCAGCACACCTCGGGGATGACAGGTCACTGAGATCCACCTAGCACCACAGCAGGGATTCTTTATTGTTGGTGCAATGATTGAACACTGAACCCCAAACTCTTAAATAAAAGAAAATTGGAGGCCCCTCTTAGCTGCTACTTGTTTTTGTCTGCAGCTGGCAAATACCTGTCCATTAATTTGATCTTTCCAAAGATGAAATGCTGTGTTAAAAGGGTTTTGCCTGGAGGGATCCTTTTCAACACATCTGTCTGGATGTTGGCAGCAGCTTTGTCCATGTTTAAACCAAAGATTGACACTCTCTCCTTTCTTCTCCGCCCGTCTGTCTTCATCTGTCTCCTTTAGCTACAAGAGAGTCTGCGTTCGTCCATGCAATAGCCTCTGCAGGCGTTGCCTTTGCAGTGACGCGATTCTGCGCCGAGGGCACTTCCAACATGTGTGGCTGCGACTCCCACCACAAGGGGCCACCGGGCGAGGGCTGGAAGTGGGGCGGCTGCAGCGAGGACGCAGAGTTCGGGGTGCTGGTGTCCAGGGAGTTTGCAGACGCCATGGAGAACAGACCGGATGCCCGGTCTGCAATGAACCGCCACAACAACGAGGCCGGACGCTCAGTAAGCACATGCAGAAACAATCAGTGATGAAAGAACTTGTTCAGATTATCAAAGAAAATTTTATCTTAATTCACTGCTTTATTGGCTATCATTAAAAAGTTAAATTATTCAAGATTTTATTTGGTAATTATGTATTTCAAATTTAATTTTATAACGTAGGCAAGTGCAATAAATATATAGTTGTAATAATAATTGCAATTTAGGAATTGAAGAATTTTTTTTCGTGGATTTTCCATCCACTTAAGGAGGAAGGAAAACATGAACACATCTAAAGGTTTAGGTTATAAAACAAAGCATATCCCCAGCTTTAAACATCTAATAGAAAACCTATCAATCAAAAAAAGAAAAGAAAAGACAGCTGTACAGCAGTAAACCACAACATGCATCCCTACCTTTTTTTTCTCTAGGGCTATGAAAGCAGATGAAGATATCAAGGAAGAACATTTGTTATACTTGATGCTGGGACAAAACTTTTTCTTTCTGCAGGAGGACTATCCTAAACATACAACGAGAATTTAAAGAATGTTTTGGACCAAAGCATATTCATATTTCAAATGGCATAGTGAAAGTCAAGCCCTGAATTTAGTTAAAAATCTGCAGCCACACTTGAGAAGAGGTGTTCAAAAATCTACAGGCTAATCTGACTTAGCTTGAGTTGTTTTGCAAAAAAAATCTCAATCTCTAAATGTGCAAGGCTTGCACACATTCCCCCAAAAGACATAAAAAAGGATGTCTTAGATTAAATGACTTAATACAAATTAAATCCAATGCATCATGGACTTTTTGAGATTCTATTTGTAAAAAAAATAAAAAAAAAACTGCAGCAAACGAATTGCCATTTTTACGGAAGAGGATTAGTGCCACTGAAAAAAAAAAGTTAACTGATTTTTAAATTTTATTTTAGTTTAATATGGGAAAAAAGTCAGAATTCTGACTTTAATCTCAGAATTCTGACTTTTTTCTCAGAATTCTGACTTTAATCTCAGAATTCTGTCTTTAATCTCAGAATTCTTACTTTTTTCTCAGAATTCTGACTTTTTTCTCAGAATTCTGACAGCTAACAAACATGTTAGCATCACGCCATAACCATGTCTGTTTTAGAGACTAGCTCTCTTGTTTCAATGACCTTCTGCTCCTCTATTAATGAGGGGACCCGTCTAGCACGTAAAAAGTCGCCTAATTCCATAATTTTTTACCAATGTGTTACTGGGCCTCCCAAACAACTCACATCTTTGTCAGTGAAGCTGAGTGCTCCACATCTCTACCTTCATGGTGCCATTCTACATTAAGATCCAAAATTCTGAGATTAAAGTCAGAATTCTGAGAAAAAAGTCAGAATTCTGACTTTTTTTCCCATGTTAAACTGAAATAAAATTTAAAAATCAGTTAACTTTTTTTTTTTCAGTGGCCCTAATCCTCTTCCGTACATTTTCCTATAAGCTCCTCTATTATGAAAAAAAACAGATTAATTTAAGAAACTCTCCATTCATTGTGAAAACATTGAGACAATAAGCAGCTTGTTCTGAAATGAAGATGATTTATCCAGTAAACACTGCGGTTTTGGATTACTAACTGTTCGTGAGATGGGCAGGGATTTGCTGTTTGACTCGTCCGCACATCTCTGAGCCACCAACTGAAAATTAGCTCTTTGAATGACTGGTTAATTACTCATCTAAACAACAGTGAGACACACACCTTGGCTTTTATGCTCTGCGTCCCAAAGAAAGAAAAAGAAAAAACCAAAGCAGTCAAAAAACCAAAGAGAGCTAAAAGAGCAGAATAAGGCGAGTCAACGTAGACTTAAAACATCACCGGCTGCTGTCGCCGCCGGGGGGAAAACAGGCCCTCGGCTGCTCAATCAAGGGCAAATAGAGGGACCACACGGGAACAAGATGACCCTTTGATCTGAGCACATCGCAACAGTCAGATGGGCCACAGCAGATAACAGACCAGCGTTACCGTCAGAGGCCTCCAGCTCTCTCAAACTTGGTCCTCTCACGCTTCAATATTTAGCCCTAAGGGCCTGAGTCTTTATCTCAGCATGACAAGCTCACCTCGTGATGTCACCAGTCCACCAGTGTGCAGCCACCTGCTTTCTGCCCTAGCTGGGGGAATTCAGCTGCTAAATATATCTGCTAAATTAAAGCACAGCTAAATCAAAACACAAAGGTAAAATATGCCCTGAGGGAAAGCATGACTTCAGAGAGCTTTAGCTCCGGCACAAAGCATCTGTGGTTCACAGCTGCATGAACCCTAAGTAACATACAGCCAGTGGCTTGTTTTTATTTCCTAGTGCTGCACTGGGCAAGTTTGAAAACGTAAACGATGACACAATCTGCAGGTTCTAGGTAGGGTCAGTATGGAGATTCTCATGTTTTATCTGGAGTAACAATAGTGCAGCATTGTAGCCCTGTATAAACAAACCCCAAAGAGGTTGTATCTTATTTTTAAGTTTTTTTTATTTTTATTCTAACGTTTGTTAACTTTAAAGTAAAATTTGCCATCTTTGAAATTGTGATATAATCCAAATAAAAGAAAGATACTCAATACAGAAATGTTATATTATACCACTGTTACAGTCTAAATAATCAAGCTTACCCAACAGTTGACAAGCATTGATTGATTGACATTAATTCTCGCTAAAGTAGCATCCTTTTTTTTTTTACAGTGTCCTGTCTGGCAATGTGGCAATAAGAAAATGACCTTGAGAGGACTGTGAATCCTCTCTACATAGATTACAACTTTATTTATGAAAAAAAAAATATTTTCCCAAAGACAATTTTAGAGGATCATGAAGAATCCTTAACTTAAGTCCTGGTACTGCCAAGGAGGCGCATCTTTTAGTAAGAGCTTTAAAGCAGGATTAATTTATAAAACAATAATCTAGTGTTTAAAAATTTCATAGTACATGGTTCAATCCACTATATGGACATTTACCAATTTTCGCAACAACCATTACTCAGAAAATTAGTCAAGAGGCAGATCCACAGCTCAGCTGGACAAATCTGTTAACAATAGAAACATGTTCACTCCACAAACTAGGCCCAGGTATGCCCTGACTAATGGGACAATCATTGAAGGAGGCTGAGGTGATTATTCAGATTAAATATAATTCATTGATTAATTAAATAATTGGCAATTAATCTGGTAATTAAACTGACTCATAACCTAGACTGATGGTACACAGACTCTAAAACATGCCTTTTGCTGAAGGAATGACCTGTCTGCAGGAGTATATATGAAAAAACTCAACAAAAATATAAACATTTCACATTTCAGATAAAATAAATCTTATTATGTTTGTATGTTTTTTTATTCTAATTATGTCTTTACTTAGAAGTATTGATTTACACAAAGTATCTCATTAAAAATAATGTGATATATTAAATGATTACTAAATAATCGATAGGTGCAGTCCTAGTGAAATATCACAGTGTACCACCCATATGATGATACTTGGTGGTGGCACCATCATGGTGTGGGGAGTAGAGACTGACATTTTTTCGGGAATCCCACGGGTCACGGGATTCCCGAGGGATGGGAGTCAGTATTAGTAACGATCACGTGATTGGGACGGTACAGGATTAAACATTAACGGGAGCAAACCAATAGTAACTAAAAAAAACGAGGATTGATGCCAAAAAATAAAATAAAATAGAAAGAAAAAAAATCCAGTACTGGCGCCGCCATTTTGTAGTTTTTTTCCTTGAAGCCTATACTATAATACGAGTCAAAAAAACTACACGACCCAAAAACCAACCTTCCGCTCTGAGTTTTTCACCCGCGCTCAAAAACAATGGAGGGACCAACAGTTACTACAGTTAGAAACAGGAACTTAACTGACCCTTCATAGAAATTCAGATTCAATGTATTGGCAGAAATCTTATTGAAGACAACAAGAATGGGAGTGGTGCAGGAGCGTGGGAGTAATTTAACCAGGAGAGGGACGGGACAGGATTTAGATTTCTACTCTGGCCCGGGATCGGGACGGGACACAATTTTTTTCTGTGGGAGTGGGACGGGTCAGGAGTGAAAATCCACTCCTGTGTCAATCTCTAGTGGGGAGTACAAGGGCATATAGTTAAAGGTCTTTATCAACTGATGTGGTGATATCATCATCACCATATCAGGGTTTCATTATTTTCAGATTTTGGAGCAGCACAGTTCTGGCAAAGACATTTAAATTGGACTTGGGTCAAATCTCAGAGCTCTTTTGGTGCTCTGCTGTTAGAATTGGTTTGTTGTGGTTCCTACCTGTTACAGATTTAAGCTCTGGTTTTATATTAACCTTGAAGATATTATGTAATCAACTAATAAATCATATCTGTGTTTCTCAGACCATCTTGGACCACATGCATCTGCGTTGTAAATGTCACGGGCTCTCTGGAAGCTGCGAGGTCAAGACCTGCTGGTGGGCGCAGCCAGATTTCCGCACGTTGGGTGACTACCTGAAGGACAAGTACGACAGTGCTTCTGAGATGGTGGTTGAGAAGCACCGGGAGTCACGGGGTTGGGTGGAGACCCTACGAGTGAAGTACGCCTTCTTTAAGCACCCCACAGAGCGCGACCTGGTTTACTACGAAGGCTCACCCAACTTCTGTGAGCCCAACCCAGAAACGGGATCGTTCGGGACGCGGGATCGCGTCTGCAACGTGTCATCACACGGCATCGAGGGCTGTGACCTGTTATGCTGTGGCCGTGGCCATAACACCCGGACTGAGAAGCGCAAGGAGAAGTGCCACTGTATCTTCCACTGGTGCTGCTACGTCAGCTGCCAGGAGTGTGTACGTGTTTATGACGTGCACACGTGCAAATAAGAGGCCTGTACTTTTAGGACAAACTGAATGCTGGACTTTCTACCCCAACCCCTTCATGCTGCACAACTTGAACTTCCCTGCAGATGTTTACACCTGCTGCATTTTGGTCAATAACCCAGTCATACAAACTCAGGCTGTAATGTATGGAGCAAAACCAGGGTCAGGAAACACAATAAAAATAGAGGTTGGGGTTGTAGCTAGATTTCTTAGCCTTAAGTTCACTAATTAAAGGTAACACTGGAGTTCACCTAGTTTAAATCTGGGTAACAAGATTGTCTTCAACTTTGGAGATAATATTCATTATAATTAAACAATTATGGACATACAACAGACCTATACTTCCTGTTGTCATTTAGCCTGGCTAGTCACAATGACTAAAGCAATACATACTGTTCATCAGTCTGGAAAGGAGCGGGTAGAGGCTAAACTAATGCACAGATAAATCAAAACGCAAAGGTAAAATATGGCGGGTCTTACAGACTAGGCAGAACAGGTTAGAACCAATCAGGTTAGAAACAATCAGATGTAAAAACTTCTTTTTAAAAAAGAAAACTTGCTGTTGCATCAAGGGAACTTCTGGCACAATCATAAACTCTTGCCTCCCACGTTGTGATTGGTCCGGTTCAGTCTGGCTGGCCAGGCTAGAAAGAAAGTGTAAAAGTGTAGAAAATAGTTTCTTTTCTTAAAAAAAATAAAATAAATTATTAAAAACCTTTTTAGGCTGTAGCTATACTATATCGAAAGAAAGAGATTCAGTAATACCATCATTGAAGTTTCATGGCTATCGGTTTATTTTTCTTGTATCAAAGAATAAATGATGGAGATGACTGGTTTTATTATAATTGAGAATCACTTTTAATTACCAATAAGCCCCACATTAAAAGGTACATAAAAAGGGGGGTTAGAAAAGTTTTACATATCTACGATATATTTTATGGATTTTTTTTAATTTTTTTTTGCTTTTAATCAAAAAAGGAACGAATAACGACAACAGTAAATAACCCCTGTTGTCCTTTAATTCAAGCTAAGATTAAAAAGCTGCATAACTGGATATTTACAACCATAGAAGGTTCAGTTTGCTGCCAAAATCTCCAACTAGTGTTGGAATTAACACTGTTGGTGAGTTTTCAGCACTCATCATGTCAAAACTTTCCAAAAATAAAAAATAAAAAATCTCAGTTAAAAGGTAAAACATTTTTATATCAGATATAGACAACCTTAAAATTAATAAAAAAAATATGCAGTTTTCAAATGATGATTTGGAGGAAAACAAGGCATGGAATACCTACAGAGATACCTGTTCTTCAATATCTTCAGATTGGGATGCAATGTATTGATTTTATTTTAGATATTTTAACCTACTTAAGGTTGTCAGAAAGGCCCTGTTTTATTTCAGAATTTTGTAGGTCTGTTTATAATAAGCCAAATAAAGGATACTAGAAGGTCAGTTTGGGCAGTTAGATAAATGACATCATTTGAAATCTATTTTCAATATTAACTCTGGTATTTTTTTGTTTTATCTCATTTTTACAAAATGGTGAAAGCAGAACTTTGTAAGGCTGCAAACATTTTTTTAGTTCTGTTTTCAGTCTCAAGTATTGCAGATTTTACAGCATGAGTATTGATAATGACAGTTAATAAAGAGCAAAATGCAAACAATATCCACAATGGCCTGTTTTTAAATTGTGTTATATATTTGTAACACCTAAGACAAAAACCTGCTAGGAAAATCTTTAGCGTAGCTGCTGGACCTTTTGGAGCCTTTGACCTAAAACACTCAGCAAGTTTTGCATAATTTTTCATTTTACTTTTCTAAACTAAAAAAGATGATCCATCAACCTCTGTTTTTATTTTGTTCCTGTCACTCACAGAGCTCCGTACTGAAAGGGTAAAGATAAATTGGGAATAAAACATAAGTTTGAGTTTTCTTCCTCTGTCCTGGACTAAATAAACTTCCCCCCCCTTTTCATGGGAAGCACTTGTGCCACTTTCAGTGCCCTCTCCCCCATGTCTTTATTTATTTCCCCCCTCTGTACCAACATGATGTTTGCAGCATGTATAGTAACAGTCAATGCAGTGAAACCTACACTTCTTTCCAATTAATGCCTCTTTTTCACTCATCATTTTTGTCTAAACTAACTTTCCGTCCGCTCCACCATCCCAACGTCACTGTTTAACTACTGAACTGAAAACAACAAGCAGACACTGAAGGTGCAACAGTCCTGTTTATTGTAAACTACTGACATGATTGAGTCCTTCCCACTGGACCAGTCAACTGGAATTTCTAGGAGATATAGATACACAGCAGTGTGATGTTTATAGCCCTGCATTTTTTGAATTATGACCATCAGGATGGGACTGGAGGTATGCAGGAGGGGGCATACTCATTCCTCTGACTAACCTCCCCACACAGGTTTTATGTATGCACTATTCAGATGGCTCCAGGTGGGAATATAGAAACAAAAAGTCTGTAAAGTTATCATGAATGATGGCTTTGTTACACATTTATAAACTGCTTATGAATTCATGCGTCGTACGTGAGCCAGGCTTTAGCTCATTTAATTACAGTTCATTGGGTTCATCCTACAAGTTTGTGTCTAAAAATAAATATAATTCAGTAAAAACAAGGGGCATGCGATGACATGTGGAGACCAGGGGGGTAAAGGGAAGCCTCGAATTGGCTGTCATATCTCTACAGCATTCCTACATGTTTATCCTGGGCTGAAGCGTTCAAGAGGTTTGATTTATGAAGCTGTATCCTTGTCTGTGCTTCCCCCCCTCAAAAAAAAATAAATAAAAAATAAAAGAGCTGGAAGAGCATGCAGCAGTTTAGCAAAGGAATGGATCTCAGTAGATTGGTGTTTACGTTTGAACTAGAGGATCACTGAGGAAAAATGACATCATATGTGAGAGGAAATAATAAAAAGAATGTTGAGACAGTTCGTCTGGCTTTTTCTATATGAAGCCCACCAGCAGAACCTTCCTTACTATAAGCCGTCTTCTATGTGTGACATGTGGTTTCTTCTACCTGGATGTATTTTTCTCTCCACTATCAACACCCTGACTTTACCCCTGCTATATCCAAAGTTTTGTACAAATGTTTTAAAGTGAATAATTCCCTTTTTATTTTATAATCGTAAATGTTATGTTTTTATAAATATTATTTATTATATGATGTATATATCTGTACGACTGAACTAAGATTATATATTTGAAGAAGATCTGTGTCGTGTTTGATGTTTTCACTTTTAGCTCAATATCTTCTCTCGTTAGTTTATTTTTCTGTTTTGTATTTTGGAGAAAATACTTTTTAACTGTATTAACGATCTTATTACACTGGAAAAAATGGAAATCTAGATAAGTTATTTTTTCCTAAAATAAGTGCATTTGTTCTTGGATTGAGCAGGTAAAAGACACATTTTGCCAATGCAACAAAACAATTTACATTTAAAATAAGAAAACTCAATTGCATTGTCTTATTTCAGGTGCATTTTATCTAAATATCTTCTTTTAAGAGTAAAAATACTCATTCTATTGGGAAAGCATTTAATTTACCCACTCAAATTAAGAGTAAATACACTTAATTTAAGAATTTTTACAGTCTAGGGTCCCTAAACAGTCTGGAAAATTTTGGAGTAAGATCAAATTGTTTAAAGGCTTCAGGCAAGCGGGGGGGGGGGAGGAAATACTTTTTGTCTCTTTTTGTCTTTTATTCTTGATTTCTTGATTCCTTGCAGCCTGTTTTGCAGGTTTTATCTTCAGCTTCCTGTACTTTATGGAAGATTCTAAATGCTTGCAGGTAGATTATTAATTTGACATTAGAATATCACAGTTTCCTTTTTTATTAGTGATAAAAGCTGCCAGCTTCTTATTTTACACTGCACAAAACGTCAACAAATTCCAATCACAGCATTAGTAATTGTAAAGGATATTTTAGCCATTGACTGAGAAAACGCCCTTGACACAACCACAAAAACACAATTTTTTAGTTAATTATCAGATTTAAACTTGTAAGGAAGACTTGTATCTATTTGACATACAAGTCCAGATGTTTAGATATCCATATACAACAGCATAAAAAAAACATGGAGAAGTCTAAAATTAGTAAGCAACCTTTGAGTTTAAAAGATGAAAAAAGAACTCTTTAAATCGGCTCTAAAAAAGTCTTGAACTTTTATACAGAAAATGCATAAGGACCCTGTTTTTGATGTTGAATTAAATCAAAATTTAACAAACTCATGCAGCAGCAGTATGAGGATTATTGTTCATCAGAATTAATTCTACACTTTAAATAATTGTATATTTGGATTTCATAAGTCAAAGTCACCCCTTCTATAAAACAGGAACCTTGTTAGTTTCCTGGTCTGAATCACACAGATGTGTATATAAACGTATCATACAGAGACTTGATTATTCCTATGGCGAAAAAAAAAGAGATCTATAAATCTTCACAGGAGAGATATCAAGAAAGATCAGAAACCACAGTCTGAAAGGAATAAAAAACAAAAAAAAAAACCTGACAGAGCTCAATCTTAAGGTGTTCAAAGCTCTGTTAGTAAGTATGATGTTACAATAGGACAACCAAACAAAAATCATCTTAAAGCCTTTTTTCTGCAAGACAAAATTAAATGGGTGGAGATAACCTAACATGGAATAGTTGCACAAATACCTTTTACCGTCAGTCAAGCACGGTAGTGGTAAGCTCATGATCTGTGATGATGGTATATTGCAACGATTTACCCAACTATAGCCACATGTTCTTATATTAGAAACTCATTGAAGTTATGGTACAAGTACAGGTTAAATAGCAAAGTGCTAAATATATGCAAGTAAAACAATAATCAAAGGATTATCTAAACAAAATCAAAACTTCCTAGAGTAAAAACAAGAAAATATGCTGATTTTAGACAGTTGAGGGATTATGAAAGTATGCAGAGAGTTCAACGTGGGTAGGAACACAATGAAGCCTTTAAAAATATTGCGCCGATGCCATTTTTTGGCGACGATAGATACCTGGCTGTGCAGAATTGGCCGATACCGATACAATCTGTTTGAAATTGATGTATGTGTTTATATATATGAAGAACTGCATACTACTCGGATGTAAAACAATTGCCATTATGGCTTTGTCAAGCTGCTGCCTACCTTTGTGAAGCAGGAAAAAGAAAAAGTGAAACCAGTAGAACTTGACAATAGTTGAATAAACTTTTGGCTCTCAAAATGGTATCGGTGCCCTATTTGTTGATACTCGGCGATAACGATACCACCAATTAAGGGCTGGATAGGGCCCTGCTCGATATTGGTATCAGTGCAGCACTACTTTAAAATAATTAATAAAATCTTAACAAGAGTTAATCAGCAAATACATTATAAATACAGATAATTTATAAGTACGGAAAACAGTATAAACAGAAAAACGCCAAATACCTTTTTTTTAATGAAGATTCTTATCTACCTTTCAACCCATTAACCCCAAAACATAAAAATAAAAATGTACATCTAACCTGCATTGCCGCCTATTAAAAAGCCATTAGTCTCACACACACATTGAAGCTTTATTCATTTAATGTAGCAAGTATGAACAGAGTTGGTGGCTGCAGCACCTTGACTTTAGTAATTGTGATCAATTATAATCAATATTATCATAATTAATGAGTAACAAACATTAGACCGTTTCATTAATACACTAGTTAACTAGTTTAGCTGATCAAAATACAGTAAAATATTTTGTGTACTAATTAATTCTTTTAAACTACAAAGTTTTAGAGCTTAATTTGTGGGCCTTACTATAATATTTTTCATTCTCTTTACACGTTTATAAATATGAGAAACATCCAAAGGGTTCATGGCTATTTAAATCAATCAAATATTATATATTATATATTATACATATGACCGTTGTTTTCCAAGTAGGCTCATTCTAAAAGAAATAGTTTTATTGTATTTAAATCAGGGTATCAGAATAAAAAGGGTGTGGATAGAAAAGCAGGACACACCTCAGATTTTCATATGTAATAACTTGGAAAAACATGGAGTAATTCCCATCTGGTTTACAAGAATGAACAATTTTGCGTTACATCAAATATAATCTAATAAAAGAAATGCACATATCTGCAGTTTTTTTTCCACACCCGGATGCCATTTTTTCTTTTCTTTTTTGCTAAATGAATTCTGGAAAGCCACTTCGTTCCAAGTCAGCTCTTGATCACCCTTGGTCTGAAGGGATAATTTTAAGGGGGGGGGGAGGGGGGGGCACTTTCCCTAGCTCTTAAAATTATCTGGACACTCTACCCTTACACGTGAACGTGCAAAACCGAGTGCTAGGGCCCTAAATGAGTGCAAGTGATAGAAATGGGGCAGGCCCTTTGTCCTTCTTCTACAATGCAGCCCTGCAGAGCAACAAACTTTCACTTCAAAAGTTTAATTGGCACAAAAGTCCGGATCATCTTGGGTCTGCTTTGGCTAAAATGAAGGACAGAGAATAAAAGTAAGAATAAATCCCTTTTAAATTTCTATAGAACTGCAGATACAGACTGTTTCATGGGACTACAAAGAAACATAGTTCTAGAAAAAAAAGCTTGACTCTCCAGTTCAGCAGCTAATATAAAACTGAAGGCAGAAGCATGAAGGTGAATTGGTGAGCATTCATTTTCATACCCCAGACTATATTGTAAGCAACAGAATTTATTGTTAAAATAAAATTAAAATAAACAATAACAAAAAAAATAAATCAGACGGAAGCAAGTGCACCACCTAAACAGCAGGTCATATCATGGAATGATCAGATTACACCTCCGTGTACTAAAATAAGACCTTGATAAACAAATGGTTTAATATTTAGTGTTTGTGCACACATGTTGCTATAGAAGTGCCTCGGTTGCTCTGACTAAATATAAATGAGTATAATTCCTAAGCTGCTCCAGAAACAAGGTTTGCAAAGTAAAGTCATGAGTAATTCAAATCAAACATCCCCTATACTCCAAACATTTAGTCTCATTTCACAACTTGGCAGTTTTCAAGTGAAGTCGACGCCCCGGTTGATGGCTTTCTGGCTTCGGTGACGACGAGGAAGGATGCCGATCGATGCGTTCTCATGTCAGCCTGTTTCAGGCCTTCGTTTCTCAGCCGCTGAGAGGGAAAAAAAACAGACAAAATAAAACAAATAGAAGCGAGAAGAGACTGTAAGGCAAATGAGGAAGTTTTGCCACCAGAGAACTCCTGTCTAGACGGCATATTTTAGGAACGCCGTTTACGCCGACAACACCAGAGGTTCCCGAGGCTGCGATGAGAAGCAAAACTGTTTCTGTTGTAGTTTTATCAGCGTGGGCAGACAGTATTCACTGCAGGGATTTAAAATGACACCATTGATTGTGCTGTATTTGTAAACTTCGTGTTGTAATCAGCCTCACTGATAAAGTTTCAGTCAGAAGTCAAAATGGCCAATATAACCTATTCATTCTTAATTTTCCACATGTTAAGATGGTTTAGGAACCACCTTTCCCTTGATAAATAAAATCATCACATGAGAAATTACCCTTTTTTGTATTTAGTCAGACTTTGTCAAAATTATATTAGATGATCCAAAAAATGGAAGCTATGTTTTCATAACGCTGAGTACAGATCTGTGTCGTTCAGTTTGAAATACTGAGCAAACTGACCGATTTCACTCACTATGTATAAGCAAAGCTTACAGTTGTCTTTAGAATAGCCACTATAAGAGGATAAGTTGAGAAATTTAGTGCAAGTCTGTGATGAATGTGGAGATTCACACAATATGTTTGAAACAACTTGAAAAGTTGTAGTCAATCTCAGGGCGATAGCAGTTATCTATGTTTCCTCGTACATATTGATGAAGCTCATATTTGTTCTCTTGAATTCAGGCTCTGTGGTCTTACCGAGGAAGGATGCCTCTTTCTCACCATCATACGCTCTTTAGATCATTTCCATTTTAGAACCCAGTCTGCAGGGGGGGAAAAAATAACAGAGAATTTGAATATTAATGAGCTCACTTAATTTAATGATCCAAATATATAAATATTAGTGTTCCTCGGCTGATGGTGAGCTTGTTTAGTGTCATGGAAACAGGAAAACAACACTTACCCTCCTTCGTCCCTTAGTAGACTCAGGAACTTACTGACTCTGTAGTCTGGATCCATCTGAAGGAAAGAAACAGACTATTAGAGGAGAGCTTTTGTTTTTGTGTCCATCGACCAAACTGTGCAAGAAGGAAGAGGAGTCCAAATCTAATGTGATGAGGGGGAGCGCGGTGAGAGGAAAACTGGGAGTGCGGAGGGGTGTCGCTGCAAGCCTGTTTTTCAGTATGTCTCTGAAATTCAGATTCACATTTTTTCAGGCCACAGAGTAAAGTGGGTGTAAAACATGGCCGCCGCCCCGCACATGACAGAGTCAAAGGAGGGAGATGATGCTGCATGAGGTGTTTTTTTCGTCCATTCAAATTAAAAACAAAATATAGTGCTTTGCAAAGGTATCTAAACCAGGTAAAACTTTAAACATTTTGCAGTGTTGCACGGATGCCATTTTTTTGGCCACGATACCTGGCTGTGCAGTATTGGCCGATACCGATCCCATCTGTTTGAAATTGATGTGTGTGTGTGTATATATGAACTGCATACGACTTGGATGTAAAATAATTGCCATCATGGCTTTGTCAAGCTGCTGCCTACCTTTGTGAAGCAGGAAAGAGACTAATACAATGTGAATCCAGTAGAACTTTTTATTGCCATCTGGAATGGGTGACAATAGTTGAATAAACTTTTGCCGTCAAAATGGTATCGGTACCCTATTTGTTGGTACTCGCCAATACCAATACCACCATTTTAGTGCAGGATCTCGGCCCCGCCCGATACTGGTATCAGTATCGAGGCAACACTAGTTACATCAAGTAACAGACCAACAAAAAGTGGTGCATGGCGTCCACTGAAAGGAAAACTAAAATCTACATGCATATCTACAATCCCTGTGTATCCCTGAGCCACTTTTTGTAGAATTTTTGACTAGGTCTTCCAGCACATTAATATGTTTTGATATAAACCAAATCAGAGTATCTCAGACTGTTTGCTGAAGCAGAATCTCCATCTTAGTCTTTCACACGTCTTCTTACTGGATTGTTTTAATTTAGATCCGTCATTCTTCCACTAACCAGATCCTATGTAACCGGACTCCGCCAGATGGATTTGTTCTGCATATCCATCTGGAAACCTTCCGTAGAAATAATTTTGGGAAGGGGAGAAAATACTGATTAGCTGATTGGCCTATGTTGGTGATAGACGGGCCAAATAAGATAATCAGATCAACGAAGCATATGACGTACTAACAGAGCGACGACAAAGAGGAGCCAATTGATATATTCAAACTCTTGCCGAAACCAGTTGGGAGAAGAGCAAAAACATCTTTTCCTCTGAGAAAAGCCTCCAGAGCAGTGTTTTGCTCTTCTTTCAGTGAAGAAATACTCTGTAATTCCGATAAAACTTGCTCGATAGCAACGCTAACGCTAGTTTCATCGGCTGAAGCCGCCATGTCATTTAGACTGAACTGTCGTGATTCTCGTTGCGTCACACCTCAACCCGCCTCAAAGCCAACGCTGATTGGACGTTCATTTGGTGAACGGCTCCAAATTTTCTTCAACGGAGAGTCTCCAGACTGATTAGCGAGTGAAACCTTGAAAGCTCGCGAGATCGGGATGGTCTCACGAGGCTAGATCCTATGTCCCTGAGGAATACAAATGTTCCCCCTGTGTAAAGCTCCCTCCACCAAGTGTGATCATGGGGTTTTTATGGGTTTCACTGGTAGTTTTCTTCAACATTTAACACTGAGAGCTTAGTTTTGGTTTTACCTGAACAGAACATCTTGCTGGGTTCATTACAGACCTTGTTACAATCTGTATACATCCCTCCTCATGGTTTTGGTTCAATAATTGATTTCCTTTGGCAATTCTTTGTGGGCTTCATGTCCAACTGTTCTTTCACATAAGCTGCCTATCTGAGCAGAGCTTTAATTTCCCAATCTATCAGTTTAACTGATGGGATTGAAGAGAACTCTCTGAGATGTTCAGAGCTTTGGAAAAGTAACCTAACCTTTTTTTAAGCTTCATCACAACTTGATCCCTGACGTCAGCTGCATTTGTTTTTTCTTCATGATGTGTCCACTAATTATTTCTGACAAACAGCTGAATTGAAACCAGCTGGGGATTAAATTACAAACAATGATTTATAATCCCACAGAGTTGGTAAATCACACAAAATCTCAACAAAATAAATGTAATTTTTGGCTTGTAATTTGACAAAATGTAAAGGAGGAAACTAAAGTTTACAGGGGTGTGTAGACTTTAGAAAATGTGCAGGGTAAAAAGTGAAGTTTGGGAAGACATAAACCAATCAGTCCTCATGTTGGATTTCATATTCAGAGCTAAATTTCCGACTTTCAGTGTGGTCTGACTTGGAGCAACCTGTTTCTCTTCTTCCTCAACATCTGGCTGACACTCGGCTCTTCATGGCTAGTTTGTTGTCAGTTGGGGACAAAAACCTGTCATCTGCAAGCTGGAATGAAAAACCCTGCGGCTCTGTGGATGATTTGTCGAGCAGAGCAATCCAGTTCACAAACAGTCCTCCCAGCTGCTGGGATCCAGTTTGATTTGGTGTTGCAAAACCGTTTCTGCTCGGCCTTCCAAGTTCTGTCCATGTGTTCTGAATCTAGGGGGGGTTTACGTGAAGGAACTGCTTTACAGGCGATGTGGATCAAATCTTTGCTTTAGAGCAAAATGAGGAAGGATCATTCAAACCTGGAGCCAAGAATAAGATATAAAAAGGTTTTCCCTATAAAATAAACTCAGGGTGTTTTGAAGCAGCACAACCTAACATTAAAAAAAATGTATTAAGTAAATTTATTTAAAGCATCCATTCATCCATCCAAACACATATAAGAAATTCGAGTAAGGGGTAAGTGGGTTTTCTTTCTTCAAAAAAACTTTATGAAATCTTTTTTTTATAAACAAATGATCTAAAAAGACAGGATAGTTAAATCGGTGGTCAATATCAATCAAAAAGTAATTTGTTTAAACGAACCAAAGACATCAGTCTGAAAAAAATCTCAACATCACATTTTAGCTCCGATGAAACCTGCCTCCGATAAAGAAAGGTTAATCTTTTAGATCCTGTCAGCTCCTTGAAGTTGCTTTGCCTGCTTCTTATCTGCTGAGAAGCTGCTTGAAAAATCAGATCGCTTTTAGATTTCCAACATTGCTTTGGTATCGGATTAACTGATTATCTTTCCTTCTCTTGATTGCTGCATTTAGATTTGAAATGTTGACTGCTTTAGATATCAATCCTGTGTTCTCAGCCAGGGAGAAATTATGAAAACCTTTGGAACAGGACATTGATGTGTAATATTTATCATAAAAATCCACCTTCTCCCATAGTCATCTCAGTCTCTAGAGCTTAATCCTCTATAATCCCTGTGGGCTGAAATGAAGAGATGACCCCCGATCCTTCTGTCTGTATTCTATAAACTAGTTATATGCAATAATAGCAGTAGGTTCAGGTATGCGATATTTGTAAATTAGGGCTGTAGAGAATGTTGCACGGTGGCGCAGCAAGAAGAATTTGGGTTTGAATCCCAGCCTGGGGTCTTTCTGCATGGAGTTTGCATGTTCTCCCTGTGTATCTGTGGGTTCTCTCCGGGTACTCCAGCTTCCTCCCATAGTCCAAAAACATGACTGTTAGGTTAATCGGCTTCTCTAAATTCTCCTATGGTGTGAGTGTGTGTGTGAACAGTTGTTTATCCTGTTTGTCTCTGTGTTGACCCGCGATGGACTGGCGACCTGTCCAGGTTGTACGCTGCCATTTTAGCCATTGACAGCTGGAGATAGGCACCAGCATCCCTTGCGACCCCAGCAGGGATAAGTGTGTCAGAAAATGGATGTATGGATGGATGGAAGAAATATGTATAGAATATCAGCAGATTCTGATTGAATAAAAAAACTCTTTCTTGAAGTGGGATTGTTTCTATTAGAAACACATGGAGACATGAAATAAAAGTGACTTGGGGCTCCATACCTGTGCAGCCATTCCAATCAGCATGAGCAGCTTCTTTATGCCGATCCACAAGCTTTGGCCTTTCACAGCTTTGCCTATGCTGAGCCGTTCTTTCTCCTGGAAAGCGTCTAAAAGCTAAAGACAGCCAAAGAGGACAGTATAAGCTATATAAAATATGGAAGTTGTTCAAATATGGCAAAAACATTCTTTAATCTATAACCCTCATGTATTAAAGTCAATTTCAGTAAATGAACATTTTAGAAAAATATTAATTCAGTGAAGTAAAACTGATAAGTTATTATATTCATTGCACACAGAAAAAAATCATGGTTTAGGCTTTCATAAAAATTTGAATATAACAAAAATATAAAAAAATTAAAAATGACAGAAAATAGAAATCTTATATTATCTCCATGTCTTTTTTCTTAAGTAAGGGTCAATAAGCTGTACAATTCAAAGAGCCATTAAACTATTTAATCTAAAATCGAAAAGCTTTCTCGCCCCCCAAAAAAACAATCTTTATGTTTTTTTTTCCTTGTTTCTTTTTTTTTTTTGCATAAATGCACACTTTGCTTTTTCAAATGAATTACTGGATAGAAAAATACATAGATAGAAAATACATTTCTGGTTGAAGTAATTTCTTGAATTCTGAATGTATGTTAAGGAAAACATGACCTATTGTGACTTTAATTATTTAGCTTAAACAAATTCTTATTATTACCTTATTTTTTATTTTTATGTTCTAATATATACTTTAATTGTGTGTTATTATTTCTAGCTATGTTTATCACTTTGTTTTCAGCTGTAGCTGTTTTAAGCGCTCCACAAATAAAGTTGATGATGAAAAAAGTGCATAGTTTGGAACTTAGAAAAAAAAAACTTTCTCCAAATTGTGTCTTTTAAATGTGGAAAGTCTGTTTATCTCGACAGTTTTTTAATAAAAAAATACATTTTTATCTGTTGTTCTCGATTCAAAGTCATCATATTTATAACAACCAGCAGAAAGTCCCTGATAACCTCCAAGAATTAAAGATCTGTGCTTAAGAAGCAGGCTGAGAGAAAGCCTGATTATCAGGAACATTCATTAATAAATTATCCTGCCATGTTTAGGTCCGTGCATGTTTTACCTCCAGGGCCTGCACGAGCTGCTCTCCCCTCGATATGTTGGGAAGGTGGATGGTGGTGCTGAAAGCGTCCAACATTTCCATTTCCTGGAGCACGTCTCTACGACTTGTGGTTCCGATGATCAGAAGCTTACGCCCCTGAAAGGGAAGCAAGACTTCATCGGTTTCTGTTTCTCACCCATTTAACAACCTTATTTTCTTCTTAAAATCTGAAAACCTAAAACCCCACATTTATACGGAGAAAGAGGGGGAAAAAATGCGTAATGAACATGGATGTAAACTTTGTGATTTTTCTGTTTCATTGAAGAGACTTTGATGCCGTAACAAAAAAAAAAAAAAACGTTATACTGAGTGATTATTAATTATCATACTGCTGGATTATTATTTCACTAAATTTAAGGTTTCTGGACATTAAAGTTAATGTTACCAATTTCTTTCTCACGACTGTGATCTGCGTTAACAGGATCTCAGGGACAACAAAAGCAAAAGGAAAAGAAAATGAAGGGCAGAAGGGAGATAGATGAATAGAACATAAGAGCAGAAAACAACAGCACGGAGGACAAACATGAGCAAAAAAAGACAAAGACTAAGCCGAGGAGCTGGAGGACAACCAGCAGCAGACAACGAAGGAAGGAGAAGCAGAGGAGTGGTGAGCAGACAGGGGGATTATGGCTGCCCGCTCCCCCCCATGGCGTGGGGGGTTGTGATGCTGCATGCAGATGAGGTGCCACACAGGCGGCGGCGCTGCCAGGTCCTGGCTCTCTTACAGAGCCCATTCTCCTCCGTGTCCCCCTGGCCTCCCCCGGCCCCAGGCACCCCGCTGGGCTCAGCGCTTTACAACCCCGGAGGAGCTCTGCACCCAGGCATTCAACACCCGGCCCCGCGCCACTTCTCAAGCAGCCATATAGTGGGTTATACCCTCATTTACAAACACAACAACAAACTACAACCAAAGAAGCTATGAGAAATTGGTCTGTAACGCCACCATTCACTCTGAGCACAACAGAGCGGGAGCAAAACATTTGCTAATAACCTCACACAGTCGCTCACACATGCCAGTTGCAGCCAAGGACCTCCATCAATTCCTCATAAGACCTTGTGTTGGCATCTATAAGATCTGCTGCCCTCTTTCTGCCACCATAGGACTAACAGCACCACAAAGAGGAAGAGATGGAAAACACAGCTCCATTCTCCAGTACCTGCGGAGGAGGTTTCTTCAGGAGAACCAACAGAGCCTGCAGCACCAAGTTGGAGAAACGAGGACCAATTGGGACATAATCTGAAAAAAAAAAAGACCGTTTTGAAAAAAGGAATATGATAAACAAAACAATATATATCTTCACAAATTTCTGAGGAATGAGATTCGTACCCAACAGGCGTTCAATGTCATCCACTAACACACAGCTCAGCTGGGATTTGTAGGCATCTTCAAATATCTATTGAGAAAACAGATATGTATAAACAATTAAAATCAGACAGAAAATGGGATGGGATGAGTGATATTTTGCTTCATTCATGCATGTCTAAGAAATCCTCATTGAATTTTGCTGTGAGCAGCAGCCCCGTTCCTGCCCTGATTAAACGAGTAGCCATGATCTACATACAGCAGTGAACGCCCTGATCAGCGAGTGGTGATGTCAGGCAGATCTGATCGATTCTGTTTAATGCTGAAACAAATTAGTTCTTTTAGCCACTAATCTGCCCGGTGACAGCAACTATTCTTTTTCTATGTTAACAATTCAGGGCAAATCCAACTCAAATACAATTTTTCCACCAATATTAGGCTCGTATCTGACCTTTTCATGGCAGTCTGACTTCCATATGTGGCATTGAATTGGATACATATCTGATAGATTTTAAAGCGCCTGCTGTCATAATGCTCATCATTAACATCCAGACTGACACCACTGCTCCATCGAAACACATCGTAGATAATTCTGCTCTCTCTTACTTTTCTTTGTCTCATTATGATGCAATCATAATGCTGTAAATAACTCAAAATAACACAGAAATGCTGACATCTGTTATCCTACTGCACCTGTGGGGCATAATCAGACAGAAGTCTGTTGGTGGCCGTATTTAATTAGCAGTCTGAATGCCCATGCAGAAAAAAAGAATCTAATTTCACAATAAAATCGTAATTAAGCATTAAGGCCTGCCATGTAAAAATGGCATTACTTGATTACAGCTGGGGTTTTTTTACTTTTTGAATTAGCTGTGTTGCTCATTGGCCACAGTGGCTAGTGACTTACCAAAGTTACTAGTCACTCAGCATTTTCAAAAGCCACAAGTTTATTTATACGATTAAAGCCGACTATAGCATTCTAAAGTTCACTTAAACTAGATTTACAACTTTTCAAAATGTCAATGACCCTTGTACTGACCCATCAAACTAAATAAAACATTTAACAGATAGTACAGGTCATCATCAAGTATACAGCTCAGGTAGTAGAGGAATAAAATATTTAAACTGCAAAAAACAATGCAGTTTTAGTAATCCAGCCAAGCGAGAAATATCAATATCAGTGATTAAAAACACCAAATACATTTAAAAGTAAAGAAGAACTCTATTAGGTCATTTTGAGAATTCAATATTATTTTACCTGAACCAAAGCTACATAAATCAATCTTATTAAATTCAACTTAAAATCAGGAGAGGAGTACAGCGGATGAGGTTTTGCATGAATTAATTGCAGGACCTTTATTGATACGACTGTTTCAAAAAAAGAAATAAATAATATATTTAGATCCTGGTTTAGACAGAGAAGAAACACTTTTCTCTCTGCCTGTAGACTTTGGCTGCAGAGCTGCTTTTAATTTCACGTCTGCTTCTGTGGGGGAGCTCAGTGCTCCCTGAAGATGACCGTTAAACTCTGAGGAAGAACAGTTCTGAAAAGTCACCAAATATAGTGATAAAATGACCAAGTTAGAAACAGTGAGTTAAATTGCTATTTTTTCTTTCCTATCATCATTTTTCGTGTTTGTCTGCTCTCTGGACTGCAGGTTTGAATGCACCATTACAGATTTATAATTTTGTTCTGCACAGGGAATGCCTTTCTGAAGCGACATCGGTCTCGAATGGACCAATGACCACATAGTGTGCACAAGGGGCGCTCATGGGATATGTAGTGTTGTAAAGTCACATTTGGATTTGCTTATTATTTTGGATGAAGTTTATTAAAACTTCAATTAAAAGGTAAATAGAATCCAACCCATCAAAATGGCTGCTAGCAGTGGCTGTGCTGCCCTCCACAAATTAAATTCACCTGCATTTAGTGTGTTGCCGTTTTTTTCCCTGCTTGGCTTTAAAACCAGCAGCGGCAAAGAAAAACCAAACCATGATGATTTTTCTTTTTTACTGGAAATAAGACACACCTTTTTTATTGCTTGACACTTTGCGATCTCAGAATGTCCGATTATCTTGTCGGGGGAACAGATCTTGATAAAAGGGAACTGGGAATCTTCAGCAATCTTAGCTGCCAGTGCGGTTTTCCCGCTGTTAGGTGGACCTGTGAAAGAATAAAGATTCATAATCAGCGTAGATAGAAAAATAAGGTTAATCTTGTGTGTTTGAATCGTATTAAGTCTGTGCTTTTCTACCTTCCAGGAGCACAGAGACCAGTGGTGTGCGATCGCTGTTCTTGGTCTGCTGGACCAGCAGCTCTCCATCCTCCAGGGCGGCTGAAACTGGGTCACCCCACCGGATTATACCGTTCATGATATAACTGGCATAGTCCTCTTGGTTGGTTCCATAAGCCTGGAAGACACAAAAAATAACGTTTGTACCATGTTATATGCAACAACAAAGTTTTTAGTACAAAGTTCTAGCTAGCGCTACTTTCATCCACACATTTTGGACAAGTTTAGCAATCTTTAACTACAGAAAGTCAGGGAAAAATTATCCTTAATCCTTACTTGCTCTCGTTGGTTAGATAAAACATTACTACATGTTCATCCCCTTATTAGCTTCTCCCCCAAAAAGGTGGACAACATTGTTGAAACTGAAAACTACGTCCTTGCCGAGAGGTTTTTATTTCCATTTTACTTTTTTTTTTTTTTGGGGTTTTCTTTTCCACAGAAAAGGGGGGACTTTGAGAGATCATATTATTTTATGCTTTTAGTTGCTTATTTTGGATATCAAGCATTTCCTCCAGTTCTATTGTAAAATGTCCTCTAAAAATCAAAATACATTAGTCTTTAAGAGATTGTGCTTGCATTGCTGCCATTATCATTTTATCAGTTTAAAATGGTCTCCGTACAACATTATTACTGACAGGCCAAGCTGGGGTTACAGGTTGTTTATTGTTTGAAAAACATTTTTAACAAAAATATTACGTATAGGCTTTAGTGGATGGCCAGACTGATTCTAAAAGCGAAAAGGGAAAATTACTATATATATAATAACAATAAAAAGAAAAACATATCTGAATAAAAAAAGGGGCAGGTAAGCTACACAAAGATATAAAGGATAATTAATCTAAATGATCTAAATGTGTAAATCAATCATATTGACTTAATTCTGCAAATAATTTCCTGGAAAACTTAAAAAAAAAAAAAGGCTATAGTGTCTCTGTGTCAATGAGATTTGCTGCTTTATATGGTGAAAACCAGTCGCTTTGGGATTTCCGGTCACTAATCCTCTCAACCAGGAAAGACACAAATAAGAGCCACACACCAACTTACCGGTTTGATGTCGTTATTCAGCGAGGCCATAAAATCAAGTCTGCTGACTTGCAGCTTCTCGGCCGTCTGAACATCAACCTCCACCGTGTTGCTGGCCTGAAACAGCACAAAAACATAAGCAGGACCATTAAAAACAATTTTTCTGATCAAATTCGATGTTAATCCACTCTTCCATGAAATATGGCACATGTGGATAGTTCAACATGTCATCAGACAATGTTCCCCACTAAAGAGAAAAGGTCAGATGGGGGGAGGGAGGGAAGAATAATTGCTCATAGGAGTGAAGAAAAACGTCACAGCCATCAGAGACATCTACAGCTCCCGTCTGTCAGTTATCATCGCCCACTAATATCTGCTGCTCTGAGGGTACGGCCCTGGAAGGGGGGGTGGAGATCACTTAAGTGAGAACCTCCACCCCTCTAGGTTTCAGACAGTGGGTTTGATTCCAGCTTTAAGTGCCAAGTATGACTGGAAAAGGGCCACAGCTACCAAGATAAAGAAAATTGTACCTTGATGTGTCTGTTCATGGCAGTGGACTGCGCAGCCCTGACCAGTCCCTCCAACTCAGCTCCGCTGTAGTTTTTAGTTTCCACACCAAGCTCTTTAATGTTCACATCGGTGGCCAGCAGGTTGTATTGACGCATCTTGGCTGTGTGGATGTTTAGGATCTGGATCCGCCCGTTTTCGTCCGGTAACCCTGCAGAAAGGCAGGAAATGGTGAAATATATTGTAATGATCTTTTCAGTTTGAACCATTTGTTGATTAAAACCAAGTGTTGCACGAGAGCTTCAAATTAAAACTAGTTTTCCATTTTAACCCTTTATAGGGCAAGTTAGCCTTTTTGATCCCTTGCATACCCCTTACAAATGGATATATATAAGTCAAGAAAAAAGTTAAAAAAGTTAATTGAAAAGTTAAAAAGTTAATAAGACTAGTTAACAATTATATTTTATTTTAGGTTTATAAACTAAAAAAATGTAAGTGCCAGTATCAGCATTAATGCCCCTAAGTTTATGTTGTACCACAAAAAAAAAAAGTGTTTCTTTTACTTTTTCATGAATTTCTTATAGAAGCACTTTTGTTATTACTCTTAATATATTGGGGCAAGTTGGCATTTCTTATTATTATATTGACATTTATTTTTACTGTCAAAATATCCATATCTTTTGGAATGTTACAAAGGTAATAAGATCTTGTGCTGGATTCCAATGACACTGATGGCTTGAAATTTTGATTTTCAAAGTATTTCACTGAGTTCCTATAAGGGTTAAAACTGGATGAGACCTCATCAGCGTTATCGAATGACACAGTAAAACAAACCAAGTATGGATGATCGAATTATCCACCTTTCTAAGATCTCTGTCATTTTCCAAGCTCATATCCGTGGCACTTTTAAAAAAGACCTTGAAAATACAAGTTAGGAAATAATAAAAATGTATAATAACCAGCAAAGCAGCCAAAAGCTCCATTATTACTAGAGGAGCTGCAGAGATCCACAGATCAGGTGGAAGGATTTTTTCACAGAACATTCAGATTTGAATTCAACTAATTTGCCCCTTTTTAGAAAAACAAAGATCAACTTATAGAAATTATTAATAAATGATGAAGGGATTCAGCAAACAAGTGGGTCGAGGTGCTTTAAATGAAAGAAACCTTAAAGTTTTTTCCTAAAGACAATGTCTGGAGGAAAACTAACGCCACCCTGAAGATAGAATTCCCTTCTGGTGAACTATAGTGGTGGAAGCATCATGCTTTGGTAATGCTCATCTTCTGCTGGAATAGGGAAGTTGGTCAGAGCAGGGGAAAAAAAGCCTTCAATACAGAGAAGATCAAATACTATTCATCCGAGAAAATGCGAACAAAGTCCAGACTTAAACCCAACTAAAATCAAAGGGTGGAAAGTTTCTGTTCCAGTTAATTGCAGAAAAGAAGTACAAAGCTGTACAAAGTCTCACAAAATAAGCTGAAACATGATGCACGCAACACTTTTCTGTCTCTTGTTTGCAAAAACATCAAAAACATGCATCCATTTTTTTATTCTTAAACATTACAGATATTCAAAGATTATGGGAATATTAGCAGAGTTAACTCCATTCCTTCCTAATGTCATTTTCTCCCTACTGCATTCTACATGTACCAACAAATAAAAGCTTTTTTGTTTTTATTTCTCCCTATTTTCCTACATTACTTATTCTGATTTGGGGCTCTATGCATTATTCCTTCATTGGAAGCAGCAGTGATCCCTGCTGAAATGTTTATAATTAATAAAATCAAAAAATCTAAATGATCAGCGCTCAGGTTGAATGAATAAGCTCCAACTAATGAGGAACAGCTGAGGGGTCTCACTGCTCTGTTTTAGTCTGGGCTTCATTTTATTATTGTCTGGATTTGATAAACATATTAAAACACATCTGTAGCAATAACAGGTAGAAACAGATGGGTCCAAAATATTCGTATGTAAATGACTGTCCACTTACTCGACAGTTAATATTTTTTTTGTGTTATAGTTGGGAGAATATAAATTCCTGTTGGGAGAATACACGGCGGTTCACTTCTTACCGATCTCCATCTTCACTTCCAGTCTTCCCGGCCTCAACAAGGCCTCATCTATCAGGTCGGGCCTGTTGGTCATACCTGAGGGAGACAGATGGAGAGATAGCAGGAAGGGAGGGGAAGCACGGGAAGAAGACGAATGACACAGATGAGATAGCGTGCAGGTGGTCAGGAAGGACGCTGCAGAGCCTACTGAGTGTGAAAGTTTCTGCCTCAGAGAGAAAGTGAGACTGTTTCTCACCTATGACCAAGATGTTGTTGAGCTGCTCCACTCCATCTATCTTGGACAGCAGCTGGTTGACCACAGTGTCGTGGACCCCCGTGCTGCCTGCCATGCTGCCACGCTGCTTGCAGATAGCATCGATCTCATCGAATATGATGATGTGCAGGCCGCTGTTGGCTCCGAGCTGCGAAACCGAAAGGAGGAAGATTATATAAGCTGTCTGATGTTATCTGAAAACATCTGCATCTTCAAGCAGGGAGGTCCTCTTCAATTCCTCATGCAAAAAACAGCCTGTCAGAAAGATCAACCTTACAAGATAAATATAAAGCTCTTCTGGGAAGGATTTAGGGGAGAAAATTTAGTGAAGACCAACACTTCAGACTACCCTGTTACAAACCATCTCACTAGAGAAAGGGAAGCTGCTTAGAGCTGATGAGAAGATGGATGGAGCTACATAAACAAAAAAAGGGATGTGGGTTCACCCTCCAGCAGAATCATGATCCAAAACACAGGTCCTCCTTATGCATCCCACTGAGATGGAAACATTGGAGAAAATAGGACTGACTAAAAACCCACACTTTACATTTATTATATCTAACTAAAAAAGATTGCGAAAGGAGATTTCCTCCTCTAAAACACCTTCGTACTACTTTGTGCTGATTTACTAAATTTAATCCCTTTAAAATCCATCCAGCCATCCTTCTTCCGGTTATCCAGGGTCGGGTCGCGGGGGCAGCAGCTTCAGTAGGGAGGCCCAGAGAAACATAGTCCTTCCAGCATGTCCCGGGTCTCCCTCTGGGCTTCCTCCCAGTGGGACGTGCCTGGAACACTTGACCAGGGAGGAGTCTAGAAGGCATCATAACCAGGGGTGTAAATCACATCCATCATGGCGATTCGATTCAGTATCGATTTCCTGACCCAACGATTCGATTATTTTTGATACTCAAAAAAACACCACAATACGATTCGAATAATTATTTTCTTTTTTTTTTTTTTTTTTTACACCTTACAGGCTAGACAATCTTTCAAATTCGAAATGAGTCAATGAAAGCTGTAATATCGTTATGCATTTTTTTTTCAGAAACAACAGCAAATAACAGAAGTAGAAAAGTTGCACTCCACCTATTTGTATTAAAACCTCATTCACTGAAAAATAATAATACCCCCGTGTTATAGATTCTGAAAGGCTTTGCATCAAAAAATACTGCGCAAAATCAGTGCAATGAGTGCAATTCAATACCTCGGCTCCAGACGTCCCCGCCCCCTTGAGAGACGCTCTGCTGCACCTCTCCCAAATTGTAGCTGACCGCAAACAGTGCCGCAGACAGGAGGATTTGTTTTTATGACCCAAATTGCAGAAAACAACTAGTGAAGTTTGACCCGCTAGAAGAGCGAGGTGTGCGAGAACGCTGGGACCCTTTTTCCACCTGGATCTCTGCTCTTTTTGGCCCTCATGGCCCTCCATCGTCGGACTAAACTCGCCCCCACTTCCTCACCGCCTCGGCCGTATCTAGACCCAGTGTGTAGCTCAGACCACGCTTCAATATTGGGCATAATTTAAAAATGTCTGTGTGAAGCTTACTGCAACAAACTGCTGTAAGAGTATAACCAGGAAGCGAGGTAGGAGGGCAAAATAGGTTTAGCGCCACCGCAGCACGGGAGGGAGAATTACGCCCAGGAGCAAATGGATAAAAATAAGGGGAAAAAAAAACATGAATCGATACTCTTGCGGACATATCCATGCATCAGATCGTCGGCTGTTGGGTCGATGCATCGATACAAAACGATTATTATTTACACCCCTAATCCCAAGCAGATGCCCAAGCCAGCTAGAACCCAACCTGACATAATCTAAAAGTGATCGGGTGAAATTATTCTTTTGTTGAGGCACCACAATAACCGTAATACCCAATGATTTTAGATCTCTTTCAGGATTTCCCCTTCATTTAAACTCCAACTAACTTGCTTGCCCACAACATGATGCTGCCTCTACTATGCTTTACTGTCTGCCTGCTGGATTTGATCATTCTACTCCCACTTTACAACTGTATTCTACCTTGTGGTGATTTATAACAATGGAAAAGTTGTTTTTAATGTAAATATTGTGAGAAAAAGATCCAAAGGTGATAAAACCTTTAGAAAAGATAACTTTTTTGACACAAAACCATAATTTTTTTTTTTCCTCAGAGCAAATCACAGGCAGACAGACTTAAATATTTATAATTGATGAGTTGTAAACAGTGGATTGAGATGTATAATCACATTTATCTGATTTGAGAGGAATCCAGTTTGTCCACAGAGAAACAGAGGGAGAAGGTGGGGGGTGGGGGATTTATCCCTTAATCTACAGACCTGTCAACTCTGACGTAGCATTTAAGGCAGGTGTGGGGCTGCGTATATTACACACTGGATCCTGTGTGTGTGTGTTTGTGTATGGAGGCCTAAATAGGGGTCAAGGAGAGCCCAGCCTATCATTAGGTGGTGAAGAGCGACGCTCGTGTCACTCTGATCAGGCCAGCCTTCACTGCTGGGCTTTAAGCAGAGTTTCTCTCCCCTTTAAAAAAAAAAAAAAAAAAAACCTGTAAAAGTTGTTTCAGCTACGTCTGGTGAAAGGGCAGATCTCTCCACTCCTGAAGATATTAGTTATTGTTGTTTTCATTTAGCAGGCTGGGATAATCAAATTCAACTTTTTGACTTTTGATGTCTCCTGAGATAGTTGTGAAACTGATGACAAAATAAATGGATTGAAGAAAAATGCAGGCTCCTTTAGGAACAGCAGATGATCTTTTCCTCCTCAGAATGAAAGCTTATCTTTCTCTCACCCTCTTCTGCTCGTCCTCTGCGTCTGCAAACAGCTTCCTGATGTTGGCCTCTGACTCTCCGACGTACTTGTTGAGAATCTCCGGACCGTTGACGATCTTCGGCTCTCGAGCGTTCAGCATCTTGCCAATCTGCCGCGCCATGAGGGTTTTACCGCAGCCTGGAGGCCCGTAGAGCAGGATACCCTTCACGTGTTTGCAGCCTAGAGACAGATACGCGTACAAGAGGAAGTGTTAAGTTAAGCACAGAGGACTTCTTTTATAGAAAAAGAATTTAAACATAAAAAAGGGACAAAAGGGAGAATATAAGGAAGATAGACAGCGGAACCTGTCAGGGAGATTTCTTCCTGAAGGTTTCTATGGTTCTGGAAAAATATATCTATTTGGTTTATCTTTGTTTTACAGCCCAGCAGTAATAAAAGAACCTATTTTCCTAGTTTTGCTCATTCATGGTAAATATGATGAACGGCTCTATGGCATTTTGCACCTGCCCAGTGACATTTAGCCCAGACTAATTGAGCAGCCCCAGATAACCATCAGAGATGGCATTTGGGCGTGCTGAGGGAAAAGCAGCCACGCTGACAGGTGGGACGGGGCAGAGCACGGCGGGGAAAACTGATGTGCTTGTTTTTGTGCTTTGGAAGACAAAGCTCTGAAGTTTCTGTCCGTCTGCTCGCCTCTCTGGGAGCAAAGGGGAGACAAGGTGAAACTTTCAGACTTTTAGCAGGAACGCCTCCCTGTCAGCACCTGCTACAACCCCCCACATGAATAGCAATTAAAATGTTACCCTTAGCGGGAAGCTCTATCGGTGCACGCCATCTCATTACGAAGGCCACCTGGCTGCAGCCAAAGGGCAGCTCCTGCACACAGCCACCCAGCTTAAGGTCAACTCACCACCACTGCCCCACAGCGCAGCGGGCACGACTCTCTGATTAGCAGAGAGCCCATTTGCCAAACTCAAAGGTCCCAACAGGTTTTCCCAAGACTTCTAGGTGGTATGATGGAGGATTAGGAAGGGCTGTGGGTCTGAGTCACAAACAGGTCTACCTCATGGCTTTCATTAGAGCGAGCTGCTGTCCTTTACTGAGTGAATCATCATGTGATCTGACAGCTGTCAGAGATTTATTAATGAGTGCGTGCAGATGTTTCTGTCAGGGATTTTAGTCATCGCTGTGGCGTGCCCATAAAAGGACACTGCTTTGGCTGTTTGATCAATTCCAGTTTAGCTGATTCAGGGACTTTCCTTTAATTTATTATCTTGTCTGCCTTTACATGGACTCACAGATAAACACAGTTTGACTTATAAATAATACAGTACAGTTCAAATGGAGTACCTAATTAATCATTTGATCCTTTTTTGATTAATTGATTAATAATCGGATGATCAAAGGTTCCTTAAAGAAGATTTACACAGTTTTTAAAGTGAACCATTTTGAATGCTAAATGCTTAAGTATTTTTTTTTTACAATGATAGTATAATTATAGCTTTAATTAATGTTTTAGAGTCTCTATACTCAAGTTAACGATTGGTTGGTCACTAAATTAGCTATACAATTATTTCAATAATTAATTAATCATGATTAAAGAGGCACTATGTACATTTTTATTGAAAAATATCTTTAGAACAGCCTTTTTTATCTGACTTTTATAACTAAAACTTTGTTTGACACCTCAGTAGTCCAGCATTGATGCATATATAAGCCAAAAGATAACTTTTCTTAATTTACTTCGGGCCAGAAGTTCCTGCTCCGTTCGGCCGATGTGAAATCAAGCGCGTTCATGTTAAGCAAACAATCAAAGCGTTATATTTAAGATGGATTTTGTGGATACTCAGAAGTGACTGGCATCCAGTTGAACTCAGACACCAATGGCGACTCACCGTAAGGTAAAAAAAGTAGACAAAAAACTGTTTAAGGTCAAGTGCAAGCTACAAACACGAGCAAATGAGTGCTGCAGCTCTGCGCTTTGTCCACAGGTGGCAGTATCATCAGAAACCTCTGTAACGCTATTGTTTCAGTCCTGAAATTAACTACAGACAATTTTTACTGCAGCAGCAAAATCTGACGCTGAGGCTTGCAAAACAAGCATTTAGCCTTTGATTTAATGACATTTAATTAGCAAAAAAATAAAAATAAATTTGCATTATGTTGGGTGGTTATGCTGCTAGTGGATGTACTTTATTGCAGAAAAAAGATGGACATTTTTTTTTACTTCAATTTAAATTGGCATCTGAATGGTTCAAGATTGGTCTGAAGAACAATGATCCTAAACAAGCCATTCTCACATAAATTAAAGATTTGAGATTAGGGCTGGGCGATATAGAAAAAAAGCTTATCGATAAAAAAAAATGCATATTGATCGATATCGATAATTATTGAAAAGATTTGAAATCATATTTTATGTGCAGCTCTGCCTGGACTTTTTATAATATTGCTAAATGATTTAATTTTAATAAAAAACACAAACACAGACTTCGAATTAAATCTTTATTTAACCAACTTTTTTAACCATAACAGAATTGTTTTAAAGAAAAATAACTTAAGAGACCTGGGTTATGTTATTAAATACTGACAAAGAATAAACTAAAGTGACCAGAAAAGTGACCAAAATAAATATAACAAATAAATAAATGCCCCCCCACCGCCGCCGCCCCCGTTTCCTGCTTTAACCTGAGTTATTACTTTGAAGTTTCTGGTCCCTCAGCATTTTTATCTCAATTGTTAGAACTACGTGGGAAACTGCCCAGAACTGAAAATATATATATATTTTCCCGAAATTCCCGAAGATTCCTCGGAGGAGAGCCGCGTCGGGGCCTACACAGCTCGTACCCCTGCGGGTGTGAGCGGCTGAGATGATAAAAAAAAAAAAAAGTTGGTTGTGTTATCAGACTTCGTTTTCACTGGTTCCCTACACATTTTACAGATGACTGGTTTGTTTTTGGTCCGACTTGCCATGACCGAAATACTGCCAGACTGGCGAACTACAAAAACCCTTCTTTGAAACAATTTCCTCTGCCTCTCCTTGCTGTGACATCTTCATGTGCTCTGTGTTGTGGTTTGAGAGGGCGGCGCTTGGTGACGGCGTGCCTGGGTCCGCGATTGTGATTGGTTGGGAGGAAGCAGTGACTAGCATAAACCTACATGCTAGGCTACAATGAGAAGGAAGGAAAACTGCGTTTTTTTTTTTATCGAACTTTTATCGACTCTCTTTTTTTCTATTGCGCCACACGTCTATCGATCGATATATATCGTTATTGAATTATCACCCAGCCCTATTTGAGATCACCGGAGATTAAGATTCTGCCAACTAAGAAATAAAGGTGCAAAATGAACACATGACAGCTGATCTCAGGTCTACAAGCTAGATGGTTTAAAGCTGAAAAGAGTCCATTATTCCAACAGGAAAATGGCTCCAAACAAAAAATCTTAACTGTTTGGGGGGGGGGAACAAATGAAGCAGGATAAGCATTAACCTTATTGGGTGGCCTTATAACCCTACTTGTATGTTCTTAAGTCATTGCTCTGCTATAAACTGATAAGACAGAACGGTAAGAAACTATTAACAAATAGGGATTTTAATGGAAAATACAACTGAGGAAAAAATAACAGATCAAATAAAATATTTAAAAGTCCAACATTAACGGTCAGGAGAAAATATGTGGAAGGAGCATGAGGAGGAGAACTTGAAGGAATTTCCCTTCCATAGAGAAGACTTAACATGTTTTTCAGCACAAGGTGAAGATGAGCAGGACAAGGCAGATAAATAAAAAATGGAGGAAGAGACGGGAGAAGGTGGAGGGGTGGGGGGGAACTCACCCATCTGTTCAACAATGTCTGGAGGGAAGACTCTGGAGGCGAAGGCTCTGCGAAAGATGCCAGAAAACTCCTTGTCAAGGCCTCCGATACCCATCTTCTCAAAGTTCCAGTCGGGGTTGATGATGGACTGCCGAGCATCTCTGGTTTTCGACTTTCCTTCAGGGTGAAAACGGAAAACAAGACACTAAATGTATAACAGACAAGCTGAAACATGACAATAACAGAACATTTCCAACCAACGTGTACAAGCAGCTGGGCCATCTTTCCTTTTTCTTTTCTTTTTATAATTATGTATAATAGATACAGAGAACCAGAACACTGTTGACTTTGATTTAGTTAAGAGTAGAAGACAAAGTTTTAAAGTGCAAATTTTTAAACTGTGTGAGGAGGTTTAGTTTATTCTACTTCTGCCCAACAGATGTTAAGGAACAGGCAAACATATCTGGCTACATGAGTTTTATACTCCCCCTTGTGGCAATATTGAGAATCCCTATAGATGGAGAAAAATAAAAAGATTTAAAAAAAAAGATTGTTTCTTTTTTGGTAAACATGCATATTTGCATGTCAATAAAATAGAACATTATTCAAAATGTTAGTTTATTATTTCAATTATAAATGTTTAACATATAAAGTGTGTAGCAAAGAAAGCTATATACAGGGATATTAATGGTAAGTTAGGGAAAATAATAATTTTGAACGGAAGAAACATCTTCATTGTCTTCTGCATTGAATTTCACCATAAATACTTGAATATATGTATGTTTCAGCTCAAATTTTATTTAAATTTTGCTTTCTGGTCACAGATCCTAAATGTTTCAGGTCAATAAATACACATAATCAAAAATTAAATGATTTTATTGACATTTTGAAACAACAGGGGCTAATGGGAAAAAAAAACTTACAACTAGTGGAAATAATGAGTCTTTATAAATACTGTGGAAGAATTTTGGGACATTTTTAAATGCTTTGCTGAACAAAGATCATTCTGAGATTGCATCATCGCGCTGTAGTAGCATACTTGCAAGCGTTACATAGAACATTTACCAGTTAAGTGGTTATTTGGCTCTTTATCTAAACACCTGATGTTGTTTTCTTTGGCTCCATCATGGGTAACCAAGTTTATATATTCATTTTTCAGTGTATTTCTGTTTTATTTCAATGTTTTTTTTATGGCTGTCAAACTGTATGAACAGCTTGTTATTGCATGAAAGACCAGAAAATGTGATCTACAGCCTGCACATGTAGTCTTACTTGTAAAATTAACCGGATCTCATGTGCTTCTCATCAACTGACCTCCTGCCTGAACGATCTGCTCTATTCTAGATTTATGTGGAGTTTGTGCGGCAAGCGGCAAAAATACAACAACAGTGTATTTGTTGGTTAAGATTTTCAGTGATCAAGGTCACAGTCATTCCGAAAAAGTCAAAAAGCAATCCACTAGACTTTGTTTCCAAGTTTGAAGACATTTGGATTCCGATCTAGGAAGCTTTTTCAATTCAAAACATCAGAAATAGCGTCAAGTTCCAGGCTTTATGTTCCTCTCTATAAAGCCTCAGAAGTGAAACATCTTCACATTGGAAACAAAGGCCAGTGGATTTTTTTTTTATTTACTTTTTGGTTCCAGTAGGAACGCACCATGATCCAACTCGTGAAACAATGCTGACTGACTGGAGTTGGGATCAGCTGTGAAGGCACATTGCAGCTGCACCACATCCAGTGGAACCGACGGGTAAGACCTTTAGTTTGGTCGTCTGAGCAGCTCTGAGGTTAATTTGCTTCTGATCATTGCCCTGCTCCATAAGCCAAGAGTTTGAAATCTGTTGACTGAGCTCTGCATATCTATAGAGGCAGGTTGTTCCACAGGAGGTGGATTAGCTCCTGTGACTGACGACCTGCCTGCAAATGTTTTTGGCCTCCTCCTGGAAAAGTTTAGTAAGACCTGTCTGTCTTACTAAATAGAGCAGCTGAACAATTTCAAATTTAGAAGTGAGCGGTAGGATTTTAAAAACGGGGTACAGAGCGATTGTGAGTCTTTGGTCACTTCATAATGTCTTTGTGTATCAGTTAAAAGCTGTGCAGCTAAGATTTAAACTACCTGCAATAACTAAACTGCTTCATCTTAATTTGTCCTCCTTAAAGACAGTTTGGTTTGGCTGGTTGTTTCTAATAAAACTCAATGGTATTTAATGTTTCTTAAACCTTTGGATCATGGCTCACTGTGGTTCACTTCAGTGCAAAGGAGAGAAAAATTGATTTATAATTATTATCTTAAAGGCTTTCAAGTTGTCAGGTAAATTTTACAGAAGTGATTCCTTGAGTTTGCAGGTCTAGCAGTTATCAAAACTGAGTTTATCTGGTTTAACGAACTCAAGGTTTCCAAAAAACTGTGGTTAATAACAAACCCAGAACCCAAATGATTGTATCGATGAATTGAGCCACAGAGATGCTCCACCTGGATGAACACGCAGCCACTGTCAACAGTGGCGCCTGACAGTGGAGAGGAAAATCTCCCTCTTAACAAAAAAAAAAAACTCCAGCAGAACCAGACTTACAAATAAAAATAAAAGTAACAAATAAAGTCTACTGGTTGTTTAGCAGCTTTTTATTTCTAATGCACTTTGAATTCAATGTGAATAACATCATAGTGGCTAAAATGTTAATAAAAATGTCAGGCAGATTTTACAGAACTTATTGCCTAAGTTTGCAGGCCTAGCGGCTATCAAAACTGGATTTGTCTGCTTAGACTGAACTCAAGGTTTCCAAAAACTGTGGCTAATAACAGTTTGTTTTTGAACAAGGAAGCTATTACCCTGTCATACATGACCAGGAGGGTTTGGGAAGTGTTTTCCCTTCAATCATTACATCATTTTAAAGGTGCCCCAGTTAGACTAAGATTTAAATCTATCAGATGGTCTGAAAAAAAAAAAAAAAACAGCCCTAGCGAAACAGCAAAAGAAAAAGCAACCATTAGGGGAATGAATAAAACCAACTCACCTATCAACACAACAGCTGAGGTCTCAGATTTCTCAAAAATCACTTGACTGTTTGTCAGCAATAAACCCACTTTTATCTGTAGACAGAAACAAGATAGCATAACATCGGTTTGGATGCATCCAGCTACAAAAAAATGCAGCTTTAACTAGAAGTCAGGACAGGTAAGGACAGATAATAGAAAAACTAACAGCTACCTTCTTTCCCGAAAAGTCAGACATCTTTCCTTCTTTCAGGACACTTGCATCCATGGCGTCCATGTCTTTCACCACCAAGTTGAAGAGCTTTTCAGAAAAACTAAACACCAACTTGAAGAAAGGTAAGAAAAATAAACTGTTTACATTTTACTGAAATCATTATTTAGACCAAACGTTTAGCCCTGACAAAAGGTCCAAAAACCTGCTGGCCAATGGAGAACGCCTGGTTGTAGAAGCGTTGGAGGAACTCGCTGGCCATCTTATCAGAGTCATAAGCGTTACTGTCGATGTACTTCTTCTGCAGGAAGTCAATTTCCACCGTCATGTTGCTTATGCAGCCTTTGGATTTGTCAAACTTGTAGTTTGTTACTATGGAGAGAACATAAGCAGAAAAGCTTCAGGTTTCCTTCCTGTAACTTTAAAGAGAAGTTAACTCTATAGTCATCAATCATCAGATAATAGCTTTGTTGCTCCTTTAATCTGAGCCCAAACGGGCAACAAAGTCCTCTTAAATGTGAGAATATAGGCAGAAAAAAAAAATGTCATTCATTAACATGAAGTTTCTCTATCAGCCAATCACAGAATTCCTCCCAAGCCCTTCATTACTGGGAATAAAAAAAGTAGTGTTTAAAGGCATGGTGGAGGATTTTTTGCAAATTTTTAAAAGAACCCCCCTTTCCCCTTTTAAACAAATGCACATGCACAACCCCGTACCTGCCCCCGAAAGGGAACACCTATTAAACGTGTGCGGGAGCGTGCACAAGCCCATTTCTCCTCGTGCACGCTCCATTTAGAAGTTGCTGCTTACATCACTCATACAACCTTACTTTCAATAAGATTAGCAATAAAATCCCTTTTATTTTCCAACAAAGGGGAAATTCACTCTCTTTATTTAACCCATCCCTTTGAGGTGCAGTGAGCTGCCATTGTGCGGCTCCCAGGGAGCAGTGTGGGGTTAAGGGTTTTGCTCAGGAACTCAGAGTGGCAATCTGTGGGGACTGAACCGGGTACTTGAAACCTTCTCAGAGCGCAAGCGCACTGCTCTAACTGCTAGGCTAACACTCCCTATAGACCTAGATTCTTCTGATTCGTAGTCGGACGCTTTATCCACTGAATCACCAGAATGATTGACAACTAGGCAAGGCAAGGCTAGGAGAAACTAGGAGGACTACTTATTTTGATGATCCATCTGGAAACAACATCGTCCAACATACCGGATCTTTTTGAAATTTTTTTGTTTTGTTTTTTTTTTTTTGTTTAAAATCACAATTTTTTTATTTGTTCTGTGTTAAGCCCTGATTACTTTCCTACGGAAGAGGATTAGGGCCACAAACAAAAAAAAGTTAGCAGATTTTTTTATTTTATTTCAGTTTAGTATACGGAATTCTAACTTTAGTCTCAGAATTCTGACTTTTTTCTCAGAATTCTGACTTTAATTTCAAAATTCTGACCTTAATCTCAAAATTCTGACTTTAATCTCAGAATTCTGACTTTAATCTCAGAATTGTGCATCTTAATGTAGATGGGCACCATGAAGTAAGAGATGTAGGAGCACTCAGCTTCACTGACAAAGATGTGAGTTGTTTTGGAGAGCCAGTAACACATTGGTGGAAAATGACGAAATTAGGCAACTTTTTACGTGCCTGAGGGGTCCCCGGTGATGCGATCTCATTAATGGAAGAGCAGAAGGTCATTAAAACAAGAGAGCTAGGCTCTAAAACAGGCATGGCTATGGCTTGATGCTAACATGTTTGTTATCTGTCATAATTCTTTCAGAATTCTGAGATTAAAGTCAGAATTCTGAGAAAAAAGTCAGAATTCTGACTTTTTTCCCATATTAAACTGAAATAAAATGTAAAAAAATCAGTTAACTTTTTTTTTTCAGTGGCCCTAATCCTCTTCCGTACTTTCCACTTCCTATCTGCATCACAAAAAACCCAACTGTATATAATTAAAGAATTCATATTTTACCGGAAATCGCGTAAAAAAAAAAAAAAAGATTTTAATACAAGGGAGATATATATATATATATATATATATATATATATATATATATATATATATATATATATATATATATATATATATATATATATATATATATATATATATGCATTAGCATTTATTTCTATTAATTTTGATGAATACAGGTGAAAAAAAACCTTGCCATCTTTGATGCTCTTTTTTCTACAGCATCTTTTTCTTCCACTCGTCTTTACTCAGTGAGCAGCCTGTTTCATAATCACTATGTTTTATGGCTACGCCTACGGTCAGCAGTCTGTCTATGATAGTGTGGCTATAACATGGATATTTTGTACAGAATAACAATTTTTTTTTTCAAGATTAAACAGATATAGGCTGGGAATGTATCACTCTGTCTGAAAGCAAACTTTGAGGCTAACTTTATGTATTTCATTAATAAAACTAATTAACGTTTCGATTATTTCTGATTTCCCAGAATTAAAACTGCCGCCTGGAGACATGGTGACTGGTTAGGGCGAAAACTGAAGAGAAAAAGTTTGCAAACAAATTCATGTTCCTGACATCTTTTTTTTTTGGCAGTGGCCTTTCATTTCAAATTGTTCTGCCAAGTATTGAGAAATAAACTTCCACCCTCGATAAACAGATAGTCAAATTCCCACTGTGTCTTATTTTAAAATAAGCTTTTTGTTCATCTGAACCTGAAATACAAATACATGCAGCTCTGGTATTTAAGATGATGTTTAAAGCATGAGGAGTCTAACTCTACTGCTCCTGTCGTTCCAGGCGTTTCTTTGGCCTTCAGAGGCTCTCTCTCGTTCTTTGAAAGCTGGCCAGATGTGCCACCCACATACATTGTTATACTGTCCCATCAACCTGCAGGCTAAATGATCCTCAATGACGTCTCTATGGCACGTAAATAAAAGCTGAGCTCCATGTCCTTCACATGTAAGCTGTCTGAAGCCTTTAAAGTCTGCAGCTTCAGGCCAATTAACACAAGTCGAATTAATGTCGCAGAACACAAAAGGCTGGACGGATTCCTGGGTAGGACATGTGAGGAACACCTCGTCTAACTTCCACAGCAGCCGCAAAGATGAGGGGTTCTGGATTTCATCTTGGAGTGGTTTGTATAAGCTGACCCGTTAGCCCATTGTGTGGCTGGGATAAAATATCAAAGAGAATCAGAAGTTTACATAACCTGAGCCACAGAGAGTCAAGGTTACAAACCAGCTCATCTCAATATAGTAGCATTCCCACAGCATCATTATGCCACCACTATGTTTCACACTGTATTCAGGGTGTTGTGCAAGCTCCAGCTCAACTGGAAGCCTCAAGAATCGACCAACAGTAAGTGAAAGGTGTTAAAACTATTTCGCAAAAACTAAACAGAATATCTATGGGCTTTAATTTAATCCCAATGACCTGGATGACTGGATAATCTTCAAGAATCATCGTAGAAGAACAGAAACATTCAGGATATTAAAGAAAAACCAAAGCTCAATAAGCAGAGTCTTTGTTCGTGACGAGAACAAGAAAAAGATGATAAAAAGACCTGCTCCATAATAAACACCTATGAACCAGAAGGGCGATTAAAACAGCTTTAGGATAAACATTCCTTTGTCAACAGGATCAAGCTGTTTGGTCATGATGACAAGAAGTAGGAGTCAAGGTGACGCTTTCAGACCTAAGAACCTTACATCAACTCTTGAGCACAGCAGAGATACCATCATGCTGTGGTCCTGCTTCACATCCATCAGTAAAGAAAAGATTATACTTCTGCATCCGCACACATCAAACGTCGCTTGGGTCTGGTCGCGAACCAGTTTTGCTGGTACACTTCTGCAACGCCGGTCTGAACTTTTTAGGGACACACAGCAGTTTCCCATCAAAGTACAAGGGGGAGCCTATTAGAGAACTTAAGGTACTTCGGCGGATGCTCACGAGAACTTTGGCAGTGTTGGCAGGAGTGTTTATCTTCCAAAACAACGATGGCACGTCTGCAAGATATCCTGGTCACGGAGATGGATCTAGAGGAACAGGTTCTGTCAGCCGGAAAGGCATACCAAGGACCAATCACGGCTGCTTTTTGTCTGCGCACTTCCGCTTGAGGTCTGCACCGGTTTGCAATCATCCAGCGCGTAGTCAGGATTTTTTTGAGGTGCAGAACCTCTGGGTGGGGGGCGTGGTCACACACAGAGACAGATTTGATGGTTGCAGAGGCTGTGCATCAGAAGCATGAATTGGCCTTAAAGGAATAGTACACCCAAAACATGATTAGCCTTCATTTTCTACTCACCCCCATGCTGAACAACACCCTGGAGTACTTTTTTGATATCTCAAATGCATCTGGAGATCTGGGAGGCTTCTTGCTGTCTGCTGACATTCAAATAATGGAGGTCTATGGTGCCCGAGACAGAAAGGTCCATAAAAGTCCACAAAAAACGTGTCAATATTCCTCCATACTGCTCGTCCAATGTATTCCAAGTGTCCTGAGTGGGTAGCATCCAGAATTTACTCGAAACGAAGTCATTTAGAATGTTTTTAGAGCATAAACAGTAGTGTATAGGATTTCCTGAAAGCGCGCACCTGCGCGTTCACGATGCTACGGAAGCCGGCAGACCAATAATGCAAGCGTAGAAGAAGAAATGTGCTGTTTACCTGTGCAAAGAAAGAAACAACGAAAGAAAAATGTCTGAGGACTTCAGTGTTGAGGAAGAGCATGAGTTCTTTGCTGAGCTGAATGCGCAGTTTCGTCTGGGTTGGTCTGCCGCGGTTTCCGTAGCGTCGTGAACGCGCTTTCAGTAAATCCTATACACTACTGTATATGCTCTAAAAACATTCTAAATGACTTCGTTTCGAGTAAATTCTGGACGCTATCCACTCAGGACACTTGGAATACATTGGACGAGCAGTATGGAGGAATATTGACACGTTTTTTGTGGACTTTTATGGACCTTTCTGTCTCGGGCACCATAGACCTCCATTATTTGAATGTCAGCAGACAGCAAGAAGCCTCCCAGATCTCCAGATGCATTTGAGATATCAAAAAAGTACTCCAGAGTGTTGTTCAGCATGGGGGTGAGTAGAAAATGAAGGCTAATCATGTTTTGGGTGTACTATTCCTTTAAAGATATATAGATGGGATAACAATTTGGTGGACTGCCAGCAGATTCCTCAGCTTCACCTTAAATTGTGGACATTGTCAGAGGCCCTTACAGCACCGTCATCCAAAGCAGACTTTTGGAAAGAATGAAGCTTGTCGAAAAAGGAAGATGCTTCAAAAAAATTTTATCTGATCCACTTTGAGAAAGCCATCATCTGACAGCAGGTTGGTTGGTTAAATGGTTAAATAAATACCAAGAGCTTGTGAGCAACAACAAAGAGCAAGGACAGACTTGTCCGGACGCATTTAAACAAATACAAGCAGAACTCTTTGCATCTGTTTGTATACTTCTGGCACCATAAGGATTTGAGAATTAAGTCTACAATTTTTTATAAATATTTGGAATACACATTTCAAACAATCTAAGAACTAAAGCTAGAAGGTTTAGCTTTCAAATGAGTATCAGAAAACCAAAATAAACCAGTTTATTTTTAAGGAACTCCACCTGGTTCCCCTTTGTCTACCAGGCATTACTTGGATGTTTCCTGCTTACATCTGTTCTGTAATCACACTGAGAAAAGTCAACTCCTTTACCTCTCTGTCACACAATAAGCTGTTTACTTCTGTCTCTTTTACTCAGACTGATTTAGGGAGAGAAAGCCTTTTTAGTCACTTAGCGTTATGCTGTAATTTTCTTCATAAAACTTTTAGGTTAGCTTAAAATATCTCATTAAGTTAGTTTACTTCCAAACTACATTAAAGGGTTAAATTAAGAATAAAAATGCATTTTAACGAGTGAGTAATATAGTAATAAAAATGTTTGTGACTTGATATTATACTGATCTGATATTATTTCAGTTTAGTTTTATATCCTGTGCTGCCCTCTAGTGGTCAAAGAACAGAACTTTAAGTATATGTCCTTTAATTCTTACCTCTGAAGTCATCTCCAAGGGTAATGCCTGCCCATTTTCTCTGTAGGAAAAAAGGAATTACTTTAATAAGTCAAATTAATTGCTTTATTACAATTGCACTAGTTTACCAATTAAACTATTTCCCTAAAGAACTAGAAGACAAAACGACGACTACAACATGTTTCCCAGTGCAACATTCCTCTAGAGCTGGTCTTATTTCACAGCTTCCACCACGTCCAACCTGAGCAAATAAAATAAGACCGTCATGGGAAGGTTACAGCAGTACCTGTGTCCTGTTTGTGGCCAGCGTTAGACAGAGGAAGAGCAGGCATAGAGAGGCGGAGAAAAGGAAGAAAAAAAAAAGTAGGGACAGAAAGATTGAGACAAAAGAGGCCCGAACAAGAAATCCAACAATGTGAGGTTTGTCATCTGATGCTTTAAAATACCTTCTTATAAACAATAAAAATATATTTTTTAATTATACTCGAATGGCATACATGGCATTTGCAGAGATAAAAAAAAATAAATAAAAATTAGCCGAGTCAGACATCAGGGTAATAACTGACGGCTCGTACCTGAGGCAGGCTGAAAGCGATGGAGCCCACGCTCACTTCAGGATGAGTCTTCAAGGAAAACACAAACTCCTGTCGGTTATTGTGGACAATCACATGCCTGTGGAAAAAAAAAGCAAAAAGGAAAGAAAAAAACATCTGTCATATTACATTACATTGAATATCTTCAATAAAGTTATATCCTTATATAGTAATGAAATTCAGTACGATATTCATGTCATATAGATTTTTTACAAACAGTACGATGCATTCTGTCTACTAATTATGATGATGGTTTTCAGCTGAACCACAAATTCAGTTACAAAGAAAACTAAAATATTAACTTTCAATAAAAAATGTGGCCGTTATTAGGCGTTTGTGGCTCCTTTTGCATGAAACAAAACAGCATGGGGGAGCTCAACCAGCTGAGGAACCATAGATTTTCATAATAGAGTCTAGATGACTCCTGGCGGAGTCTCTTATAGGCCGCAATCTTATCACAGGCAGGCTTTCTGGCAGATTTGAGATTTAATTCTTTATCTGAAAATACTGGAACATATCACTTTGGGGTAGAAGGAATAGAGAGAGATATGAGAATGGCTGTATGCCAGTGTCACACTGAAAAAAACAAAAAACTAATTCTAAATAAGTCCCTTTTTCATAATGTAAGTACATTTTTTCTTGAATTTAGGAGGTAAGCTAGAGACTTTGCCAATAGAACAAGACAATTTACATTTGAAATAAGAAAAATAAATTGCATTGTCTTATTTCAAGTGCATATTATCTATTGATCTTATTTTAACATTAAAAAACTAATTCCATTGGCATATTATCTCATTTACCTGCTCAAATTGAGGGTTAATGCACTTAATTTAAGAAATGTTGATGGATTTCTAGATCGTTTTTGCAGTGCACATAAAAACTGATAAATAATCCTCAGATGTCTACCTGCCCATCTCTTAAAAGTGATATCTGTTGTTTGGGGAAATCTGCATGGCCTTTTAGAGCGCCACTGTTCACCTAAGTCTCTTTTAGACTGTAGACCATACTTTTAAGGTTTGTTTCACCCATACATTTTTATTTATTTATTTTAAATTCCTTTTGGGACTGCTTATTTAGAATCCCTAGAGTGGATAAAGGTATTGCTGTTAATGAATTCCGCTCCATGTTTACCCATCGTGAATCTATGTCACAGTTAATCCAAGCTACCACTGCTGTCAGTTGTGCTGCCTTCCAATTTCAGGACCTAGAAGATACATCAACGTAGCATCTCCTGACCTCCTGCATTACATCAACACACAGTCTACTTTGTATAAAGTATATGGCTATATACTATGTATTGTATATGCTGTAATATATTGTATGTCTGGACTGGTGACCTGTCCAGGGTGTACCCCTCCTCTTGCCTGTAGAAAGCTGGAGATAGGCACCAGCACCCCTGAGCGACCCCATTTGGGGTGAATGTAGGAGTTTGCCCTGAAACCGAAGGATTGACAGTTCAAGCACCGACTCTGACTTTCAGTGTCGTTGTGTCCTTGGGCAAGACACTTCACCTGCATTGTCTACTGATGGTGGTCAGAGGGCCCGGTGGCGCCAGTGTACAGCAGCCCCGCTTCTGTCAGTGAGCCCCAGGGCAGCTGTGGCTACAATGTAGCTTGCCACCATCAGTGTGTGAGTGAATGGGGGAATGACTGAATGTAGTGTAAAGGGCTTTGGTCAAGTCTCCTGACTTGAAAAAGCGCTATATAAGTACATGCCATTTACCATAAGCGATGGAAAATGGATGGATGAATATTGTATGTTTATTTATATTATATATATATATTTGTCTGCACCATCAACACCAGGTCAAATTCCTTGTAAGTGCAAACCTACTTGGCCATAAATCTTGTCTTACCCAAGAGTGAGTGTTTTAACTCTCACTCTTGGTCTCTTATTCTGCAATATAAATTTAGAAATAAGCTTGTCCAGCATTTAAAGGCTGATGTTGGAATCCTGACGAGTAGGGACTGAAATAGCAACAGAATTGTAGGAAGTAGATTCATTTTGACAGCCTCTACTCATTTTTAAATATCCCAAATGTTGTTTTTTATATAATTTGCCTCTTATACAGGTGCTGGTCATAAAATTAGAATATCATGAAAAAGTAGATTGATTTCAGTAATTCCATTTAAAAAGTGAAACTTGTATATTATATTCATACATTACATACAAACTCATATATTTCAGATGTTTATTTTGTTTAATTTTGATGATTACAAATGACAACAAATGAAAATCTCAAATTCATCATATCAGAAAATTAGAATATTACTGAAGACCAATAAAAACAAAGGATTTATAGAAATGTTGGCCAACTGAAAAGTATGAACATGAAAAGTATGAGCATGTACAGCACTCAGTATTTAGTTGGGCCTCCTTTGGCCTGTATTACTGCAGCAATGCGGCGTGGCATGGAGTCGATCAGTCTGTGGCACTGCTCAGGTGTTATGATAGCCCAGGTTGCTCTAATAGTGGCTTTTAGCTCTTCTGAATTGTTGGGTCTGGTGTATTGCATCTTCTTCTTCACAATACCCCATAGATTTTCTATGGGGTTAAGGTCAGGAGAGTTTGCTGGCCAATTAAGAACAGGGATACCATGGTCCTTCAACCAGGTACTGGTAGCTTTGGCACTGTGTGCAGGTGCCAAGTCCTGTTGGAAAATGAAATCTGCATCTCCAAAAAGTTGGTCAGCTGCAGGAAGCATGAAGTGCTCTAAAACTTCCTGGTATGTGGCTGCGTTGACCCTGGACCTCAGAATACACAATGGACCAACACCAGCAGATGACATGGCACCCCAAACCATCACTGACTGTGGAAACTTTACACTGGACTTCAAGCAACGTCGATGAAGTGCCTCTCTTCTTTTCCTCCAGACTCTGGGACCTTGATTTCCAAAGGAAATGCAAAATTTACTTTCATCAGAGAACATGACTTTGGACCACTCACCAGCAGTCCAGTCCTGTTTCTCTTTAGCCCAGGCAAGACGCTTCTGACGCTGTCTGTGGTTCAAGAGTGGCTTGACACAAGGAATGCGACAGCAGAAACCCATGTCTTTCATACGTCTGTGTGTGGTGGTTCTTGAAGCACTCACTCCAGCTGCAGTCCACTCTTTGTGAATCTCCCCCACATTTTTGAAGGGGTTTTGTTTCACAATCCTCTCCAGGGTGCGGTTATCTCTCTTGCTTGTACACTTTTTTCGACCACATCTTTTCCTTCCCTTCGCCTCTCTATTAATGTGCTTGGACACTGAGCTCTGTGAACAGCCAGCCTCTTTAGCGATGACCTTTTGTGTCTTGCCCTCCTTGTGCAAGGTGTCGATGGTCGTCTTTTGGACAACTGTCAAGTCAGCAGTCTTCCCCATGATTGTGTAGCCTATAGAACTAGACTGAAAGACCATTTAAAGGCTTTTGCAGGTGGTTTGAGTTAATTAGCTGATTAGAGTGTGGCACCAGGGGCCATCAATTTGACTTTCACAATATTCTAATTTTCTGATATGATGAATTTGAGATTTTCATTTGTTGTCATTTGTAATCATCAAAATTAAACAAAATAAACATCTGAAATATATGAGTTTGTATGTAATGTATGAATATAATATACAAGTTTCACTTTTTAAATGGAATTACTGAAATCAATCTACTTTTTCATGATATTCTAATTTTATGACCAGCACCTGTAGATGTTCGAGATTAGCCTGTTTTTCAAAGTAGTCCTGTTTCTTTGAATGTGACTGGATGGATGAGCTCTCTTCATCCTCTGACATGGGAGCTGGCTCAGAGCTCGTCTGCCTGGCTGTGTGTTTCCTGGACGGGGCCGCCTTTTACAGCAGCTTTTTGTATCTCTGCTTCTGTCTCCTTGAACCCCAGTCGGCCTCAGCAGATGGCCACTCACACTGAGCCTGGTTCTGCTGGATGTTTCTTCCTGTTAAAGGGATAGTTCGGGATTTTTGACATGAATCTGTATGGCATCCCCATCACCAGTGTCATGCAATCACACTGACTTACCCCTGGCAGCATCCTGTGAGCAGAGTTCTCGTCCAGCTTTGGTCAAGCCGAAAGTAGTCCGGCAGGTTTGCTAGACCCAGCGAAATAAAACGTTTCTCTTCCCAAAACATTATGTGTTCAAAAGAGTGATATTTTTGCATCCCAAAAACATTGTAGTGGAAAAAGTCACACGTCGTTATCACTTGGTCCTATTTTCTCTCTGTTCGTATCAGTGCGCGCGACACCATGACCTGACAGCTAGGGCCTACTAACCTGACAACAGCCAGATGCATGTCTCGCTCCGCCTAGCTCCTAGCTGGGCGGAGCGAGACATGCATCTGGCTGTTGTCAGGTTAAGGGCCTACCTGTTTGATTCGCGATTGTTTACTACTGGGGAAGATGTCTGACTACGAGAGCGACGAGGAAAACATCAACTTCCACTTAGAGCCAAAGGGATATCTTTATGAACCCGAGTACACTGACGATGAACTTCGACAAATGGAGTTAGATCGGGCAGAAAGAGAGAGGGTGGACAGAGAAGTGATGGAAGCTGAAGCCGGAGCCGAAGGAGCCTCAGCTGGAGCTGCGATATCCAGGGTGGCCGACAAATCATGGTGCACTTGTTTCAAGTGTGAACTAATGCAGACAGTGGTGGAATGCTACTGTAGCCACGAGTGGGATTTAGTAATGCCCGAGATACAGAACCTTTCCATTGATGAGGATGTCGGAGTTGCAGCAGCTGCTGTCTGCATCACAAACAACAGCGACTTCCCTGCCCTCCTCAAAGTTGAGCTCGCTGTCAGAATGACGGCGCGCACTGATACGAACAGAGAGAAAATAGGACCAATTGATAACGACGTGTGACTTTTTCCACTACAATGTTTTTGGGATGCAAAAATATCACTCTTTTGAACACATAATGTTTTGGGAAGAGAAACGTTTTATTTCGCTGGGTCTAGCAAACCTGCCGGACTACTTTCGGCTTGACCAAAGCTGGACCAGAACTCTGCTCACAGGATGCTGCCAGGGATAAGTCAGTGTGATTGCATGACACTGGTGATGGGGATGCCATACAGATTCATGTCAAAAATCCCGAACTATCCCTTTAAAAGGGAGTTTTTCCTCTCCACTGTCGCTACAAGCATGCTTAGTGTGAGGGATTACTGAAGAGTCAATGAGTCGATGCAATCAACTGGTTTTCCTTAGATAGAAAACGCTGAATCAATCTGAATGGATGATCTGGTGAACTTTAAAGTGCGTTAAGATGACGTGTTGTGAATTGGCACTATAGAAATGAACTGAATTGAATTGCTTAGGTCTGCAAAAGGACACAATACCATCAAGTTGACTTGGCCATGTCCCAGATACCATCATTGCTTCTGATTTACTATGAATAACTTTATAACCAAATACTAGACCGTATTCAATAAGACTTTGTAGAAGAACTGGTATTGAGTGGACAGGGCTTTCAATGAATAATATGTTGTCCATGTATAGGGCAATTTTATGTTGGTTTCCACTCTCATCCCTTATTCCTTATATAAGGGGGTTACTTCTTATCAATTCTGCTAGCGGCTCAATGCTAAGAACAGACAGGGCTGGTCCCCCCTCCCAAATCAAAGGAATCGAAAATCTTGTTAAAATCTTGATGGATTTATTAATGGTTTGTACTCTTACAAACATTAACGTGGCTATAACTCTTGTTGCTTGAACATGTTGAAATTTTAGATTTCCTTTTCGAAAAACAACTTAATCATGCAGAATAATTGTGTATCATAGCTAGTTGTGCAAGTTATCAAGGCACCAATAACGATTTTATGATTGTATATAAAAATAGGTAGGAACAGCAATCTCTGAAGTAAGCCTAAAAAATTGCCCCACCCTAAAAATGCATTATTAATTATATTACTATAAAAGCCAGAACATATACTGCGTATATTGAGGCTCAGACTAGGCAGGGTGGACAGATCTGAGCAGATTTTTCTCATTTCTGTCTCTGTGCTATACACAAATAAAAGAATACTCCACATTTAACTTGGACAAATTATGAATATCATTTAAAAAAAAACAACAAATAAACACTGACGCATTCTATAAAGCAAAGCAAGTCTGAACAGCATCCTAATCCAGATCATATAGAGACTGTTTCTATGCCCATTTTAAAATATAATGAGATCTATGTCTAAAAGAAAAAAAAGAAAAAGAAAAACACAGCAATAAACAGAGAGGTGGTTCTCAGAGAGAGAAGTTTATCGAAATTTTTCTTTTTTTTTCCATAAAGAGGTGAAATATGCCGCACTAACCTGCTCCGTCTGCCCCTCGTTATTTTGTTTTTTGTGAGGATCAAATAGGATCACCATTTAACTATATCAATTTTTTCTCCTCCTGAAGGTGTTTTCTTTTCGAGGAGAGTGATATGCTTTCTGTCCCTCGTTGTTTTTGTGAGGCTCAAAGAGGATCGCTACTTTATCCCTTTTCTTTTATCCTCAACTCCTATCATGGAGTTTTCTTTTTTTAATGTTTCATCGATTGTTTTTTAAGGAGTTTGTCCTGCTTTCTCTGTGCGACTCCAAAACCGACTGTTTCCTTGCGCAATTAACAGGTTTTATTTTGTATTTTCCCCCAAAGCGGATGTATTTTACTTTATAACCGCGTCTCTCTTCCCGTCAGATTAATGAAATTGCCGCTGAATTGCTGTGTAGTCTGACTAAATTAGAACTGCGGTCTATCTCAGACGGACCTACGCAGCCCCATTGCGTAAAATTGTGTTGAGTGTGATCATTCCTTTCTATGAGCGCTAAACGCCACAACCTCGTCCGTCGGATCAGACGCAAAATCGGATTCTGTGTGTTCTGGCCTAGACGTAAAATCGGATTCTGTGTGTTCTGGCCTTAGCATTGTTAATGACTTTATATGTCCAACAGTAACACCTTGTGGTCATTTATAGTTTTATATTGGAGAACGGTATATTATGCTTAAGAACGTCCAGGTTGTGTGATTCAGAGATTCTTTCCACTCTTCTTTAGAACGTGGCATCTTGTTTTTAGAGATAAAATAAACCATTCTAAACTTACGGGAGTATTTCTCCTCACAGCCTTGCAGAGATGCTGCTGTCGTCTCTGGTTCACTTTGTTTCAGCCCATGTCTTCTGTACATTTGATTGTGTTGCCATACTTTTTCCTTCTTATCAAATTTTCATTGCTGAAGCAAATAATGTTTGGTTACATCATTCTGTGTTGAGTCATTTAAAATGTTTAAAAGTCGCCCAAATTGTTCAGTCTGCTTCCTCCCTCTGATGAATCTGAAGATGAGACGCTGAATTCCTCTCCTATGTTTTATGGTGTTACACTAAATCTTTTTGTGTTTTTTTTTTTTTTTTATCATTACTTATCTCTAAATGTACTTTAACTCAGGTGTAAATATTAAGTCATGACGTTCCAGACTTACTGTTCCAAGTTTGTCTCCTTTTCGTTGACCACAGCGCAGTTGGTCAGTGAGAGTTCGTCTGTCGGGCATCGGACTGCCTTCATAGTCTGAAACAAAGACACAAATTACCTCTTTTTCAGTACTGTACCACTGATACTTCTTTTGTTGTATTGCAATGAATTTGAACATTTTAGGAAATCAGAGTCTTAAAGAGAAGTTAAGAAATTTAATCATGTTTATATTCTAACCAAACGTTGCAGCTATTGTTTATAGCAAGCATAGTCTGTGATGGTTGAGACTTATTGGGGAGAAAAGTAAATAAAAAAATAAACTTGGTTTCCATCCTTTTATGTATCTGAACCACGGGTTTGAGTAATGAACAGGGCCTAATAAATACAACATTTCTGCAGTATGCATTTGGTCTGTCAACCCTCTAAAAGACCCAGGATATTAGATTGTACAAAATATTTAATCACGTGTTCCAGAAACATGTGATCGAAGAGTTTGTCAAATTAAGTGCAATATGGATCATCAGTAGCAAAAAAAAAAAGATGAAAATATGGAAATGTATCCATTGTTAAGGATAGTAGAAGATGCATGATGCTCTGGGGTATGTTTATCTTCTAAATACACTATGACTGTGTTAAAGTGGAGGACTTGAACTTTGAAAGACCAGATTTTTACTAACACATCACCTATTTATTATTTTAAAAAATTAAAAATAATTAGTGATCCAGAACTGTGAAACTCTAGAGAGACTGATGGTGGTATATTTCAATAAAATAAATATTTATTTACACTAAGACTTTGTTAAAAGTATATCGAACAAGAAGCTATGCAGAGAAAAAAAGGTTTTAATAGTGTTCCAACAGGGTCGGGTAGAGTTAATAAGGAAAGCAGCTGCAACCATCTAAGTCAGGCATCCTGAAGGTTGGCCCTCAAGGGCCGCCGCCATGCACTTCTTTAATAGGTGCATTCGAGGTGAACAGCACCGCCCCTGTGCTGATGAGCTGGGCTAAAAAAATCTGTTGTGAATTTGGACAAGCCGTCTGCAACTGGACGAGATGGCTGACATTAAGTTTCTGTAAAGCAAATTAATGATGGAAATGACAATAATAAAAGAAATATAAAATACTTTCCTTCTGAGTCCTATGTATTATATAAACGAAGACTCTCACAGTTCTGCTATTAATAATAACTTTTGCTGAAAAAGAAAATCCCCACAGCATGTTTCTGCCACCATTGTGCTTAATCACGGGGCTGGATGAAATGCTCAGATTTGGTCTCAATAGTTTATATCAGACTTTAAACCAAATTTTTTCCGCATATATAAATGTCTTTATAAGCAACTGCTGGTGTTTGTTATTAATTGATGTATTGTATTTTATCAATAAAGTAACTTAAAAAATATACATATAAAAATGAACATATTAGATAGTATAGTTTAATTATAAATTGAGGTTTAATTGATAACTTGGAGATTAAGATCAGGGAACATTATGCAGCCATTAACTCTAGTGGCACTTCCTTTATTTTAGCTTAAAAACAAAAAGGCTACATTTAGCATCAAAGGCAGGACGCTGTTGGACGGGATAAGAAGAAAATATTTCCCTTGATGAAAGAGCAACCAACCATCCAATGTTGGATCAGTCCAACTTAAAATCCAAAAGCAGAATTAACTACAAGGCAACAGCAGACTGGTCATAAGATTCTTCTTCCGGAACTTCTGAATGACACCTAATCCGATTCCTAACCAGAAGTTTTTGCTTATTTGAGTAAGACCTTTATTGAAAGTCCTTTATTGACCTTTATTTAAAGTCTTAATTTGACAATTTAATTGAAGAAGACCAAAACGTTTAGAAAAACGGAGCGAAAGAAGTCCTAAACCTGTTTAAGGTTTGCCACGACCCGGATGACTGAACATTTGCACAGGCACAACTGCCCCTACTCCTCGAGCTAATGCTGAGCTGGCTCACTTAAGGTAGAAAAAAAAATCCTGTTTTAAAATAAACGTGTAGTTTTTGGGGTAGCTCTTCTACAGCTATAAAATCAACTCACCCGTGTCGCCATCTTTGTTGTATTTATCTGGACATAGGAGTTCAGCGGACAAAACCAAACAGCTCAGAGAAACAAACGGTGACGTACACAAATGACTGACGTACCGGTGTTACGCAGAAAAGTGTTCCCTTCCGTCGCGAGAACGCGCATCGCCCAAACCAGCCGAACTTCTTGTTCCATATTGGCGGTTGGCAAACGGCGTTTTGGTTGCATTGGCGCCATCTACTGACACAGAGTACCACTCAAAATGTCTCAAGTATTATATTCTGATGATTACGGAAGAGGAATAGGGCCACTGAAAAAAAATTAAAAGTTAACTGATTTTTACATTTTATTTCTGTATAATATAAGAAAAAAGTCAGAATTCTGACTTTTTCCTCAGAATTCTGACTAATCTCAGAATTCTGACTAATCTCAGAATTCTGACTCTAATCTCAGAATTCTGACTAATCTCAGAATTCTGACTCTAATCTCAGAATTCTGACTTTTCCCTCAGAATTAAGACTTTAATCTCAGAATTCTGACTTTTTTTCTCAGAATTCTGACTTCAATCTTAGAATTCTGACTTTAACCTTAGAATTCCGACTTTAATCACAGAAATCTGACTTTAATCTTAGAATTCTGACTCTAATCTAAACATGTTAGCATCAGCTTGTAGCCATGTCTGTTTTAGAGCCTAGCTCTCTTGTTTTAATGACCTTCTGCTCTTCCATTAATGAGATCGCATCACCGGGGAATCCTCAGGCACGTAAAAAGTTGCCTAATTTCGTCATTTTCCACCAATGTGTCACTGGCCCTCCCAAACACCTCACATATTTGTCAGTGAAGCTGAGTGCTCCAACATCTCTTCCTTCGTGGTGCCTATCTACATTAAGATCCACAATTAAGATCCACAATTCTGAGATTAAAGTCAGAATTCTTAAATAATTTTTCCCATATTAAACTAAGATAATATTTAAAAAACAGTTAACTTTTTTTTTTCATGTGGCCCTAATCCTCTTCCGTAGGGTCATGCAAACCACCACAGGGACGCATTTTTTGGCACAACACGGTCAGGAAGCGGAGGAGAACAAGTGGACGGCGGAGGAGGAACGTCCACGTCATCGCCATATTGTGTGTGGCATTTAACGCGACGTACTGCTTTCAAATTTAAATATTCGGAAAAGTCAGAATTCTGACTTTTTTCACATATTAAACTTAGATAAAATTAAAAAAATCAGGTTTTTTTCCCAAAAAAAAAAAAACAAGAAAAAAAAACGGCCCCTCAATAAAAAAGGCTTACAAATTCTTACTGTAATGTATTCTAAATTTACTCTATGAATTCTTAGAAGGGTTCAGTCTTGCTGCCCATCTGCCTCTTCAAAATACTGAGAAATAAGAACTTCCTTTTTTTTTTTTGAGGGGCCATTTTTAAATTTCGCAATGGGCTTAATCCTCTTCCATCAAAACGAGTTTTTCAACATTATAATTTCAAATTTGAAACAAAAATCTTCAAAAACGTATTTTTTGTGGTTTAAAACTTAATATGGCAAGAATTTATGATCAACAAATATGTAGCTGTATTGAATATTGACAGTAACTGGGTTACATAATAAAGACGGTAGTAACCCTCTTAGTTTACTGAAAAAGTAACTATTTACTTTCAGATATTGTTATGTTGTTTCCCTACTTAAAATTGATCAATCAAAACTGCTCTTTATAAACATAGGCTCAGTAATAGACACCGATTACTCTGATTGGCAAAGGAGCCGTCTTTACTCTTAGACTTAGACAGTTTTTATTGTCATTTTGTATGCATGGAGTGTATTTAAAATGACATTTCGTTTTGTACAGCTTTCAGACTGTAGGTGAGCTGCAGCTTAGCAGTGAAATGAACATTTCTATTCCATAAAGTGTAGCAGTGATCAAATGTAAAAAGTGTGGCAGAAAAAAAAAACATGGTGCAAAAATGCATTGATATGGAAGTTCAGCGCATTGCAAGACAAATATATATGGTGCAAATATGCAGTACTTTTATTTGGTATTATCAGTGTGATGCAGAGTCTGTGACTTGATTAAGAGTTTTTTTAACTGATCAGCAGCCACTGAACACTCAGGTGTTCAGCATGCATTGAAGGGACGATGACGCAGAGCCAGATTCAGTGACAGCGATCCTTTAAATAATAAAAAAAAGTAGTAACTGAAGTTAAAAGCTAATTTTTTCAGTGATTTGTTCCTTTTTTGCAAAAACAAAGTCGTAGAATAGAAGCATCTCTATGCCAAACAAGCTCATTGCATCGTCTTAACAGTGGCAACTGCTTTTTATGATTTGTTCCATATTTCTGGAAATTTAAAATCTGTTCAATTCTTTTACAAAATGTGTGTGTTTTTTTTATTTTTATTAAATTGCTGGAAGTGCATTATTTTTCACCATAAAACATATTTTATAGCCAAGTAAAACCTGTCAATACACAAAAAATGAAACTATAAGATCTGGTTTCCTTTGTTATTTTAACATAAACATTACCCTATCTACAGTACATATTGCAGCTTAGTTGTCCTTACCACACAAATCAAAATGCTGCAGTTTAGTAAACAGTGTTTTTAGATGTGTAATCCTAATAATTAAATGCACTTAGTTGTATTTAAATTTCCAATAACTAGAAAGTTATCTATAAATTCTTTGAAATTTTACATAATAAAAATGGCTTTTTTACTTTGTGCAGTAACTGAGTTAAATCAATTAGTTTGTTAGATAACGTTCTCAACACTGAACATTTAAGATCATTTCCATGTACAGGTCCAAATGTTTTATTTTCCACTTGTTTCTCTTCCTTTTGTTCCATCATGCTTTGAAATACAGATGTCATCACTATCAAATAATTCTAGGAGGAAGTTTATTTCCCATCTTTTATTTTTGTTTCACCTTTTCCTCATTTTCTTTTCACTTTAGGACAAGGCGGTGGCTAAAAACGTAGCTCCTCTTTAGCTTTTAACCTAAATGATTGATATGTTTCTCCGTCAAGGTTAAGGTTGTTTAGTATTTTTGCTTTTGTTAGAGGACACATTATCTCCATTATTTTTGGAGACTAAATTAGGGCTGAAAAAATGTATCAGATTGTGATTAATCGATTATTGCGGAGGTCTTCAACAGGGGGTCCACAGAGGTACTGCATGGGGGTCCAAAGTTTTGGTTGATTAGACTTTTTTTTTTGCAATTCTTTTTGCAATTTTTTCCACTAATTATAATGTCTTTAAATCCACATTAACATGAATTCAACACACTGTAGTAACAGATAAATGGAGGCAGAAGATGTCTTTCAGTCATCAATGCACACATTCAGCAACACACAGGAGCTTTTTCAAGCTGGGCACCATTTCATTCACAACACCTGTCCCATCAACCAGGAATCAGAAACAGAAATACTTTAATAATCCCAGAAAGAAATTACTTTCTTTACGTTACTGCAAATGTAATAGAGTGACTATAGAACCAGTTTTATATAACACAATTTCATACAATATATATAATTAGGGGGTCGTTGGCCTGGAAAACGTTGAAGATCTCTGGAGTATAGGGACTCAAACACAAGCCTTTAGTTGACAGAGCACCCAACTTAGCTCAGTAATTATACAAAAAAAAAAACCCATATATATATATACGGTATATATATATAAAAACACTTTCAATTTAAGATAAAAAATAAACTTTCCATCTGTCAATATGCTATCAAGAACTCAAGTGGAAATGTTTTAGTTTCACCTTTTTTTTTTTCCTCTTAAAGATCTTCTTCAAGGAACCTTTAGCTATCAGATTATTAATCGGAAAAAAATAGACAGATGAATCGACTGGCTGAATAATTGTTAGTTGCAGCCTTACTTTAAATATTTATTGAATACATTTGGCTGGACTTGGATGTTTTCCTTATAAAAACTTCCATGTTGCAAAGCATTATTTGCCTAAAATGACAGGACTTTTTTTATATACCGTAAGCTACAATCCGCTCAGATATTCCTGCAGCCCTTTAGATGATGCTTTATGAGGGATTTTCTTTACACAAGGAAGCTGGATCTTCAGAGTTCTCAGTCTGAGTCCAATTTAAATTTCAAATCAAGTGTTTTCATATCTGCTTTGTCTCCACTCAAAGCTTAAGCAACAACTGTGTTGTCATCAGAATCAATAGTATTACAAGAAATATCAAGAGACTTTTTTGTCTATTTTATGGAAAAGACAAGACAACTGTTAAAATACAAAATATTTATTTTTCAAAATGTCTTTATAAGAGAGAAAAACAAACAAAAAAAGGAACCGATTCAAAATCATACAAATTGTTTGCTTACTAACAGACTGCGCTAGTGTCAAGAACTAACAATGGAGAAGTGTTCACTTGGGAAAACTTGCAGGCTTCCACAGGCGATAGAAACACCTCCATCTCGTGATCTCATTTTTACGCCCAAACATTTGAGGCGAAGTGAAACGCCAAAAAAAGATGGCACTGTTGGTGTCTTTTATGAAACCTAATAAGAGCTGGATGGGGTGCAGATCTGTGGCAATGATGGGATTTTTCTTCAGCAAAACAAACTAAATCTAGAACCAAATCATACAAAGTTGAATCCAAAAAGGGGAGTGAACTGTTGGCATCAATGTGCTGAATGATAAATATCCCAGTTTGCTTCCGAGGGATATGGAGGAAAAAACTGAACCAAAACAGAGGCCATGCTCAGCAGGTGGAGCAACAGGCCACAGAGGTCGATGTTGCACCTGTGAGGTTGCAGTGGAGTCGTCTGAAGGCTCAGCAGATATAAACATATATATAATGTTCCTAAACCTACTATTCTCTTTTTAATGCAGTTAGTTGTACAATAATCCCTGATGGCCTGTGTTGGCCGTTGACTGTTTGACAGAATCCTGAAGACATATCAAAATCAGAGAGATAAAAAATAAACAAGAGAAGTGATAAAACTGTCCGTTTGAAAAGTATGGATGGGGGAATCCTGTTTGTTTCTCTCCCTTGTTTGTCCCCTTCAGAAAAAAAAAAAGTTACACATGCTGGTCAAAACACACGCACACACACACACAGTTCCTCCACTTCCATCTCACGGTCAGCGGTGAGTCGGCTCTGAGAACGAGAGAGAGATGAAAACATTTGAGATAAAGTGACTAAGAATTTAACTTGGCGGAGAAAAACTGTCATGTCTTCTTTCTAAAATCCCCTCACCTATGTCAGCTTCTTAGCTTTGTTGTAAAGCGAGTCCACCACTTTGCTCATGTTCTGAATGGTTTCCAAGGCTGCTTCGTATGTTTTGTCCACCGGAGGCTCCTCAAATATGATTAACACCCCTTCACCTTGGTCAAGGATTCCTGAAAAGTGCGTCACAACAGAGTAGGCCGTTCAAATTCAATTCAAAAATACTTTATTAATCCCCAAGGGAAATTAAAAGTTGCAGTAACTCATAAGTTATTTTTAAAAACAGGTGTTGCAGATGTTGATTGCCATAGGCAGGAAGGATCTTCTGTAGAGGTCTGTCTTGCACCGGATTTTGAGAATCCTCTAACTGAAGACACTTTCTTGTTATAAAGAAATCCTCTGAAGAGGATGCTCACTGTTGTCCAAAATTTTCTTCACTTTATGAAAAATTCTTCTTTGTGAAATAATCTCCAGAGGTTCTAGGGGAGTTCCTAGAACAGAGCTGGTCTTCTTCATTAGCTTGTTGAGCTTTTATTAGTCATCAGCTCTAAAGGCTGATTCAGGGTTTATACAGAAATGAATAACTCTAATTTAATGCTCTTAGAAATAATTTTAATTAGGGCTGGGCGATATAGAAAAAAAGCTTATCGATAAAAAAAATGCATATTGATCGATATCGATAATTATTGAAAAGATTTGAAACCATATTTTATGTGCAGCTCTGCCTGGACTTTTTATAATATTGCTAAATTATTTAATTTTAATAAAAAACAGACTTCGAATTAAATCTTTATTTAACCAACTTTTTTAACCATAACAGAATTGTTTTAAAGAAAAATAACTTAAGAGACCTGAGTTATGTTGTTAAATACTGACAAAGAATAACCTAAAGTCCTAATTTTAATGCCACCAACATGATATATATATATATATTTATATATATATTTATATATATAAGGGATGGAACGGTTTATGAAAAACCGTCCGAACCGTTCGGTTCGACTCGCGTGTGTTGCGTTCGGTTCATGCGCTGCTCCATTTTCTCATAGGCGACGCGTGTACACTCCAGAGCAGAAGGTGGCGGTACTGCGACCAAAGCCAACCACCAGCAGTAAACAAGAAGAAGAAGAAGCGAAGCAGCGTAGCCGGGTGTAGCAGAAAAAAAATCAGTTGTTGTGGAGAATTGTGTGGGTATGGCGAGTGGGAAAGAACAGGAGTTGGAAGACGCGCCAGCAGCACTTTATAGGTCTGCTGTATGGGACCACTTTGCATTTAGAGTGACCTACGATAACGGCGGAAAGAAAGTTGTGGATAAAAGTGCAACAGTGTGCAAGCATTGTGCAACACGTTTTGTTTATGCTAACAGCAACATGACCAACATGTCACGCTAACCCCGAAAACCCACATACTCCATCAGCGCTCCGCCCCGCTGTGCACCAGACCGCCTGCACAAAGCAAAGCCTACAGCCTCCACTGTGGCTCCCGTCCGCTCCGCTCTGAGTTCCTTGGAGATCGTAGAAGGCATGCGCCAGATGATTAAATTCAAAGCAGCAAAACATGTGGAAATGATCCAGGGTTTCCGCGGATCATTAAAAATAATTACAATTCATTAATTCTTTTGGGATTTTTTCATTAATTTCATAAATTTTTATGGGATTTCGGGGTAACAATCAACATATACCAAACCGTACCGAAAACCGTGAACCGAACCGAACCGTGGATTTTGTGAACCGTTCCATCATAAACACAGTGAAATCATTTGTCATCTTTTCTGTGGACAGGGTCCAACCATGTCTCGAATTCCTCGCTTCGTTGAGATGTTCATTTTCCCCATTCTCTAGCTTTTTCTGTGCCTCAAGCTTCTTTTCCGAACATATGGCTTTACAATCAACCGGAAGCAGTTCTGCACATATATATTGCAACACAATATGATGAAATTGTTTTAATAATCATATATTTTTTTTAAATAAAGCATTTTAAATGCCACAATAATCACCCTCAAAGGGCTGCAGACAGGAGGCCTCTGATTGGTTAAATCTGCATCTGCTCTTCTCATGCATATTTCCTGTTTGGCACGTTACCAGCTTATTTTGTGTGTGTGACCGCCATTGTGGAAAAGAAAATAAAGATGGACCAGCTAGAAGAGCAAGATGCGCCTTAACGCTGGGACCCTCTTTCCACCTGGATCCCTACTTATTTTTCCGCCCTCCAAGTCCATTGTCGGACAAACTGGCTCCCACTTCCTCACCCCCTCGGCCGTATCTAGACCAGACATGCTAGTTCATGATAGTCCCTCTTGCGTTGTGGCGTGGAATAACATAGCGCAGACCACGCCTCAAAATTGAGCACAAATCAAAAATGTCAGCGTCATACCTGCGACAAGCTCACTGCGACACACTGGGAGTATAACCAGCCCTTACTACTGTTATCACAGCAGAGGATGAAAGAAGAGCTCACTCTCTCCACAATATAAGATATGTAGCATCTTGCTGCAAAATCCAAATGAGCTAAGCCAAAGACAAACTGCTCTGTTTCTTCTTGTATATGGCCTCACGGTTGCATCTGCAGTCTAGTTTGTTGTCCAGATGAACACCAAGGCATTTACCCTCCAACACCTCCACTTCTTCTCCCTTGATATTAATAGGAATCAACTTTGTTGACATTCAGGATCAGATAATTGTTTCCTTACTATGCCACGCCAGCTCTCTCTACTCGGCTTCTTAAGTACAGAGATATAACAATAAAGGCAAAACATTAAAGAAAATGATCAAGTTACCGTGAAACTTCTGGTCCAGAATCATCTGTGATAACTTCCTCTCAACATCACCCTTAAAAGAAAAACAAGATTAAGTTTTATTTTTAAGACAGATCACACACATCGAGTGAAATCTGAATGATTTCCTGCTTTAGGTTAATACCCACCTTTGGTAATTTGATTAGCTCTGATATGTGTGCTATCTGAAATGAGAAATCAAGGCAAATAAATCTGTTGCTTTAAAAAAAAAACAATGCATCATCTTAAATTAATAACTTGCATGAGAAAAACATTAAAATGCAGGGAGGTAAAATATTTTATTAATTCTGTTCAATGTGATGGACTGGAACCAACACTAAGCAGTGGAACATCAGAAGAGGAAATGTTACAGAACTGTAGCATGGATGAATAAAATGAAATTCTTTCATAAGGGGAAGTTTTATGGGTGTAAATACATTTGGAAAGCAGAGGCCATTTGAAAACGATGTAGCTTGGAGGTTCTTACCTGTACTCTAGAAAAAGGCTCAATGACTCTGATGAGGTTTTGTTCCAGCAGGCTGTCGTACAGTTTAGCCAGATGAGTGTTAATGATCGGATCATCCCGTAGCTCCTCTTTGTATTCTGTCAGCGCCTGAAAGATGAGATATTTTTAAGTAAAAAAAACAAAAATAATAAATTCAGGTGTAAATCTATTCCCAATTAATATTGTGATAAAAGCCAGAAAGTTGCTGAAGCTTAACAAACATTTAAATTTAGAAAAACTGGTTCTTACCTTTTCGAAATCTGCTAACGACCGGTTCTTGCTGGCCTGTGCAACACATTTCAGGGCATCTGTCTAAACACGAGAGGACAAAAACGTTTCAGTGTCATCTTAAATCGTGTTAAAAACAAAAACCTGCTAAGCTTAATGTTTTTTGCTGCCTTTAGATCTCCTGGTAACAATTTACAGAAGAAATAAGGTATTAAATCATTTTGGAAGAGGGGAAAAAAAAGAAAGTACAAATAAGTTTTTTCCCCCAAACTAAGAACTGGACATCTAATCATGGCTTTGTTTTCATAGTCCATCTACAACTACAGGTTTTTTTGAACTTCTCTGGATTTTCCAGCTTTACAACCACAGAGTTTAAGGTATCTCATATGTGATGCATCAGAAACAGGCTGCACAGCTCGCAAAGTTTTAAAAAAACAAAACAACTACATTCAATCAGGTCTGTTATGCTCTGGTTGCACCGGTGTGCCAGTACAATTAAGTATGAACTTTGTGATATTAATAGAGTTCATTTTTTCAGATAACTGCGTAGCCACGACTGCAGGTCACACTAATCACAGCCCAACAAACAAATACTGCTAAATATACAATAAATACAATATATTCATTGATGCTCTCATTGAATTAACATTGTACAGACCTGTTAGAATAGCAATTCTATTGATATTTCGTCCCATATTAGTATTTTTTGTTATAGTGGGGAAATACACTCTATTCCCCAATAAAGAGCTGCAATTAATAGCTTTATATCCTGTAAATGCTAAACGCCCTAAACTAAAGGACAGACAACACTTTATTGCCTACTGAATGTACCAGAGACATTTTGTAATTTTCTTCTTTTTTTTTTTTTTTATCTTTAAAAATAGCCTTTCTTATTTGACCCTTTATGACTAAAACATGGTTTGATGAGCAGACTGACACCTTAGTAGTTCAGCACAGATGCATCTATAAGCCTGTAGCCTATTTTCCTGAATTTAATGCGCTGTTCTGTAAATGTGTATGGAGGACCAACTCTGCCATATTTAAAAATTAATACAGAAATAAATAAATGCTCAATAAATAAGCATACAATTAATTACCACAAAAATACAATAAAGAAATACATGTAGGTAGAAATTAAATTATACAGTATATCTCTCTTTTATTTAGCTTCTTTATTCATTTGACTTTGTAATAATTATATATAGGGTAAAATAATACAAAGAAAGAATAAAACAGACAAAAATATCACATGCACATAAATGAATACTTAAAAAAATAAGTAATAAATAAATAAAGGTAAATATTATAAGGGACAATAAATAAATAAGTTAATTTGTTTTTTGTATTTTTTTGGGGAAATTAATTGTATGCTTATTTATTTATTGAGCATTTATTTATTTCTGTATTTATTTTTAAATACGGCAGAGTTGGTCCTCCATAAAAGCAACGTCAAGCAAACAATGGAAATGTTAACACTGAAAATGGATTTTGTGGAAACACAGACGCATAAAAAAAAAATTCACACCCGCACTTAAAACTCAGCAGATAATCCTAAATGCTTAAAGTTATTTTAACAGAAAAAGATGAGAAAGAAGCTGTCTGTGTTAAAGAAACAAAACGATTCACAGAGATTCAGGCTGATGATTTAAAGTAAAAAAAAAAAAATTAAAAAAAGGTTTGCATGAGAAGCAGACTAACGTTCTGGATTAAATAATACAAACATATTCAGATCCTTTAAATGACGCTGCAACACATGAAATACTCCCTCTCAATGAGGCACATACCTGACGGCCGGCATAACGGAGGGCCAATTTCCCGCTGACAAGAGTTTGTACCTCCTCCGGACTAAAAGAAAAAAATATATAGATTAGGATTTGATTTCTAAAGTAGACCACAGGTATTTTTTCTAATGAAAGTATCCAACTAAGAGGTACTGACGAGCTGAGCACAATTTTGCACAGGAGCATGTATTTGAGTGCTGTTATGGCTCTGGGACTGTCGATAGAGTCGTAACCCTCAAAAGCTTCAAAGAAGTAGGAGTAGGCCGTCTTCCAGTCCTTCTCCTCTGCTGCATGGATGATCCCTGCAGCAGAGATAACACGTCAAGTGTTTATGGCAACAAACAAACCTCCATAAAAGGAGAGTTTTCAGACTTGATGAGGCTCATTTCAGCTGTAATTATACCAGCATGTAATCACGTCCTCTACCTGGAGTTTAGGTATTTATACACAACATGAGGCCATTTTTTTGCAAACTTTTTTTGCTTTTAAAACAGCAGAAAACTATAAACGTAAATAAAGAAGTGACATAACTTAGGAAACATCAAGAGCTGCTTTAGGCAGATCCTAGCAAAAAGGATCTTAAAAAAAAAAAAACACCCAACTGATTTTCTAATGCAGCAAGAATAATATGAAAAGAGAAAAAATACATTCTAAGAAGATATGAAGCTTATTTGAACCATTCACGTGATTTAAATCAGACCTGACTGCATGTCCAGCGTTGCCTGGAGCTTTGGGGGACAGTAAATGGCGTTGGCTGTGGTTCTGGCCGAGGTAAGGGCGGCGCGGGCCTTGGGCAGGTTACTGAGAGCGTGGTACGTCTTGCTTTCGAGGAGCTGAACCTCAACGAGGAGCGCTTTGTCGTCCATCTTCTTCAGCTCCTGCAGCAGCTGGGAGCCTGAGGGAAGGAGGGTGGAAACGAGTCACAGCAATGATCATCAAGGGGTCAGTGCTTCAACGTGTGAAAATGGTGATCAGTTGGTCATTGCATGCAAGTCAAATAAGACAGCTACCACAGTCATTAAAATAAATGGTACATTTATAAAATACCACAGTCTTTTATTAGACAATATTTGAGGTTCCACCCACCGAGAGCCAAGGCCTCTTGATATCTTTTGGTGTCAAAATAGAGTGAGATCAGCCGAGCCTGAAAAAAAAAAACATTACATAGAATTTTACAACAGTAAATGCAGAGAAAACACTGCAGCAGCAAATCTATAAAAAAATCCTCAGTTACTGCTCACAACCTACTCCATTAAATATGTATAATTTCCAGTTTTTCATCTATATATATTTTCTCATACATATAAAACACACAGTGTTATCTATTCGTTGACAACTTAATTTTAAAATGGAAACCTCTTATACTACGTTCCCACCTAAAGCAGCAGGAGCAGCTACTTTACATGCACGGTCAATGGTTGATGCGCATCAAGGCGCAGCAAAACGTCCCGCAGTGTGTTTTGAGCAGCAGGAGCAGCGTGTTGTGAGTGTTTGAGCATGTGACGCGCTGCAAATGCAGCGGCTGCTGAAGTTGGAAAAATTTAACTTTTCCTGCTCGACGCGCCACATCAACCAATCAGAGAAGCTGATCTGGGAGCTGGCAGGGAGAGAGACACATCACTGCTGACGCGGAGCGCTATGATCACTCCTCTGAAGCAGTTTATTAACGCCTAAATTAACTTAAAATGCCAAAATCTGCCAGCAAAAAATGTTTACTTTTATTATCCGGGTGCCTGCAGTTATGATTACGTACACAAAAAACGCCTTCCAGCCACCGCGGCAAACCGCGAAGAGGCAACCAGGCCTGAGGCTGCTGTTGAATGAGCATCCCCGGTGTACGGGGGTCTGAGCGGCTCTGACAGCGAAATAATATTTGAAGGCAGGATTGTAATCTGGATGAACTGACTGCACTGATGAAGTTTTCAGGTGGACTTTCTCACTTAAAAACATATTAAAACTACTTTTTACCCACTAACACAGCATATATATATAGTTGACATTGTTACAGGCAAAGAAAGGATAGGGTAGCTCCTCCCACCGCGCAGCTTGAGCAGCAAAGATTCTTCAGCCACGCGTCAGAACAAAACTTGTACAAACATAAAAAATGAAGCAGCATGCGCGTTTTTGTTGCTCTTGCTGCTTGCGGTCTAAACATAGCATCAGGCTTCCTGAGCCAGCACTCTTTAAAAACTGATCACCTTCAAAGCTCTGATTCAGGAGTTTTAATTTTGTTTTCATGCAATTCGAGCTATGTTTGAGCAGCTGAAGGGGGGAAAAAAAACAGGTATAAAAAGCTGTTGGGAAACTAAGTCTTTAGCCAGAATATTCGACAGTAACTGTTTCAGTATTACAAGAAAACTGAGCAAAAGTGAAGCTTTCTAAATACCAAAAGTAAAGAGAGACGTCTCAGGTTTAAAGATTTCACATAAAGCTTTGCTTGATCATTTACTACCAGGATAAACTACCCTTGTTTGAAAACATTTATATAATTTCATACTAGTTTTAAAGCTTAAAAAAAAAATAAAAAAAGATGAGTAAATTGAAGACTTGTGTGTATTTTCAAGACAGATAGCCCAATGAAGGCTGTCTGAAATGCACGGACCTCCAGGGCCTGTCGTAGGAAGGTCCTCTTCTCTGCCTTTGCCCATTCGATGCATTCCAGACACAGCTCCACCTCCTGCCCCGTCGCTGCCTCCATGTCCAGGAAAAGGTCCAGCAGAGAGCGAACCAGTCGGGCTGCCTTGGCTTTGCTGATGGAAATCAGGAACGGTCTAACAAATTTCAACAGGCCGCCAAGTTCTACAAAAAAAGATATCATCCATTAAATTAATCCTAAGCATTCAGCAGACAATACAAGTTTAGAGCAAACAAAGCAGAATATACCAAAAATTATCTTAAACAAACATTTTTGTTATTGTGCTTTTGTGATCATTTCAAGCCAAAATAAAATATGCAAATTCAAAAAAAGAAATAAACAAATTAGTTTAAAAAGAATGAAACATTACCTGCAGCCTGCCCCGTCTTTGCCAGGAGTGTTCCCAGCTCCAGGATGCTTTGTTCTTTAACCCTGACGGCCTCCTCATCGTCCTCCTGAACATCTCGCCTGACTATTTAAATAAAATGACCAAAGCAGTTAACACTTATAACTAACAAAAAACAACCTCCAACTATTTAACACTGTGTGGAAATTTACTCACCAATACTTTTCTTAAGTCATTATTTGTGATTTATTTTTTTTTTATTTTTTTTACACAAATAATGATTTGTGCAACTACACCTCACAACCTGAAATACACCCAATACATTTTTTCCCAAAGGGAATTTCCTTCCTAACGATGTGATACCTAGTGGCTGTTAGCATGTGAGAACATCTAGGATGGTAAGTATGCACTAATATTATGAGTCAATTATTCAGATTCCATTAGTTTATTATCAAATTGTTTCAAAAAAATAAAAAATACTAGAGAACAGTGGATTTTCCTATAAACTGTGTATAATTTTGTGTTACTAATTTGTAAATGTATATAAATAGAGAACAAAAACCTGCGAATTCTAGCAAGTTTTTAGATGGATCCGTTTTCAGCAAGTTTGATGGTAAAGTTAAATGATGTTATCCTGATAAAATGTTTAGAAAACGTGTCACTACGATGGAGTATTAGGGCCAGGCTAGAGATTTCTTTCAATTGAATTTTGAAAATAAAGTCGTAATATCATGAGAATGAAGTCATCATAAAACAACCCGTTTCAGAAAGAAAGCTTTGAGTACCGACCAGCAGATGACGGCAGACCAGCTCCACATATCAGCAGCCTCAGTCCACTTTGACATCCTGCCCAATTTGATGCTGTTGTGCTAAAAGATTTCCTCATTTGTCAAACCAGAGCCAAAGCATAACTCCACATAATGCTCCACAATCCTCATTTTAGGGAAGAAAGAGCTCCTTGTAAGAGTTGTCATAAAATACAACTCGTTTCTCGCAATTATAAGACTTTAATCTCTTGATATTATGACTTTAGCAGCTAAAAACACACCTGTTTTCACTAGCCTTCCAAAGCACATAGCATGTTGTTTTATTCCCTTATTTATTATAGCTTTTATTGCATTTTATCTGTTTTTACTTGTGTTGTTTTTATGTTATTATGTGAAGCACTTAGTGACTTTGTCTGTGAAAAGTGCTATACAAATAAAGTTTACTTTACTTACTTACCGGTACTTAATTCTCGTAATTATATGACAATTCTCGTTGTGATTTTTTTTCTATTAATATTATGACTTTACGTAATATTACAACTTAATTCTGGTAATTTTATGACGATTCTCGTAATTTTATGACTATTCTCGTGGCTTTTTCTTGTAAAATTATTACGACTTTATTTTCGTAATATTACGACTTTATTTTCGTAATATTACAACTTTATTTATGTTATATTACGACTTAATTCTCGACTATTCTCCTTGTGACTTTATTTATGTAATATCACGACCTTATTTACGTAATATTACGAATTTATTCTCCTAATTTTATGACTATTCTCGTTGTTACTTTATGTACGTAATATTACCTTATTTACGTAATATTACGACTTTGTTTGCGTAATATTACGAATTTATTTACGTAATATTACGAATTTATTCTCCTAATTTTATGACTATTCTCGTTGTGGCTTTTTTCTCGTAATATTACGACTTTATTTACGTAACATTACGACTTTATTCTCGTATTTTATGACTATTCTCGTTGTGATTTTTTTCTATTAATATTATGACTTTACGTAATATTACGACTTAATTTTCGTAATTTTATGACTTTTCTCGTAACTTGTTTCTCCTAATATTACGACTTTATTTTTGTAATATCACGACTTTATTTTCATAATTTTATGACTATTCTCGTGACATTATTTACGTAATATTACGACTTTATTTACGTAATAGAAGGGAAATAAATCTCTAGCCTGGCCCTAATACTCTGTCGTCTGTCACAGATCAATCATTGAACCAAACTGGTTGTTGAAGTTAACAGAGCAGAGAAAAGTTGACAGTAATTTAGCAGGTGTGACAGGGCAAATAACCCACCGCCATGTCTATGAAAACCTATTAACTTCTGATAACCTTAGGACCGTGGAATATATATTTATTTTACAGAAATGTAAAACTTTTTTTGTTTGGTTTTTACCCATAACCAATAATTCCCCTTATAAAAATCAGGGCTAGTGATCATATCACCATGGAGCTGATTTCACTGCTCACAACAAGCTAAGCTCGTTAGCCGCAGCGCTGTCTCTGCTAACAGGACAGAGGAATATAGAACACGATCAGAATTACAAGATAAAATAAAACGTTACCAAGTTCTTAATAAAATGTGTACCTATTATCACTTCTATTGGGTACATAAGGAGCCCAGGCCTAATGATAGCGGGCTACGGGGCTAACATCCAGCTATCGGTTCTACAGTGAGTCAGCACGGCACAGCGCCGGTTTAGGCTAACGGAGCCTCGGACAGTCACGGAAAAAAACACGAAATAGCTCCAGGTGAACCAGGTCCAACTGAAGATTCGAATAAACACCCACCGATAGAGTGAAGGATGTCGATAGATGCGTTCCGATCCGTGCTAATGAGAGACTGAGCTCTCTGGAATTCAACCACCGCTGCGGCCGCCATCTTCCTTATTCAAACACTGCTTGAATGAAAAGTACGTGCGCCGACTACGTTTGTAGACGAGACCAAGACACAGCCGGCATGATACAAAGAACTCTGGGAAATGTAGTAAATTCGTCGGACAGGTCGCCTTGCTCCACATAATGATGTTCAATAATTTCAGAAAACCAACTAAAAAGGTCCTTGGATGTTAACTGAATCTGGCGGATTTTCAGTTTAACCACTCTAAACTAAAGAGGAAAATATTTAAACTATTATTACAATTCACCTTCTTTTAACAGTTGAAATGTTATAAGGAAAAAAAAAAAAGATATGATATAGCCTACTCTTCCTGGATGGCTTACATAAAGTTTCTGTTTATATACAACAACAATCTAAATGAACAACAGAACAGCGCATTGCACATCCTGCTGTTGGGTCAATTTGAAAGGAAACATGCCTTGCAAAACTATTTTAACCAGCTAACTTTTCCACATTTTGGCACATTAACCAGAAAACACAATCTCTTTTTTTTGGGGATTTGAAGTCAAAACTCAGAACAAAATAATTTAACATTATTAAAAAGAGGAAGATTTATTTCTCAAAGAAATTTTTTGAATTAACTATGGACAGAATAAAGCAATATTCTGATTTGTATATTATACCTTTCCAAATGTATAACTGGCTTTATTTAACATTTAGCTAAATGAACAGTGTGCATTTGTTTACATTTAATTGCTCAAGAAAGCAGATATTTTTCTTTTATTCATCAAACTGTGGCTCTTTTTATACTTCATGAACACAAGAATTCCTGATGCATTTGATGCAATTTATCCATGGACTTTTTTTTATTATAAATTAGTTAAATTCTAATAGGTCACAAATTTTATTTTTTTTTAAGTATAGTTACTATGCATGTTATAATTATATATGTTTGTTTATATGGCAATTAGAAAGAAAATTAAAATAAAAAAGAAATTAGATTTAATTGCACATTAAAACAAATAAATAGTTAAAAACAAACTGTGCAGTTGTCTTATAAGACACTGCTCCAAAAACATAGCATTTACAGCAGCACAAAAGCCAATTCAGTATATGGAATATAGCCCTAACTAGACTTTTAAGGTTTTTTTTGTTTTGTTTTTTATCGAATGAGTTGTAGTTGTGGTTTGAAGAGCTGATGTGTTGCAAATAGAAGGTCAAACTGTTGTTTTGCACAATGGTAAACAGAAGTCACGATACTGTTAAGTACATTAGTACTATATAAGGTAATAGATCAAGAAACTAGAAAAACTTTAGGCAAATCAGTAAATAAATTGACATATTTATACATAAACAAAGATATGCAATATATGTTCACATTTAAGATTGCCAAAATGTTGTCCTTTCTAAAAAAAAGTAGATGAAAGTTATTTTCAACACTTCATTATGCGTAAAAAGCATGTTCCAGGCACTTTTCATTACCTGCCCCTGCAACATCAGACCTTTTTGCAGGAATATTTTGATAAGTCATATCTAAATTTTTTATTTAGTCAAACCTATTAAACAACCAGATATCATATGGGTCCTAGTTCCGGAGCTGAGAACAGGTCATAACCATGCTTTTCCAACAAGGCAAGGAAGAGCCTATACTGTTCATTCACCAACTCATTTAAGAACAACTTAAAGAATAATTGTATTTTGTCTTTTCTCACCTTTTCATGTCATTCAACATTTCAGCTTAGAAAATGACAAACAGTATGACTTTAGTATTGGAGCAACATTTATTTCACCCAAGGAAAAGCACTACATATGAAGCTACAATTGTCCCATTTAGCAGTTTACACAAACCCAAGGTGAGTCCTTCCTGCATTTGTGACAGGTATACTTTGTGCAGTGCACACAACTCTTAGCGCTGTGGTTCCTGCTGCAGAGATTGAACACCTGGCCTACATATATATAAGCAACAACATAACAATGAAAAAATCTAAAAAAAAAAATAGAGTTTAGCACATATTCTGAAATTAAGAGTTGTAGTCTGAACTAAATGAGGTTATGCTACAAGTTTGGTGGCACTACAATGATCTATAGTGTAATTATTGGCTATTATACGCTTATTATAACAATAAAAAATCTCCAAAAATACAATTTGGCCTATCTTGCCAAAGTAAGAGTTGTAGTATGATCTAGATGACGTTATCTATGTATCCTACAAGTTTGGTGGCACTACAATGATCTATAGTGTAGTTATTGGGTACGCTGGAGAAAAAAAAAAATGCATCTGCTTTTGATATTTACATAAGACGATCAGAGCAAAATTTTAATGCCGAAGGTCGTTGGTTGTACAACCTCAGCTGTGGTAAACACCAGTAGAGGGCGCTGTTTCATTGCAGAACCAGGCGCACCGCTGTGTCTGCAGCACCGCCTTTGCGTCAACCATCACAGATCACAACATCAGCTCTCACAGCATCCGCATCTCGCGGCCATCGGGACCAGGAGCACATCTTGATCTGAGCATCCATTCCACAGCTGCCCAACACCGTCTGCACACCGCGCACTCTTGCCCAGTTTATCATCTTTCCGCCTTTTTTTCACTTTTCTCTCCCGTCTCTTTGGAGGATCCAGGATTATTTTCTTTGTTGCAATTACTTTGATCGAGATGGTTTAATATTTTTAGACGCATCATTCTAAGGAAGACCATCGCCTTTTGAATCATTTAGCTGGAGATCTGGTGAGTTTGTCTGTTTTTTTAGCGCAATACATCTGTTTGAAGAGATTTGTTGGATTCCTCTGCTCAAGTGAAAGAAATGCGCATTTATACTGTCAAATCATGAAAAAAATAGATTCAATTCTAGTAAAATAATCACAGTATATGTATATGCTTTATAGATTAACAGATGGAGTGTGAAAAAAACAAACATATTTACCTTCCATGAGCCACCGCCTATCAGGGCGACAGATCTGGTTTGGTCGCGCAGATTCAGCACCATGGAGAGCGCAGCGTGCGTGCGGCCCTTATCTCTCTGTTAATATCAAACATAAAAAAGCTGATGTTCTGCTTTTTTTCACGCGCATCTGGAGTCGGTGATCAGGTATACAACGTGATGATGGAGTGAAGCCTATAGGCTCAACAGTCGTTCAATTTGTTGGGGGGGGGATTATCCAATAATCAGCTTGTTTATTGGATTTAGATTAAGATGAACTAGACATGGGACATTTTCTTGTTTTTCGTCTTATTACTGCACCTAGTTTGACCTTCACCTAGTTTGATTAAGGTGGTTGTTTACAGTTGGTTGGAGTGGGGGTGGGGGGGTTGGATGTTGACAGACGGACGGATGGACGCATGATTCACCCTCATCTGTCCACCATAAATCTCTTGCTGCAAACTATGGATTATAGATCCATTTTCAATCATCCGTGGAGCCTAAATCCAAGGTTGTCTTTAACTCGTAGGCTATATTTAGCACTTCCACATTTTTCTTTTAAGAAAAAAAAAGATTATTTGGGATTTTATGTGGTTCACCTTACAGAATTGTAGATTGGAAGGAAAATGATGCATAAAGAATGCATTTTTTAACAGTGTGCCATGAATTTGGACCCCATTACCTAGATAACTATAAAAAACAATTGCAGAAGATAATACTCAAGAAGTGTCTTTGTGTAATTCGATCTCAGTTTAAATCCAATTGATTTTTGAGCCTTTGAATGTTATTTTAAAAAAATTAGACAACATATAAGGAAGATCAAGAAAAGCAGCAAAAAATCCAGGGTTACGGTTGTGGAGAGATTTAAAGTAGGGATAGTTCATAAAACATCATTTGAAAATGAAAAAATAAATAAATAAATAAATAAATAAATAAATAAAACTGTAGATAACCCTGAACACACCAAGCCTGTTGGGAAATGTGTTGCTGATAGAAGCATGTTGTAGAGATGTTTCATTTATTCAAGTGGGTGTGAAGATGAATATAGGTAAATAATAACAAATATATAAAGAAAAGCTGTTACAGGCTACAAACCACTTTCAGACAAGGGAGAAACATTACAATACTGCAGGAAAATGATCCTGAACAGTCAGCTAAAGATACAGATGGATAGTTTAGAAGTCTGGAAAACATTATACATGCATTTTGCTGTAAGCCATGTATTAAACCATTCTATAATCAGGCAAAACTCTATAAATGGCAACACTTTAAGATATTTACTCCTTTAGAAATTACTGATGGCAGCATCATGTTGCGGGAATGTTTTCCTTAGCATGGATGGTAAAGTAGGTCAGAGATGCAAAACAATTCCACCATCCATGGAAGAACATGTTACAGGTTGAATGTCATGTTGGTTTGTAGTTTTTTGACCTACATGCAGAATCACATAAAGAACCAGTGAATTCTAATGTTTTATTTACAAAAGGAAAAACAATCTGGAACCAGAGAAGTGACGGAAGTTAGTGGAACTCTGTTGTTGATCTGAAGGGAGAAACCAGACTGATCAGGTAGGAGGTGCTTGATGCTACCTGATGACTAATTGATTTTCTTACTTGAGAGATGAAGGGGTGGTAGCATGGATCTGCAGAGGTTTGATTCAGCGTGCTTTGCAGATTGTACCCTAGAGATCAAGGAGAATGTGAGTTAGATCGGAGAGTGTTGGTACTTGAAGAGACATTGTGCTGGACAGAAGGCAGTTAATGAAGACTGAGAACTGCTGCACACAGGTAAGACCTTTTCCATGAAGATCTGAGACAAACTGAGGTTCACTGGTTGTCTGAAACAATAACAGAGTCCGCATTAAAGAGACTCACAAGAAGACATTTTCAACAAGAAAGTTATTCCCGGTTTAGGTATTTGGCTGGAATAGAATCAGGGGTAATCATCCAGAAATTATCCTTAGTCATCTTGATTGAGAAATGTTCTCAGGTGTGCAGCAACATGGGTCAACCAAGCCACCAGCAAAGATTCTCTCACTGACAGGAAGCTCACTCACACCAGAAAAAAAAGCAAAACCCCAAAAAGCCTAACATTACCTCCCCTTAAAGGACTTCCCGCAAGGTCCAGAAGAGGAAGGAAAAGAAGCCCCAAAGTCCAGAACAAGGTCAGAGTCCAAAATAAAAAAACAAGGGATTGAAGACCATTCCTGGGGTCCATTACCCTCTCAATCGACCAGATACTAGAAACCCCTTCCTCTGCAACGAGCAACCGGCCGGGTGATTGCCAGTGTCTCAGGGGAAGTGGAAGGAAGGCAAAGAGGAGTAGGCTTGATCAGAGAGACGTGAAAAACAGGATGAATTTTCTATGAACCGCAGAATGACTCAGGACAAATGGTTAATGTCACAAGTTAATGGCCAAACCTTTTGTACAGGTGAGTACTGGCGAGGCAGGAATCCTTCTCTAATCAGACAGACATCGATCTGTTTCCACTCAACGATTTAAGGCAGAAACCATCCGGTTCCAGACCCATCTGATGCGCTGAATGTTTAAGAGAGGTAACTGCAATGTCCTGCTTGTCAGATGGAAGCAGGGGAGGTTGGTATCCTAGAGAGGACTCAAACAGAGTCAGTAGCAGATGAGAAATGTGAAAATTATGTGCATATTTAACCCAACGCAACTTAGTACTCCATGATGATGGGAGTGACGAACAGAGGCAGCATAGAGATGCCACGAGCTCCTGGTTCATGAGTTCAGATGGACCATTTTTTGGGGGATGAAAACCTGAACTGAGAGCTGTCTTGGCCCCCAAAGAAGTACAAAACTCCTTCCAGATCCGGGAGATCAGGTGTAGATCACTGTCTGACAGGATTTCACAAGGGATTTCATGAAGGCAAAAAACATGCTTAGTCAGGAGGTGAGCCGTCTCAAGTGAGATGGAAGTTGGTGAAGAGGGATGAGGTAGCAGGCTTTGGAGAAGCTGTTGATTATAATGAGGATAGTGGTGAAACCTTTGAATGGTAATAGTCTAGTAATGAAATCCAAGGCGATATGACACCAGGGACGTTTAGGGATAGGCAATGGTTTATAGGTGATTGTACAGTCTGATCACTGCTGCACTTTATATCGGTAATGGTTATCTTGCTCCAACTGCAAGATCATCATGCTGTTGTAAGCTGTATGCAACAAAATTTTGTTTTGTATACACCCTGTGTATACAAAATGGCATTAAAGTTTGTCTACATCTAAGCCTGACGAAGACCATTGGCTGGAGACTAGCTTTGTTGCGGGCACACAATGGACAGAAATACATTGTCAATGCGAATAGCCAGAGAGATTTGTTCATCCAGAGATTTAGACTCCCCTCTGCATTCTAGTTCTTCCTTGATTCTTTCATTTGTTCAGCTTTCTTTAATGCGTCAGGGTTCCAGGCCGAAGAGGAACCCCGAAGAAGACAAATTTCAACAAGAAAGCCATTCTTGGTTTACGACTTTGGCTGGAATACCATCAAGGGTAAAAGAGAGATGATCCTTCGCCTCCTTAAATACATTCTAGTCCTCTTTACTGAGACATGTTCTCAGGTGTCCAGCTCACTCACACCAGTAAAAACAGCAAAACCCCAGGAACCTTAACATTTACGGCGACCCTAAACATACACCCAAAAGCTACTGTGGAACCGATAAGACCAGTGCATATTTATGTGCTGAAATGGCCTGGTCAAAGTGCCATGCCTTCAGACAATTTAAAATCTGTGTCAAAAGCTTAAAAGAAAAAGTCAGTTTGATGGATGGGGAGGGGAAATGATTTTCGATTGCACGCTGCACTTTACAGGTCCTTAACTGTAAAATAAAAGATTACTGTGCAAAATTTAACTTCATAGTTATCCTGAAGACATTCTTATTTCAAACAGCTTTTTAATACTTCAATCTAATTTTTATGGTGTATTACTGTGTTTTGGTTTTTATTATAATTTGTGAACTGTTTTTAACCACATATTCTTAGCACTTTGATATTTTATTTCAAATGCAACATCCATTATAAAACAAATTTATTTTTATTATTAGTTATGAAGTAATTGTGTTTTGTAGCACATAAATCCAAGCGACATTAATTTCAGTATGATAAAATATGAATCTTTAGTCTAATCTTCCCAAGTTATTGTCTTCTTACAGGAGGTGCAGGTCGTCCAGGTGATAAAAATCATCTCAAAGAGCTCAGATCTCTGACGCTGAAGCTCCTGGACGCCTCCCAGCTGCCACCATGGGAACCGTTCTGTCTCTGTCCCCCAGCTACCGGAAGGCGGCTCTCTTCGAAGACGGCTCTGCTACTGTGGGTCACTACACCGCCGTGCAGAACAGCAAGAACGCCAAAGACAAGAACCTGAAGCGCCACTCGCTTATAAATGTGTTGCCATGGAAGCGGATTGTGGCGGTGTCAGCCAAGAAGAAGAGCTCCAAGAAAGTGCAACCCAATGGCACTTACCAGAACAACGTGTCCCACCTGAACAATGAGAACCTGAAGAAGTCGCAGTCCTGCGCTAATCTGTCCAGCTTCACCCAAGATCAGAGCAGCCCAGCTCTCAGCAAGGGCTCCAACAACACATCCTCAGTCAAGAAGGCCCCCCTAACTAACTCCAATGTGGCCCCAGGGACCCCTAAGAGGGTTATTGTCCAGGCCTCCACCAGCGAACTGTTGCGCTGCCTCGGGGAGTTCCTGTGCAGGCGCTGCTACCGGCTGAAGCATCTCTCTCCCACCGACCCGGTGCTTTGGCTGCGCAGTGTCGATCGCTCCCTGTTGCTGCAAGGCTGGCAGGACCAGGGCTTCATCACACCTGCCAACGTGGTCTTTGTCTACATGCTGTGCCGTGATGTGGTCTCCTCTGAGGTCGCCACAGAGCATGAGCTGCAGGCTGTGCTCCTCACCTGCCTCTACCTGTCCTACTCCTACATGGGGAACGAGATCTCCTACCCGCTCAAGCCTTTTCTTGTGGAGAGCTCCAAGGAGACTTTCTGGGACCGCTGCCTCTCCGTCATCAACCTGATGAGCGCCAAGATGCTCCAGATCAACTCTGACCCCCACTATTTCACTCAGGTGTTTGCCGACCTGAAGAACGAGAGCCAGAAGGAGGAGGAGAGGAGCCTGGACCGGTGAGGGGATGCCGGGGGGGGGGGGGGGGGGGGGGGGGGGGTTTTAGGGAACAATGGGGAGGGGGGGTAAACTCTAATCTGGCATTTTGACACCTTTTCAAGATGATCAGTGATGCTATTTATTCACTTCTGTCCAAACTGCTGATAAGCCAGGATACTGCAGAGTGTTTCATATTTGTATAAACTAGTTTTGACATTTTATCCAGTATTTGCATATATTGAAAGGATAACAATGCTCCCAGGGCACTGGGCTTTTTGCTTGTAAATGTCAGGGCAAGATTCTATTTTCAAACTTGCTAAGGATGTAAACCCAAGAATGAATGCTTTTTAAAAAAAAACAAATATACAGGATTGTGAACAAATGATTCCTCGATTCTTTACATTTTGCTTTCTTGTAATCTTTCAGTCTTTCGCAGACTTTCTCAAAGTAAGAAAAGGACACTTTTTGGCCTACATGCAAAATATGGTTGAACTTCAACACTACGTATCAGGTTGATGGGTGATTTTAGGTTGAGTTGAGCTTCACCTTCCACCAGGAACACCTAGAGATAATGCTGAGTTTTCATCCACACTGAATATATTTTAATATCTGTTTTTAGCAAAACACCAGTCCAATGGGGAGTGTTGGCTTAGTGCAGGGGTGGGCGATTCCAGTTCCTGAGGGCCGGTATCCTGCCACTTTTAGATGTGCCTTTGGTTCAAAGCACCTGAATCAAGTCATTAGATGATTGAGAGAACCCTGGAGGAACTGACTGCCTATTGAGGAGTTCAAAAAATATCCATTGGACTTGGTTTTCAAGATTTGAAGACGTTTCGCCACCTCTCCAGGAAGCTTTCTCAATTCAAATGTCTGGATCCGCAGTGAGTTTGAGTCTTATATGGATATCCATATAAGGCATTTGAATTGAGAAAGCTTCCTGGAGAGGTGGCGAAACGTCTTCAAATCTTGAAAACCAAGTCCAGTGGATATTTTTTGATTTTTTTACGGAATGACTATGACCTGGATGACTGAGAACCTTCATCAGCCTACTGAGGAGGTAACTCAACCATTTGATTCAGGTGTGATGGACCAAGGATGGATCAAAATGTTGCAGAATATCGGCCCCCAGGAACTGGAATTGCCCACCCCTGGCTTAGTGGTTGGAGCAGCGTGCTTGTGCTCTGAGAAGGTTGCAAGTACTCAGTTTGATCCCCACAGCCTGCACTCTGGGTCCCTGAGCAAGACCCGAAACCCCATACTGCTTCCTGTGCTCCACACAATGGCAGCCCACTGCTCCCCAAGGGTATGGGTTAAATTGCAGTTAATTTCTCCACTGTTTTTTTATACCCCGCTCCTAAAGTTCAATTTCTATCCTTTTCTATTTCAATGATTTATACAAGAAGTTTCTCCACTATGGAAGAGAAAAGTTGAACTCTAATCTGTTCTATTCAATTTGATTCTATACTCACGGGACGGGCCTCCCAGCGGATGAATTTAATTGGACCTGAAGCCTGTATGAAACCAAAAAAAGGTAAAAGCCAACGAGCTACTAAAGACAAAAACGCTTGTCTCATCCTCAAAGATGTGACTTCTAGCTACCAGTACAGGAATTATTCACTCAGTTTTCCACCATCCACATTTTTTATAAACAAACTGTATAATTTTCCCCGGAGAAGTTTTGAAAGACCTTCAGAAGGTCCAAAGAACTTTTGAAAAAGATAATTTAAATAATTATCAGGCAGTTGGATTCCTTCAAGGCAAAATGTAAAGAAATTAGAGATGATTTAGAAGCACTGTATATATGTTGAAAAATGCCAGATTTGGGTGAATTCTTTACCAAGTGTTAGATGACACCACTAATTTAAAATACATCAAAATAGGGTAAAATGACAAAAAAAAAAAAAAAATACATGAAAGGAAGCTGCAGCATTGAATGTGGACAGGACTGAAGCTGCAGTAGCCCACCAGTGACTTTCTGACTGTTTGACGATGTGATGTGCACTGCCTACTGCAGGAGGGTGAGGGCCATCGCCTGACTGGCTTTCTTCACGCTCCACGGGTGAACAGGCATCCCGGCTGCCTCATTGGAACATCCCCTCCACTGACACGGACGTTTTTCTTGTTTCGCTGCGATGCGTAGCTGACCATCAGAAGACAGAAAGGTCTCGATCTGAGCGGAGACGGATTCAGAGTTTGGATTTTTGGGGGGGGGGGTTCTAAAACTGGACGAACAGGACCAGTTCTGCTTTCTCAAACTTTTGATAAAAAAGCTAGATAAAATAAAAAATACTGGGTGATGAATATCGTTTGCTCAGAAAGACTTTCTTTGTTTGGAAAAAAAAAAAACAAGAAAAGAAAACAGTATCATGGATGTTTTGCTCCTCAGAGGCTCTTTGCTTTTATCTCCAACAAGTTTTCTTTTCTACTTAGAAATGTAACATTTTGCACGTGTGCCATGCAACTTTATGAAGCCTCCAGGAGTTGTTATTATTATTATTATCATTATGGTTATTCTTCCTTTTTACTTGATTTGCAAATTTGACTGCATCTGCGTTAGAGAATGCTGTGAACAAAGTGACTAGTTTTATTTATCTCTGCTTGCTAAAAAAAAAAAAAAAGCTATTTATTTACCAGGGAAAACATTTCTTATTGTACTTTTTTGTCAACAGTTTGCATTGCAACCACTCTTGTGCTCATGCTTCAGCTTCAGCGTTAAAAATGTTCTTACAGTGCCATATCATTGATTAAACCTCTTAGATACTGAGGTAGGTTTTCAGCAACTTATACCGACATAACTTATTGCCATTTAGGTATTTATTTATATATTTATTTATGTGGGCACACCGAGTCAGAAGAAAGGGAAGGGTGTTAAGAGGTGGAGATTGTTGGTGCAGCAGGCTAGCTGATATTTGCTTGGAATGAAGATTGAACTGGTTTAATTATCTGTTTTTGGGCCCATTCATGAAAACCATTGTTTAATCTGACCACCATTGATATGGCAGCCTTGATGTTACCCTGCCACAAAAATATTTTAATATACCCAACCTGGTTCCACACAAATAAGAAGCAGGAGCTTATATATTTGTAGATGTGCTACTGAAAACATCTTGTGTGAACCAGTGTCTCCTGAGCATAGGGACCATCGGAGTAAAGCGATTATGCTACACTTTACCAAACAGGATTCCTTTTCTTCTGTAAACTAGGAGAAACAAATGGATGGACTTCTTATCATCCACCAGGAAATAAGAACTGAAGGTTAAAAAAAGCCTCAAATTGACAATTGAAAATACTGTTTCCTCTCTCAGCTTAAAATGTGCCATGTTTCTTCACTTGCATTGTTCACTAGTTGTTTATAAGCTTATGAAACATTAAAAAAAGACTAAATTGATAGTTAAAATACTTCTGTCGGATTCTTTTCTGTATCTTGTTGTTTGTAGATAAAATGGTGATTCAGAAATTCAAAAACATTTGCTCAGTGAGCTGCATGTGTGCGCGAATGAGTGGATGAGTGAGTGAAAATGGCAGCGTTTTGTTTGTACAGAAGAATGTGTTGTTTTCTTAGAAGGGTAAGAAGAAAACAGTAACCAGACACATCTTGGTGGGATAAAGGTGAAAAAAACTGTTTAATAAAGTCATTCTTTTTTTTTTTTTTTTTAAAGACAAAAAAAGCAGTCGCTGTAATCTACACTTTTTTTAGTATGTTTCAGCTTATTTTAATTTATTTTTGTACTGTGATGAAAAAAATAAAATGCACTGATGGTTCAAGTTTGTGTTTTGTAATTTCTTCTGGTGACGTCCTTTATCTACCCCTCCCAGAGTTGTGCTTTGTGCAAAAATGTTGGGCCCACAGCGCTGTGGAAAAGTATTGACCCCCTTACAGTTTTACTTGCTAGAATGCTTCTGTTGATCAAACATTTTTGATATGAGGCAAATATAACCTGAGTGAACACAAAATACAGTGCCTAGCTGATGATGTTCTTTATGAAAGGAGAAAAATATCCAAACAACCTGGATCTACATATGCGTATTTGGCGCGGACCGACATCTTGTGATTCCTGGCCTTTGGTTATCGTCCTAATCTTGCATCTACTTTGCCAATGGAACAAGACAATTTACATTTGAAATAAGAAAAAACTATTGCGTTGTCTTATTTTAAGTGCATATCATCTAATTATCTTATTTTAAATGTCAAAATACTAATTCCATTGGCAAACTATCTTATTTACCTGCTCAAATTAAATGTAAATACTAGGGATGCACGATATAATCGGCCCCCTATCGGTATCGGCCTTAAAACTGAATATCGGACATCAGCCATATATAGGATATTTTATTAGCTTCTGAGTTTCTAAAGTCTAAAAAAAACTACTTCTTCTTCCTCAAAAACTTCTTTTTTACAGACTTAAAAACTTCTAAAGACGAGGGAAAAAATATTGATACATTAAAATATCACAATATCTTCATATGCTGCTATATTGCCATTTAAAAACACCATATCAATCTCTTTTACTAATGAAATATTGCTATATGTCATCGTTATGCTACGAAATCCCCCGAAAATTCACGAAATTTTGCCATATTTTTATATGTTGATATATTGACGCGGTATCGATCTATTTTACTAACAAAATCTCACAAGAATTTGCAAAATATCACGAGAGTTTGTAACGGAACGATGACATGTCACGAGATTTTGAAAGTAAAATAGATCGATACCGCGTTTTTAAAAATCTATTTGATATCAGCATATGAAAATATATTTGAGTTTATTATTTTTCAAAGTGTCAGAAATGGATAACAAAACTGCTATTTTCAATGACTACGTATTTTTGTCCAGCTTTAACATCAGTATCGATATCGGTTATCGGCTACATGAGTTTTAAAATATCGGAATATCGGATATCGGCCAAAATCCCAATATCGTGCATCCCTAGTAAATACACTTGATTTAAGAAATTTTTACTTAATTTCAGATCGTTTTTGCAGTGTGGGATCAACTTGATTTAATTACTTGTTACCAATTGAAGCATTATAATAGAATGACTATGCTGTGATCATAAAGGGATGGACATGGTCAGCAATAATACTCAGGTAGGCTGTTGGGTTGACACCATGTTCAAGTGGTAATAAGGGGCCAAAAGTTTACCAAGAAAATATCCTCCACACCATTATACCACCACCAGCATGATCTGTAAATAAGTAAAAATTTCTTAAATTAAGTGTTTTTACTCTTTATTAAGTAGGTAAATGAGACAAGTGCATTGTCGTATTTCGAGTGTATATTGTCTTATCTTATTTTAAGAGTAAAAATACTAATTTTATTGGCAAACTATCTCATTTACCTGCTCAAATTAAGGTTAAATACACTTAATTTGAGACATTTTCACTTATTTCTAGATTGTTTTTCCAGTGTGCAGTGAGGGTTGAACTTTTCGACTTGAAACTTTTTCTTATTTCTCATTTCACCCACATACACACATCGCCAAAATTCTTGGTACCACTTGTTTAATGAAAGAAAAAAAAAAAAAACCCACAATGGTCACAGAAATAACTTTAAACTGGCAAAAGTAATAAAAACAAAAATAACAAACGAGAGTCAGACATTGCTTTTCAGCCATGCTTCAGCAGAGTCGACTTAGATCGCCTTCGGCTCAAACTGTGATGAATGATGAGATCTGACACTAATGTTCTTTGAGGTTGAAGTTCACCTCTAATCTCTTTAGAAGTTTTTCTGGACTCTTTTGTTACCATTCATATTATGCGTCTCTTTGATACGTCATAATTTTCCTTCTGTACAACCAGAGCTCTGTCTTTTTTAGGGGGAAAGAAAGGGCCCAAAGCAACACTGCAAAAAATGGAAATCTAAATAAGTCATTTTTTCTTAAACTAAGCGTATTTGTTTTTTAATTGAGGAAGTAAGTGAGACACTTTGCCAATGGAACAAGACAAATTACATTTAAAATAGGAATAAGCAACTGCATTGTCTTATAACAAGTGCATATTATCGAATTATCTTATTTTAAGAGTAAAAATACTCATTCCATTGGCAAATCATCCCAATTTATCTACTAAAATTAAGGGTACATACACTTGATTTAAGAAATTTTAACTTATTTCTAGATCATTTTTGCAGTGAAAGGACCACTAATTGTGATAGTTAAAAGGAAAAAAGAAATCTCTGGTTTATTCTACATTAAAATTACAAAGCAAAATTCATCATTATAGTTTGCTTATATTTAATTCAAGCAGTTAATCCAAGTGAGCCACAAATACTCAGATATTAACCAAAATATGAACGCCACACAAGGGTTAAGAACATTTAACCGAATCACACCTGAGGAGTTTAGTTACTGTTAGTAAAGGTTACATTTGTAACCAGTAAGAGCAAAGTGATATAAAAAGCTCTGAACGTTTTAAGTTTTTACTTATTATCTCCATTTAAGAAAATTATTAGCTGAATGGAACATTCCCATTTAAAGGTTAGCATTGTTAGCCTCAATGCACTGATTGCTTTATGAAAGGCCTTTTTATTTAATGAATATCATCCATAATTTTGTACATTTGAGGTGAGATTTGAAAAAAGGGCACAGTAGAGACAAGGCCGTTTTTCCCCCATTTGTTTCCTGTTATATAAAATCCATAATTGGCACCAATTAAAGCAGGTGGATCCTCAAGTCTTGATGCTGTTGCATAAATTACCTACTGATAGTTTGGCTTTTTGTCATCTCTTGGTTAAACGGCTGTTTTTGGGTAAATTAAAGTTGTTCTCTATACTTTAGAAACAGCAGCTGGCGTTGGAAGTTTTACATCAATTACACATCAAGCTTTGCATTGATTATAAATGAGGCAGAGACTCAGAAGCAGCTACTGAAGCAAAACAAAATTTATTTATAAACTGATTAATTCAATATTTCTCATTGTGGAACATCATAAACAGCCGATTCTGAATCATAAAAAAACAACACAGAGTTACAGCATTTCCCTTTAGTTTTACCTGCAATGTAACCCATTTTCTATATGTTTTATGGAAATATTACAAAATATAAATTTAATCTTAAAATAGGCACATACTGAAGGAAAGGTGCATACGCTGATTTAACTTAAAGCAAATGAGAGCAGAAATCACTGAGAACGTAATAAAATATAATTTGGCTGACATGGAAGGGTTGAAAACATGAAGCAAACTTAAAAATCCTAAAGCACAGGACGGTGAAAAACATAGTGGAAAAACAAAGATGACATTCATATTTAGACAGTTCTATCAAGACATAATAAGATGCCCTTTCATTTTTTTTAAACTATGTTCATCATCAACAAAACGTCCAAAACAATTAAAATATTAATTTTTTCTTCAAAAATAAATCAACGGAAATAACTCTGTCAATTTTGCATATTTTTTCCCCCTTTAAAGAATAACATTCTGTATGGATCATAAGCTATTTTTCAGAAGGTACTTTGGGTGGAGTGAAGAATCTGGGAAGTTTTGCAAGTACTGTGTATGAATCTGAAAGATCTCGTTATTTGCTGTAATTTATTATCCAAATTTTAAACTTTTGCAATCTCCAAAAGTGGTTGTGATTATTAGTTATTGTGGCTTTTTGTAGTTCTTTAAAAGTTCCCTTAGGCTTTGGCTGCTATTTGCAAATTTTCAGTCCAGTTTTGTGTCAACCCATCATTTTTCTTTCCAATCACGTGCTTAAGAAATAAAAAGTAGACATGTGAGGGACAAAATTAATTGTGTCAGGCAAACAAAAAATGAAAATAAAATTTAGTGCAGAAAACAAAACCTGAAAATCAGATCTTAAACATCTGACAATCGTTCTTTTATCCTTCAGTTCCTCAAATTTACACCAAGTATTCAGTCAATAGGTGTCAGAGAATCATTGTGTTAGTGCAAAAAAACAAAAACAACTAAATAAAAACATTTTCCCTCTAAAGAACTGTGTACTAATCAGTTTTTCATAGATTAAGGACAAGAAATTGGACCAAACCCTGTTTTTTGACAAGTTGATAATAAGAATGAAACAAACTATTGAATAAATATGAAAACCAAAGAAACAAACTTTAGACCACAGGAAGAACTGCTGATAAAATTCTGCAATAGAAATTGGTCCACAGAAGGAAAAAAATCAATGTCATAAAATGAATGACTGAAATTTTTTGCACAGTACTGTAGATAATTTTTCCAGAGTGTTGTTAGCCTGCATATTTTCAAAATACTTAAAATGATAAAACATATATTTGTAGCCATATTAATTGTGTGCTTTAGGTCAGCAAAATATCAGAAAAAAAAATGTATATGCGATAATATAGATGAATGTCAATGATGACGAGTGATAACTTCTGAAATAGCTAGGTCTACGTTTACTTGAATAAAGATTACAGGTAGTGAAAAGTCCTTTCAAATACTGGAGTCTTAAATATTTTTTGCTATATTTAAAAAAATAAGTGAAAAGAAAAAACTTTCAGCTAGAAGCCTGTTCTTGTGTAAGCTAATATTTACTGGATAGGATGATAAATTAGAGATTAAATGTTCAGCTCTAACCCGCATTCATCTAAAGGGTGCATTGGGATATCCCCATTCACATCCCACTGCTGTTTTTTTTTTTTTTTTTTACTTTTACACAAAAAAACTAAAGTACATGATAGAGAAAAACCAAAAAAAAAGAAAGCAAAATCCCTGTGTGAGCTGCTGGACAGTCGGCTGACCCGTTTTGGGCCAGGAGGCAATAATCTAACAGCAGGAGTCGTGTGCAGACATGCAATGACGGAGAGGAGAGGCAGGGAAGCAGAAATGAGGCTTTGTTCACCAAACCCTCTTTGGCCTGGAGAGAGAGAGGCTGTAGTAAGAAACGACACTAAGTCCATCCTAATGATGAGCCGAGCGGAGAGGAGAACCCTGTGGGTGAATTCCACGCTGGGGGACATGCAGAGCTGCACTGTTTTAGTCCACACAGACAGAAACACACGGCTTTGATGAACGTCTAACAAAACCCACACCTCTTCCTAGATTTACACTTTTCAAAACAGGTCTTTCCCGTCTCAAAGCGCTTCATCAACAAACAGTGCAGCAGATTAAAAATAGCTCTTCAAAATACATTCTCAAAGTAATTTAGAAAAAATAAAAACCTTCATACAACACCCAGGGAACCAAACCAGAAAACTCAGTCTGGAGGACAAAAAAGGGGTTTTCTCTGTTTAGTCATTTATCTAACAACATTTGGCTTCATTTTGTCTTTTTTTTGTAATTCCCTTTTAAACATCTAGAAAAACAAGATAACATTTTTGAAAAAAAAAAAAAAAACTTCAATCATCTAGAACATTTTCCCATAAGATTATTTTTCACAAGAACAAAGATCAGGAATAAATATTTTATCTCAGTTATTTTTTTTTTTAGGATATTAGGAGCTCAAATCTCTGCTCTGGCTGTTCAATCAGAGAGTGAATTTAAATAATGAGCTAATGAGTTTGTAAATATGTGCTGTAAATGGCATTAGCTAATGTTTAATGAAACCAGATTACTGCAAACTATGGATCGCTTGTCATTTTTAAAGCTTTTGCACTGTATGTTTTTTATACCCCGCTCCTAATTGCATACCATTTTTTTCCTCCTGACATTCTTGTTGTTGAAATGTGTTAAAAAAACACATTCTGTAAATAACTAACACCATAGCAAAGTGATGACTTTAGCACAACTGACACCTTGCAGAAAATAAACCAACTGAAATCACATGGATTGTGTTATTTGGGTTTCCAAACTTTGAGAAAAGTAAAAGTAAAGTCTGACTGAGGAAAGCTTTCCGAATGTGTCCAGCTCTGTCTTTTTGGTTCAAGTGTCGAGCTTTGAGCTACTGAACGAGCTGAGAGAGGATAACCTGTATCTTTATTCACTTAAAAACGATGTCCATCTCTCTAAAGAATTTTTGTCTTTCTGGACCATATCAAACTCTTCCAGAAAACCACTGAAAGCCGTGATCTGAAAATAAATGAGTGGATTGAAGCTCAGTTTAGAAGCTTGAGTTCACAAAGGATTAGACAGTTGGCAAGGTTACCATTACTAAACCAAAGCATTTACTTTTAAAGCTGCAGAGAACAAAAGTTATTTTATAATTTGGTTAATGTGCTACCTGTAATTTCGCTTTTGCTAAGCATTAGTTTAAAAAGTAAACGGACTACATTTCCTGGCCTTAGTTGCACTGGTGCTGTAAAACCCTATTTGCATGCACAGCAACAGATGGATTATTAAATACCAACATGCTTCATATAATAGGACGTCAAGAATATGCTCAACACATTCTGCCAAACATCCTGCTATGAAAACTAAATTCGGTAATTAAGACTTTGAGTCTGATAACATGTAAGTAAAGCAAATATTTCATCATCTCCTGCAGGTAGGGAAACTCTTTGATAGCACTGATATATTCTGAAAGCATAAATGGTGCACATTAAAGCAGATAAAAAACAACCACCTTCATTTTTTAAGAGTTCCGGTTTGAGGTGAATAATTTATGGAGATGCAGGGATAATAAAATCCCTTCAAACCTTTGGATTTTGATGACATTGTGCAACAACTGTGGGTGTGGCAAATAATCTGCTCTCTCCTTGATTAACACTAATAAGTATGCAACAAACTTCATATTGCACAAACAAATTAAATCAAATACAAATTTTAACCAAAGCTACCGTTCCCCTTTGGTGAATAATAAGTGCATTTTGTTATAAATCTGTTCAACTGATCATTCTTTTTTTAACTACACTAATAAAAATAAATGTGGCTTAGGTTAAAGAATCAATCCAAGAGTAGAACTACTTTGTCACATCAACAGCAGCTCTGTAAATCAAAAGAAATATAATCTTCATTATAATCTCAGAGTGGCTGGGAGCATTTATAACGTTTTTCTTCTTTGGCCCGTTTTAGTTCCCAGGAACAGCCAGGATGTACCCGGCTCGGCTCTTGGTGAAGTCCGGATGTGACTGGTTGATCTTTGGCTCGACCACGACCGTGCACTTTCGTCCATTCATGCTGCACTGGATTGGACTGGAAATGTTCACCTGCAGCTTCCTCTTCTCACTATGAAAACAAAAGGAAATGGAGGCATGAACAATTATTAAGTATGGGAAGAAAATGATGAAACGATGAAGCCAAAAACATTGAAAAATGAACATTTAGTGACTAAATGTTCATTTTTCAATGTTTTTGGCTTCAGGGGTCTGCAACCTTTCATATCCAAAGAGCCATTTAACTTCAAGTACGACCAAGTCGAAGTTGTTTAGAGCCGCAAAATATCACAACACTTTACAAAAAAACAAAAAACCTATTTATTCTTTTTATTATATAAATGAAATTTTAAAATAATATCACCGTAATACACAGAATTCCTACATTAATTCAAAGAATAATTGTACTTAAAACAGATTTCTGGTTCTTTTTTTATCATTCATTAATTCTGGTATTCATTATAGTACATTATTTAACTCTTTATATACATTTTAAGAGCCGCTGGAGACCCCTGATTTAGTCAGTCATCTCCAGCCATCATGAAAGTTTTCCTTGTAAGTTTAAGAAGTTTACCAACCCCTGATCAAAATAATACATTTTTTTTTTTTACCTCATTCTGCCACCAAGCAGAACTGGAACCTAACAGCCATCATGATATTTATGCATCACCATGGTAACGCTCATAAAGCTGAAAAACCAAAGAAAACTCATCCCTGATCAATCCCTGCAGAGGTTCCCAATAAGGAAATAAAAGAAAGGAACGGCACATAATAATATTTTATCCAAACGGATCTGAAACATCAGCTGCTGTGATGATTTGATGAACTAATTATCAGAAGAGCTCACTTTATTTTTAGACCACCCTAAAAAAATGTCTTAAAAAAAGCCTAAACAAAAGTTAATCAAGAACGCTTAAAAGATATCAAAAAGTCTTATTTAATTAATTAACATATAAACTAGGGTTGTCATGCTACTAAACTTTTCAATTCAATACCGATACTAAGTAAAATATTCGATACTCAATACCATTTTCGATAGCACAAGGATAAAAGCAAAGACTCCAAAATTCTACAGAAATATTTTCATTAATAAACAAAATCCAATAAATAAATAGAATAAACAATAAGAACAATATTTTTGAGCTTTTGTTCTTTGCACAATATTAAGCAAGCTTGATAAAAAAATTAAAATTAAGTGTTCCTTTCTTGGCTATGCTTTGCAGACATAACATAAAAAAAAAAATAATTCTCAGCAGCCCCAACTGTTACAAAAAATGCCTGAAACTGAAAAGTGCACAGAATTATTCAATCACACAGTGTTTAGAAAGTGCATTTTCCTCTATTCGGCACTTTAGATGAATGACTGTTTAGGTGCCACTGGTGGTGGCACTGTATCGATACTTTTGAAAATGAGTATTGTATCCGGATACAACGTTTCAGTATCTATATTTTTTTTTAGTATCGATACTTTTGACAATCCTAATATAAACTTCATTTCAGGAGCTCCGAAAACATTCCAGCAGTTACCTCAAAAAATAACAATACAGCAGAGAGGCGCCCCATAAAAATACTTCATGCTTTAATAATAATTCATACTTATACCTTGTTAAATTTTAATCTTATTTTCTTATATACACACACGCCTAGGTCCGTAAGTTAAATCAATGTCATATCACTTCATTATAAGTGTCACCATAGCAACATGCAAACCAGCCATTTCAGGTGAATATGAAGCATGGAGGCTAGGTATCCTGACAACGGATAAAATCCAATGGAGGCCAACAAAAATGGTTTCTATATTTAAACATAATATTAATCAGAAAAGCAATCGGAGCGCAGAGCTTCACCAAGCAGCAAATTATGTCCCATACTGCGATTTCCACCTATAGCTCAAACTCACACATGATCTGGATCATTGTCAGAATTTAAATAAATTGTACCTTAGTATGAGATCCAATTTTGGTAAAATTTTCTTCAAAATAATTTCATAAATGTATAAATAAGGCACACAGCATGTGTCTGCAGCCTCTGGTGTCTGTTCTGCTCACGTCTTCATTCACTCTGCTTTATTGTTTGATCAGAAGATCAAGAATTTGAGTGAGGCATGGGTGACCTTTCCTGGGTTTTTGTCTTCAATATAATACCTCTGGACTTTTTTGAGTCTGATGCTGAAGCTGTCAATAGTCACTGCTGCCACCCTCTGGTTTAGGAAAGAACTGCTTATTCTGCTAAATAATGTTGAATAATCCTTAAAAAAGATTCCCGCATTCGAATTATGATGTGGATCATCACCAAAATGTATTGAATTGTTCCTTAAACTGAGGTGCATCTTTGGAAAAAATTCATTAAAATTTGTTCATAACTTTTAAAGTTATGACGGACGGACAGACCAGCAAACACAGAAATTCGACTAAAACCTAACCTCCTTGGCAGAGATAATCAATCAAATATTTTACAAGTGGATTAAACAACGTGAAGCTGTACATTTCCCAGTTTTAATGTAGCCAGGAGCTAATGTTGCTCGTTGTGGTGTTTTATACTACGCATTATGCATGCGTAATGCATGTAATGCACACCTCCTCATTGTTTGAGCCATACACAGTGCAGTAATTATATTCATAAAAAAAGAATTTTTATTTTTTTATTTAGTTCAACATTTAATTCACATTTAATGGCATAATAGTATATTTAATGTCTCACGTTATTTATTTCATAATATATTTTGGCCCTGAAGATGCAGGAAAAGGTCCAGAGAGTTATTAGACAACCTTTATTTAGAGACGCACAGAAACGATACCTGGATCTGATATTAGTCCAATATGGACTAATTAGCAGGATTGGATACGGAGATCCAATCCAGTGCCCTTTACATGGAAGAGTTATTTCTTTCTTTTTGTTGCTTATTTGTAAATGAATAATATCAAGTTGTTACTTGGTTACCTTTTTTCTAACAATGTTTATGTCTAGGCTAAAGCCTTCACTCACACGGTGAGATATATGGTTCATTCATTGATTAAACAGTTAAACCGGATCAGTATTGGCCGATATTCTGAGCCCAGGTATCGGATTGGATCTATGCATCTCCATTTTTACCATCCATCCATCCAATTTCTGACACGCTTAATCCCAAGTGAGGGGTGCTGGTGCCTATTTGGATGGGGTACACCCTGGACAGGTCGCCAGTCCATCTCAGGGCAACACAGAGACAAACAGGATAATCAACCATTCACACACTCACACCTAAGGAGGATTTAGAGAAACCAATTAACCTAACAGTCATGTTTTTGGACTTTGGGAGGAAGCCGGAGTACCCGGAGAAAACCCGTGCATGATCAGGGAGAACATGCAAACTCCACGCAGAAAGATCCTGGGCCAAGAATCGAGCCCCATTTTTATTATCATCGTAAAATATTCTAGTAAAGCTTTGCAGATTAAAGGAATATATGTGAGTGTATATTAGTGGCTATGATCAAAGGGAGCAGGATTGTGTAAGAGAATAACATCCTTTATGAAGGATGACAGTGCTGAACCCTTACTGTGTTTTTTGTTAACCCTCTGAGTGAATGTTTAGAGACTATGAACCTTCCGCCTCTAAGGGCTGAAAAACTGAATAAGTGTAGAAATCATCCAGGGGAGATGTGAAAAGAACGACCTATCCTGTGTTTCTGGACCAGAGAGCAGCAGTGGCCGGGCTTTTAGTGGCTGTCAGAGCCAGTTAGACCTTCTCTAGGTGAACTGGGGCTTTGCCTCGTTTGCTCTTAAACAGGATCGATGGAGAGACTCAGCCAGTGATAAAATGTGTAGGAATTGTGGGGAAGCTGAGGCAGACAGAAATGCGAGATGCTGTTAATGTGATGGAGACTGAGAAGATGACTGTGATAATTGCTCTCTGATTTAGGAGGAGCGGGTGTATGAAGTGATGTAAATATAAAGCTGCAGGGCATGGAGGGCTGAAAGCATGATAAATAAATATGCATCTGATTCTGTTCGGTGAAGTATCCGTTTTGACACCATTTTCTGGTGACACAGTTAATAATTATGTAAAATTAATTTTGATTTTCATTCTGTCCCCTTTTCATCTAAACTGAAGATATCAGTGATGAACCTGCTGAATCTGACCTGTTGTATGAAGATAGCATTATAAACCAGGCTTTTCTGCCCACGCTGCACTCCTTTGCAGAGCATGTGCAGCTCGGCTTATCCAGGGTGGAAAGGCTCAGGGTAGCGCCGATGCTGGTTTCCATAGAAACCCCCTGTGAACCCAACTCCCCCATCTGTCATGGCTGCCAACCAGCCAACGGCACTGTTTGTGAGAGTGCTCTCTCTCTCTCTGCTCCTGTGTGCATCGCTCATCTCCGTCTCGTCTCACTGTGCTGCTGGAATGCCAGAGGGAACGATGTGCTGAGCGGAAGGTGTGGAAGGTGAAAAACACCGAAATGTTCCCGTCAAAATCACCTAACAAAACAGCTCACATCTCCGATCCAAAAATAAGCAAAGAAGCAGCACTAAACACTTCCTCTCTAAACAGAAGATATGGCAGCAGTTTAGTTTTAAGTTCAGCGACTGGCTCTTACTACGTAGAACCGGCTCCAGCCAGCCGGACCTCCCTCCCCCCTGAGGGCAGACTTGGTCCATCAATGGATGGCCTCTCTGACTGGAAAATCAATTCTTTCCTTTACTCCAACCCCCTGCCCCCCGAACGATCGCATGTGTCCGTCTTTGCCCTTCAAGCCATGCGAGTCCAAGATCACTTTTTCTCCCAAGGTAGTTCTCTTTGTGTGGACGGAAAGAAGCTAGAGAGAGAGAGTAGGTAAAAAGGAAATTTGGCAAGAAAGAAAAAATTAAAGGCTGAATGTCAGCTCATCCTTCATACCTCATTCTTGGTCAAACAACCAGTAGATTATTGGCTTTAATGCAATCCAAATAAAATAGAATCAAACATTCACTGAAAGATAAAGGGAAAGTACAGTATTCAAGTTCTTTTCACATGGATTTATTAATAAATAAATCTACTATTACAGCCCCTTACAAAGGAAGGGAAAATGATAGTGAAGTTAAAGTCGTAGGGAAGCG